CTGGCCAGGCCAAGTGTTCCCCCATTTCCAAGGCATTTCTGAGTGGCTCAAATTAAGCCATTTCGGGTGGTAATAAATTCAACTGACTCATACTCCTTTCTGCGAAGAAATGTAGTCTTGCCTGAATCCGCGGCGTTATGTGAACGATTGTTTAATCCTATATATAGACTGCAGAGAAGTAGCAGATAGCAAATAGCAAATAACAAATAGCAAATAGCAAAACTGGCGAACACCGAACAGCGAATAGCGAAACATCAAGGCGTTGGCTGGAGATCCAGGCCGAGATCTGCAGATGGAGATGGAGACACCGGGCCAACTTCATTGCCAGTGGTGCTGCTGCTGTCTTGGCCAGGTTAAGCCAGCCCAGCCAGGCAAGCTGTCTGACTGCTCCGGCTGCTTATATGTGTTAAGAGAAATTCGGTCAAATGGCACAAATATATTGTGTGCCGTGTGTTACAATTGTTGCGCAACCAGCAAACCGCGTTAGTAGATCCCCCTTCCCCTTTTACCCGCCCCTTTTCGCCTCCCCTCTTTCCGTTTGAATGGATCAGGGAACTGGGATTGGGAACTGGGAACTTGGAACCAAACTGGGCCTGGCGATACTTGCAAATGAATGCATTATCGGCCACTCGGGCGCACATTTGTTCGCCAGTGTGCATATAACACAGATTCATTATATAGTAAGCCCAACCAACCGATCGACCGACCAACCGACCGACTGGCAGGCAAACAGCCTTTCTAAGCCAAATGCGGGCAGCAGCAGCAGTGGCAGCAGCCAGAAAATATTGCAACACGCCGGCGACCAAAAGCGAGGGTGTCGGGTGGCCATAGTGGTGGCCTCGCCTCCAACTTTTCGAATCCATGCTGGAGCTCCCAATCCAAGCGGCCAAGACTGCTTGGACTCCAAGCTGCAAGCAGCTAACTGCAAGTCCAAGTGGGGCTGCCTGGGATCCGGCGACTGACATAACTGGTCATTGGCTTGTGGCTAAGGACTCGACTCGCCTCGACTCGACTCGGCGATGCCACTTAGATGCAGCTGCACAAACTGGAAATTGGCAAATACAGCTAGCACGAACGGCGGACGGACAAAACCGGATTGCCAATAGCTCAACGCCGCCGCCGAGCTGTTCGCAAAAAAGTCTGAGCTCGCAATTTAAGCAGCCGACGTTCGGTTCGCTTCGTTTCGGGCCACAAGGAGCTGCTGCTGCTGCAGAGAGAAAAACAGCAGACAGTTCCTTACTGCCAAGGTCTTTCTACCACTTTCCATTCGCAACATCAGTTGCAGAATACGATGCACGGGTTCGATAAGAAATTAAATACAAGAATTTAAACTTAGGTATGAATAAATGAATTATAGATTTGAAATACCAGACAGTTACAAAATGTGCCAGAGTTTTCAATTCTGTAAACTTGAAAAATATACGATTTGTATAGGTAAATGTTATCAGAAGGCAATAATTTGAGTAAAACTATATTTTATTTGATATTAATGTATTACCAATGTATTACAAAATGCGAATTAATTTCAGTCTATAAATAGATAGAAAGAATTCTCCTTTTTTATACAAAAAATGCCTTTCATAATTCGAAAAGGCATATCCGTAGTTATTACATTTTTGCCGGACTTAAATATTTTTGTGTCCAGTTTTCAAACATAAGGTAACCATGAGGATGCAAATAAAAGCTACATATTTATTAAAATGTATATTTTTGAAAGCGCTTATAAAAGGGGAAGTTTTATATGAATGAAAGTGCAACATCAGCCACTTTAATTGGAGTTTTCCCGCAGTGTAGTGCCGCTGTCTCTCGGCCAGTTTTGTAATTACGTGGAGCACACACGTGAACGCTGAGGGCCAGCCAAGGCGGCCATCAGCGAGTGGTCGCAGGATTTGGTCAATGATTCGCCGCGGCTACTGTCTGCAGGCTCCGGTCGATTTGGCTGTAATCGAGCATCCAGAACGCTCGTTTTTTGCCTTTGTCCAGATTGCCACTGGACGGCTGTCGGAGCCCCTCAATTTGCCCAACTGCCGGGATGAGTGCAAAAACAGCAAAAAAAAAAAAAAAAGCTGAAAAAAACTCTACACTGTCATTTCAACACCGTTTAATGTCCGCTGTCATTTGTGTCAGCGTTACGGTCCGAGCTTTATCATCTTTCACGCTGTGTGTACTTACCAATTTGAGCAATTTGGGCTAAGAAAACGAAAGCCGTCGCGATCTATTTCTCGATTTCCTTCGCCAAACCGCCGTCTCCACCTAAGTATACGTCAGTAGTCAGTCAGTCATCTCAAAGCTAAAAGCGAGAACAATCGCATTCCCTAAGGTTTATGGAATTTTCATTAGAATAACAAGTTTTTAGAGCCGTTCAAATGGCAGCAAGTAGACCAGAAAGAACAGCGATTCGTTTTGCAAGAGGCTTGACTTGAGTTAAGTCAAGTATCTCGGAGAAATGCGTCTAAAGTACCGCTTGTAATTGTCGCACATGATTAAACGTAATAAAATTTTTTCGCGTTTAGACAGACGGGACGTGACCGCTTGAATGACCGCGTTACCAATTCTAAAAGTCGGCCCGCGATGATGAGTGGTGGTGATATGATGATGGCCCGAGAACGAAACTCCAACTCCAGACTTAGCCCAATTATCTCCTATACATGGTGTGCTTTCTGGCCGAGAAGCACATACTCGTGTACAGGTACGAGTGCTACCTGTCAGCCAAACCAACCAACCAACCAACCAACCGAACAATCATCATATAATCCCACTCTCTTTATGAAACAGATGAATCGACATTTCATTTGCGGTCTTAATTGCGCCAAGTTACATAAAGGTCATCTGAGCTTTATGAGATCTGCTGCCGGTTATTTTACGAGTTGATAACTATCTCTCAATTGCTATACAATTCAGTTTTAAACAAGGCGAAAGTTATTAAGTTGTCATATTAGTTGTAATCCACTCAGTTCAATTTTTATTGGCTCCATGAAAGAATACTTTATGAGGCTTTTCTGAGCAATAAGGAAATTTCCCCATTTGTGAGATCCATCAAATCTTTTCGGACATTACGCACAATGTGTGAAAGTCTTGCCCTTTCCAACATACGAGTATTACGAAGTAATTCAAGTTTTCACTCTTTATGATGCCTTACAAAAGAGTCATAAAAAGTAAAATAAACGTTAAACCATTTATGGCAATCGATATACGGCGGGCATTCTTTCGGCGAAACAAAAGTAATTAGGACGGCTTTAACCTTTCCGAGTGTTAAGTTCATAATTTATGCCCATTTCAACATGTTGCCAAAACGCTTTCAGCTCTTAGTTTTCGACTCACTTGCTCATTTCTCTCGGTTCGTATGTGGCTGAAATACAATTACAGGCGGCGGAAAACCATTGACCAACTGGACTTAATCGCTGTGAAAAGTCGCTGCTCAGAGCTCAGAGCTGTTGCATAAAGCTCGAGTATTTTGTTAATTAATAATATTACAACGCGGCCTGCTGTTCGAGCATTTTGTTCAGAGCTCCAAATATACAAAAAAAAAAGCGGGGTGTGCGACAAATAAGCAGTCGTAGATCTCTTAATTGCATTATTTATCAGTCAGCTTCCACCTCGGCTGCGGTTAAGCCGTACAAATTGGCCTCTTCTGTTGGTCATGGCGATGGCTTAAGGAAAAATGAAAGTGCTGCAGTATTAATTATGAAATCTAATTCGATTTCATAGCGCTGCTGCCCAGTCCGCCCCGAACGGAAAATGAAAGTAGATGGTCTTTCAGTCTTTCAGTCTTTCGGTTTCTCGGTTTTTCAGCTGGTCGCTTGGTTGGTTTGGCTTGGGTTGGCCATTTGGTCATTCAGGCGTCTCGTGGACCGGACACCGTCTAAAACCCTAATATCCAGTTCACACTTGCACACACCCGAAGCGATCCGATCCAACTGCATTTTGGCCCCGACTTGCTGCTCACAACAATTCGTCTTGGCCCACAAAAGTTATGCATTTGGACGATGATTCGGCGTGGTTTTAGGCCGTGGTCAACGCTTTGTTGCACAACCACTCTCGTTTCCCAAGACGACCTTTTGGAAATCCATGGATGTAGATCGGATGGCTAAGATACCAGCCGCTCCATTGATCAATGATGATGCATTACAAGTCGTACTCTAAATTGGCTATGTAATTGAATCACCTCTAAACCCCGAATTAACACTATCCATTCGATACGCATTGCGTTATAATTAAATCTTAACAAGGTTGCGCTGTTGTTGTGTAAAGAAAATTTCAATTTGGGTTTTCGTTGGATTAATCCTACAGTTTTAATCATGATAAGCCACAATTTCAATTAAAATTATTTTGAAAATATGTAGTCCGTTCTAAATGTGGTTACCCAGTTTTTGTATAAACAAAATAAAATGTTTGTGTTCTCATGAATATTTATACAAAATATTTTTGGTTATCTTGTCTTAAAAATATCTATGGTAAACAGTCCACAAATTCATAAAGTGCCTTTCGTTTAAAACAACTAATTTACACGTTTTTTAATTGGCATAATTATGATAATGATTTTCTTGTGTTTACGAAATTATTGTTTTATAATGAATAGTTAAACACGAATAAAAATTAACACATTTACTGTAGACGAAAGCCAAATAGTTTTTCAATATTAAAATGCTTTTAAGGCATTCGTGTGTATTTGCATTGATGAATTGGGTAGTTTAAGTCGCCTCTTCAAAAAAAACAATGGTAAACAGACCATGAATCCATGTAATGTGGTTAAACACTAAATTAAATTCGTTTATTAATCTAAGTGGTGTAATTATGATAATTAGCTGGCTTTAGCTTACAAAATTAGTGCTTTATCGTGAATAGTTAATTAGCCCTAACTTAACAAGCTCGTTATAAAGAAAAGCAAAATGCATTTTGCAGTATTTGTGCATATTTATGTTTCGGAATTAGAGTTGAGAGATCTTATACTTTGCTTGCAATTACTGAAACCCTAATTTTTGGCAATCGCCCAATTACAGAAATGGCTTCCACAAGTAGCAGTAGTCAGCCGGAGAAGAACCGCTCCACACAGATCCCGCTCGGCCGCCTGGGAACGGATCCGATCAGTCGACGGACGAGCTCCTCGGTGGAGGAGGATCCCAGTGGGCAGGGGCAGAGGAGGGAATGCTACTACTGCGCCCCAGCTACAGTTACCTCCCCCCCGCACCACCATCGCCTGAAGCAGCAGCATCAGCAGCAGCAGCATCAGTACCAACAGCACCACCATCACAGCCACCAGCATCAGCATCACCACCGGCATCATCATCATCATCATCATAGGCGGCAGAAGAAGCAGCAAGAGCAGGAGGAGCAGCAGGAGAACCAGCAGATCCAGCAGCACATCCAGCACCACCAGCACCACTGGCCATCGCGAGTGGCCGGTCCGATTGGTCTTTGGCTGGGCGCAATGACCGCCTATCGACTGCTGACAATCAGCCTCCTAATTGGCATTCTGTGTCCACATCACGTCCACGGTGCGGACCCCAAGTTCGATCCGACCACGCGCATGCGCCTGGTTCTGGTGCCGGCGGACGCACAGGTCAACTCGGTAATCTACAGGTTGCGTGCCACCGACGAGGAGTTCGACTATCCGCTGACCTTCGAGTTCGTGGGCGATGCCAGCGCCTCCACCGTCAAGGTGGAATCGCTACCCTGCACCAAGTACAACTCGGTCTGTCAGGCGAACATCGTGCTCCAGCGCCGATTGGAGCCGGGACGCTATTACGACTTCCAGGTCTCGGTGAAGGACACCAAGGGCGGCATGACCACGCAGCTCTGCTCAATTACGGCCACCAACTTCACCACGCCGCACGACCTCATCTTCCCGCACAAGCCCGGCATCATAATGATCCCCGAGGTGAGAACCAGCCCATCTATCCATCCACATCCAGAACCATATCCTCATGCACATGCACATGTGCCTTCGGTCAGAACGTTTCAATTACCAATTACGAGTAACGCCCGTGAAGACATCCGGCAAAGGGGAGCCCCAGCCACGGCCACAGCACTTGGGGAAAGATCTATTGTTCGGGGTCTTGGGGTCTGAAAAGCATTTAATAAGAAATAGAAAGAGTACATCACCATATTACCGAAGATGAAGTATTTTTTCTATCCAGAGTGATATGCTGTTTCTTGTGTGTTTGCTGATTAAAAAATGTGAAAGTTCAAACGTATAATTATTATCTTGATTTTTGGTTTTTGTAATCATCAAATAAATACCTTCCAATAGTTTGTTCCTTATAATAAAAAATCATATTAAAAAAGATCATTATAATCTATAAAAAATCTATCCTATCCGTACACCTTTTAAATTTGATACCAACTCCAGAAGATATAATCAAAAATAATCAGAAGCAATAATCAGAAATAAATATAATATAATTTAAAGTTAAAATAAGAATAGAATGCTTTTATGAAACTTTTATAGAAAATCCGGTATATATTTTTGCAAGTGTAACCACTTTAATAAAGCAGTAATCAGATAAGCCATTAGAAGCACGTCTCCCAATGGGAAGATGCTATTCGTTTTTCATAAGCGATGCTCGTACACGATAATCATTGTTATGGTGCAAAATTACAAGCGGATTCGGACAGGGTCAAATGTGTAATTTAACCGGCCGAAATATCAAAAGTTATAAGCCCCAACCTCGATTTATCTTTAAAGGATGCTAAACGCGGCACGGAATTGGATTATGTAATTGCCCGCAAGAATCCGCTGTTCCAGAAACCAGTCTACCTCGAGTTATGGGTAAGTGGGGACCCCTAACCCAGCGAACACCATGATTTATGGATCCTTCTGCCTTCCGCCGCACAGGGTTCTCCGTTGTTTGCCATAAGACAGAAAATCGTATCTTCCGAGACGACAGAAGGCACCGTTTTCCTCCTAGGACCATTAGACTTTGAGAAGCAAGCCATGTACCACCTAACGATACTAGCCAATGTGAGTGCTGAATATTAATTGGGCCAAGATATGGCTTAACAACTGTTTAATAAATGTCCATAGGATGCCTATGCCGAACCTGGCCAGGATAGTCGCAACATAGCGGGAATGGAGATCGTGGTCATTGTCCAGGATGTTCAGGATCAGCCGCCGGTCTTCACTTCTGCTCCACCAGTCACCAAACTGCCACCTGGAATACTGCCAGGCGATAAGGTAATATAAGTTGTATATACCTTTAATAAACATATATTAATGATTATTATATCTTTGTAGATACTACAAGTCCATGCAGAGGATGGCGACAAGGGAAACCCCCGTGAGGTTCGCTACGGCTTGGTCTCCGAGAACAATCCGTTCACATCGTTTTTCGATATCAACGAAACAAGCGGTAAGTTAAGTAGTAACTATGGCAAAGAAGTGATCTATTTCTATGCGGAAGTGCACTTAATTTCCGAGGTCCGAGCATTTATCACAAAGATAACACACTTTAATTCCTCCGGCGAGAGTCAAAGCACTGGGAATGCTTATGTAATGGCTACTCTTGCCATCGTCCACTGTAATAAAATGAGATAACATCTTCATGGGACACTGATAGTGCATAGATAGCGGAGAATTTCAGCTTTCTGCGGGCTCAAAAGATGCATCGCAGATTCCCATACCGATGTGGTGTGTGCTGTGGTGTGGAGTTGTGTGTGGTGTTGAGTGGTGTGGGGGCCAGGCTTTTGCAAATATAGTCGCAGGAAGCAAGAAAAATGGTCTGCGCATGGGCAGCGGACTTAAAAATATTGACCACAAGTAAAGCAAGCAAAATAAATTGGACGAAAATCAGAAACCACAAAAGCAACAACAACAATCCCAAGGAATAAGCGGGAATAGGAGGGAATGAGTGGAGAAGAACGTCAGGTAACCGATATTAACATAACTACCAGGTGGTGCGGTGGTGCAGCGGTGCAGCGAAGTGGTTTCCAGAGGGAGTCGGGCAACACGGCAAGCCGCTTTGTCGTCAGACTCGTTAGATAGAAGCAGCCATCCCCCATCTCTCCCCACTCTTAGCCATCTCTCCCCACTCTTAGCCATCTCTCCCCACTCTTAGCCAACTTCCTCCAACGTCAGCAGCAATACCCGTTCATTCCTCCGTTCGTTCATTCGTTGGCTCGTTCGTTGCGGCCAAGTTCTGTGCCGCAATTTGGCCCAAACCACCACAAGGCAGCACCACAGAGACTTCCTTGTTTCGTTTCGTTTGGTTTCGTGCTAGTCTCGTCTCGTTTCGACTCGACTCGTCTCGTCTTTTTGGCCTGCCAGCAGTAGCACTTTGATGACTTTGGCTATGCCAGTATGTAAGGCCGCTCTTGCCCCGCCATCGAATATAATGGCCGCGGCTGTCTCCACCTTCACCTTCTCCCCCAACCAAACCCCACCCCATCCCCCTTTTTTTTAGCCATGTGGCAGTGGGAAGCGCTTTGGCGAACGGCCTTTGAGCGGGCTGCCATGAAGATTCACAGTTTACTGGCTCTTGCCAAATGAATTTCAAATTGGTATCCCTTTGGGGCAAAACAATTAACGGCGTTGTGCTCGATATTCCCACTGCCCGGATTTATTAAGAGTGTTATAAGTGCTTTTCTTTTTGGTCTGGCCAACACAAACTAGTTGTTACTTAACGGCGAACAACGCATAAACATATATTGTACCACTTTAAAGTATAAACTGCACCAGCCTGATTAGTTATGTAAATTGGGGGTTTGTAAGGTTAATCAGCCAGCTGAGATTCTCTAGAATCTAGAATCGCGAGGAGTGTAACTACGGCGCCGGATAATTCGCCGAAAGTTAATGGGAAAATCTCCTCCTGCTCCGCACAGAGAATCTTTGCATATTAGCGACCGACCACCGGGAAAAAGTACAAGCCTGCCATAAAAAAGCGTTCAATAAAAAATTGGAAAAAAAAGCATAATCAACATGAACTGAACTTGGCGTGGGAACTACCAACTTTCTGCACCATTTATCAGGTTTGCTGATGACGGCTGGGTGGAAGGAAAAACGCTTCTGGGCCCAAAGGCAGAGAATCTAAGCAGTTTACAGCTGCCCGCAGCTTTCAGTTTTTCCAGTACGCAAATCACCCCGGAAAAAGTGCAAAAAGCTGCAGTTCCCATAGTTGACCTTTATAATTGCCTTTGGATGTGAGTGATGGTTGAGATAAAGTTACTATTGCCGCTTGGAAATATGAAAAAGACATGCCTTTATTTGGTTGCAAGAGCAAGGGGATTAAGCATCAGATTTTTCAACATTTCTAGCTATATTTTATTTAATTTCTTAACTAATCTACAAAGGTTCTTAGGAATACAATATATTGAATTTGAAATAAATACATATTGCCAGTATTCAAAAGTAATCAGCATGTGGAAATATAAAATTAAATGATTGATTTATTTATTGTTTTATTAATTTATAAATATACAAGTATCAAGAGCTTGAAACTATAATGAAAGATATACATATGTTGCTAAAATGAATGGGTTCCTGAACTGTTTACCTTATAAACTTCTTACATACATTTTGAAATATAATTAATAATCAATCAAGGAGCCACCCCAAAAGCTGCTTACTGAATCGATTTTTCCCTGCGTTCTTTGGATTTCAGGGGAGATCTTCCTGATGCGACCCCTCGAGGACATCGCCTTCATCACGCATGTGGGGGATCCGGTGCTGCTCACCGTAATTGCGGAAGAGGTTAAGGTGGGTCGTGACGAGCCGCCCGCACTGGCCTCCACGGTCCAATTGGCGTTCTTTCTGCCCGATCGCACCAATTCGCCGCCGTACTTCGAGAACGATCAGTAAGTACCAGTGCCAGTACCTCAGTGCCTCTACCACCAGAAGAACCAGCAGGTTCCCATCGCAACAGCCGGGGGGTACAAAAAAAGGTATAAAAACCAAAAAAAAACCAAAAATGAGGAAAAAGAGTTAAGAGCGAGGGGCAAGGGCAAACCTGCCTAACCACTATGGGTCCCTCGAACTGCAATTTGGCGAAGTAGGAGTGATGTTGCCTATCCGAAAAAACAAAAAAAGACACCCGAGCTGCGACCAACACAAACAACAAATTTTAGCCGCGTCCATTAGCATAAAGTCCTAAAATTCTTGGCATAGGCCAAGAATCCACGATGACGGCGACAAGGCGACGACTTAGAAGACCAAGACGGCCGAGACGACCAAGACGGCCAAGACGACCAAGTCGAAGACGAGGACTATAAACTCTTCTGCTGAAATCAGCGACTGCAGCCTCCATTTATGCGCACTAACTTTGAACTCGCAGTCCGTCGTTCTAGCCGAATTCTCGAATTCCCGACAAACTGGAAACTGCCAACTGGAAGTCCAGCTGCAGTCAGCAAAAAAGGGAGCTTTTCGTCAATAAAATAATCCATAACTCGGGAAACAGTCGTTAAAGTGTCGGGTCGAGAAGGGATTTCTTAGATTTCAAAGGTTAACTTAGATTTTTAAAGAAAAGCAAATATAGAATGTCTTTAAATGCCGCGCAATAAATCTTAGTTTAGTATCATGAAAATAGCCAATTAAACTGTCCATATTTTGTGGTGATTATTTCAGCCTTTATTGCAAATATAAACCTTTTAGAACCACTTTGAAGATTGCCATTCATAAAATATATTTTTAAGGACTGCAAGAACATATAAATTCTCATTCCCACAAAAAAATTAGTAAAGTTTCAAACAGATGATTTATTGAAAGCAGTTTTCATTATTTTAATTGCAGAAAAAATTTCTTAAAAATTGTTAATGATGCTTAATGCTCACATGTATGTAAAAAAATGTATGATTTTCTTGACCTAGAGATTGAGGTTTGAGGTTTTCTTAGCTCATAAGAATATCTTGAACTGTAGAAACAAAATGTTGGAATTGATTTCCGAGAGGTTTGACAGAAGTGCTGGGCAACTTTTTTGAGGACTGTAGAGGTGGGTTGTCGCACGCCTTAACAACAGAGTACAGCGTTCACGAAGTTCCTTGGCCATGCTAATCTCTGGCTCACGACTTTCCCCCCGGCTCTCCTTCGATCTCTCCCCCTCTCCCTTCCCCCTTCACCCGCTGCACCTCTCTAATCTCCGGATGGTTCTCCTCCCGCTTGGTTTCCCCGCAGCTACGTCTCGAGGGTGGACGAGAACGCCCCACAAGGCACCGCACTGACGTTCGTTGATCCCTACGTGCCGCGGGTCTACGACGATGATACGGGCAAGAATGGAGTCTTCTCGCTGACGCTGCTCAACAACAACGGCACCTTCGAGATCACTCCCAATGTGGCGGAGCGGAGTGCCGGGTTCCTCATCCGCGTGAGGGACAATTCCTTGCTGGACTTTGAGCAGCGACAGTCGGTGGAGTTCCAAATCCTCGCCCAGGAACTCGGACCAGCCACCAATCTCTCGGCGCTTGTAAATGTCACTGTTTACATCAACGATGTGAATGACAATGCACCGGTTTTCGAACAACCCGCTTATTCCGTGGAACTCCCTGAAAACATGACAGCGGGTACCAAAGTGGTTCAGGTGTTAGCCACAGATCCTGATTCCGGTTTGGGTGGCAAAGTGCGTTACACGGCCATTCTGGGTTATCTTAATACCTCCTTGAATCTCGATGCGGAAACGGGACTCATTACGGTCTCGACCAACAAACACGGTTTCGATCGGGAAGTCATGCCGGAGTATCATCTCTACGTGGAAGCTCGAGATATGGATGGCGAAGGAAATCGAGTGCAGGTTCCCCTAATCATCAAATTGATCGATGTGAACGATGAAACGCCCATCTTCGACAAGGATCTCTACGAATTTATACTCACACCCGATCTGATGGGCTTCACCACCACCGCAGTGATCCACGCGGAGGACAAGGACGCCACTGCTCCAAATAACGAAGTGCGCTACGAGATCATAAATGGCAACTACGACAATCAGTTCGTTTTGGACAAAGTCACCGGTGAGCTGACGGTCAAGGAGAAGATCCACCTGCGTTCCAAGAAGAATGCCAAGACGAGAAGAAGGCGACAAGCGGGTTTGGATAACGAGGACACGGATATCTTCATCCTGACAGCCAGAGCCTATGATTTGGGGGTTCCAGTTCGCTTCTCCACCACCACAATTCGAATTTATCCGCCGGAGAGCAGAAAGCGAACCATGACCTTCTTGGTACCGGGTCACAATCCCGACAGAGCGAAGACCGAGGAAACCCTTTCGACCATCTCGGGTGGCAAGGTCTACATCCACAACATTCGACCTTTGCGACCCGATGAGCTGACAGGCACGGAAGTGTCCACGGGAAATCCGGCAATTAAGGAGCGAAGTGCCGTGACGGCCACTGTGATTTACGACAGCTCATCGGTGGTGGACATATCGGAGATCCAGAGGCGGTTCTCCCAGTACAACAACTCGTATGCCGTCATGCCGCAGGACTCCTCGGGAACAGATGTAAGTGAATCCTGGTGGACGGGGTTGCTTTATGCCTTAAATAGACCCTTACCCCCTTGCAGACTCAGTACAAGGCCGAGAACAAGGTGCTCTTCTGGCTGCTCATCCTTTTGGCCACCCTGGTTGCACTCACCATCTTGATTCTGCTGCTTTGCTGCATCTGCTCCTGGTGTCCACTTTACGGAGCAGCCACGTAAGTACCAAGAAAAATAAATACTTTACTTCGATTGGGTTTACTTTAGTGGGTTCCGCACTTGAGTGGGTTGATTTAATCTTTGGAAAATATCTCATACTATTTATGTTAATAAAGCTCACCTGAACCATAAAATATCTAATCAAATTATACAATATTTTCCATTTAATTAAATTACCCACCAAGATTTTCCAAAGATTACTTTCTAATCTGAAAATGCAGTGTCAAAATTGCTGAGGCACCCCATTGTAAATTTCTCACCTGTTGACTCTATCACTTAGGCTCTGGGTGATAAAAGTTAAAATGAAAATTATGTAATTGTAAACACTGCACATTTGGAGTGCATAAAACTCGTTGCAAGTGCACATATAAAAAGCAGCATTCGGTTTAATAGTTGCAATAATATTCATTAAAAGCCAACTTTCGAATGCCAAATTGGTCATGGGTTAGCCGAACTGTAAAACTAATCCTGGCAGGCATTTGCCTACCATGTGTAAAGTGGTCAAATATTTACGATGACCAATAAATGTTGACGCTATAAACGCAATTGCATTTTGTAAAAGCCGGTCTAAGTTAATTAAATGAGTCCAACGGACATTACCCAATCTAACCAACCACTAAGCACCAATTCCAGCTGGGAGTTCCTTTGATCGAATGACTGGCTAACAAGTATCTTAACACTTTCGGGAACATTTACGTATCAACCAACATCACAAACAATCTATCCATGTATAATCTTTTATTTTTCTCTTGTAGCAAAAGAATAGTTAATATCAGTAGAACTGAAGACGATGTGCATCTAGTGCATAGGGAAATGGCAAATGGAAAACAAACAAAATCTGTTCAGGTAGATTTTGAAATTTTTCGAATTCAATTGTAGTAGTAAACGTAATGCAAACGCACTTACCAAATTCCAAATTTAGCAAATGCTCTCAATTTTAAGTTTTTCATTTTTGATTTCCTTATCGACTACGAAATTTTTCACTTTGCACAAAACAAAAAAAATGGATGTGGAAGTATAACTAACATATTCAAACTAACTGATGGTAAATTTCACAAAGCAATTGTTATTAAAAATTGTTAAGCAACACAAAATAATAAATATTCAAGTTGTTTTTAGGAATCCTTTTCCAGAAACAATTTTTTTGTGAAAAGTGCTCTAGTAAATTTCACAAAGCAATTGTTATTAAAAAATTGTTATGCAACACAAAATAATAAAAAAAATAATAGATATTCAAATTGTTTTTAGGAAACCTTTTCCAGAAACAATTTTTTTGTGAAAAGTACTCTTGAGTCTTGGCTTCCTTTGCATCATAAAAATCTTTTATGCTTTTTAGGGCTAATAAATGTCAGTAAATTGTAGTAAAATTGAATACCGAAAACGATTTTCAGGTCGCCGAGTGGATGGGAAGACGCGACGCCTGGTCGGCGGAGAAACCTCCAGATACCCGAACGAAGCCCACCCGCTGGGAGTTCCACGATGGACGTGAGCAGCTTGACGAAGACGTAGGCAGGAGCCAGGACATCGGCGAGAGGCGTCACATCCAGTCCGCCGAGGAGCAGCAGCGACGTGTTCGCATCAAGTAGGATCAGTAACCAGATTAATATACTATATATATTTAACTTATATATATCCGATTTGCAGGAATAACCGCACAGCCAAAGACGATCTTCATCTGAATTTCCACAACTCTAGGACTAATCTGATCAACGACCGTGACGTTTACATGGAGGATGTGATTGAGAACCGGGACGTGGATGATAGGGAGCACATAACCAGGACCCGGGTAAACCGGCAGGAGTACGGACGAAGGAAGCAATACGATTCGGAGGTGCGGCACATCGACGATGATTCCATGCGGAGGCACGAGATTGATCGAGGCAGCGACATCGACTTCAACACGGCTCACAACAGTCTCAAAAGCAAAAGGGAGCTGTTTATCAAGGATGGAAATGTGGAGATCCTGCAACTGATGACCAGGGATAAGACCAGGGATGGCTTGAATCTGGACGACGACAATATCTACGTGAATGTTCCCCTAAAACCTGCGGGTAATCTCTCCCATCCTCAGCTCCTAATGGTGGATAATTCCGGTAAGGAGATCCTGATGAGGAGGTTCATCGAAGAGCAGCCGGATGGCAAGCAGATCATCAGGGAGCACTACCAGATAGTTCCTGGGGCCACGTACATCCAATCCATGCCGAACGAGGTGCAACAGGGATCAACACTGAAGGGCGATACCTTCCCATTGGGAAAATCGGGACCAAATAGCATAGTTTACTCGCAATTAGAGCCGGAGGTGAAGGTCATACACACACAACCCGTGCAGGCAGCTGAAGGGGTATCCTTGGAGCAGCAGATGCAGCCGGCGGTGTCCAATCAGTCACTCACCCACGAACTGGAGAACTCGCTCAAGCAGCAGAACGCTCTCCTCAGGCAGATCCTCATGGAGAAGGAGAAGCTGGAGAACGCGTACACCCAGCACGAAGTTGCCCTGGAAACGCAGAGTCTTCCTGGTCAGTCGATGGCCATTGGAACTCAGACGGATTGCGATGCTGGGACACAAACAGAGGGATTGGATTCCGCCCTAGATCCAGAGATTCTCCACGGAAAACCCTCCCGCCGAAGAGCCCGCAGTGAGAATGATGAGTCCATGTCCGAGGATGGTTACGAGTACGTCCGCTTCAATCCGCCAAATAGTCCGGAAGGAGTTTACTGGATCAAGCGACGCAGGACGAAAAAACGTCCGAGGCAACCACGTAAGAGAATTGTGATGGTGGAGGAGGTGAAGCGGAAGATAAGGACGCCCATCAAGGAGGAGGAGGAAGTGCAGGAGCGGAAGAAGCGAGTGCCGCCGAAGAAACCGCTTAGGGAAACCAAAACGAGCATCCTACGAAAGCAATTAAGTGACGAGAGCCGCAAGGATCATTCCCGAAATGGGGAGAGTCAAACGGGCAATCGCCGCAGATCCGAATCGGGAAGTAGAGATCGGGAGATGATAATCGAAATCACCGATTCCATGGACGAACTAGCCAGTCCAGAATCTCATAGCATTCGCAAGGTGCAGGTGGATAAGTACTACAAGCACTCGGATGCCGACTTCGATGAGGACGACACGGAGTACTCCATCGATTCGGATGGGGATGAGATCGTAATCAGGACCAACTACCCCATTCGCAGCCAGGAGAACCACAGATACCGCAGGGAGGAGAAGATTTATGCAGAGCCGGAGCAATCGGTAGATCACAAAAGGCCAGCGAGGAAAACTTCTCCCACGGACTCTCAACCGGAAGCCATGCCGCGATTATCCAGGCGAGATAGTTCCAAACGGAGCACCAGGAAGCAAACCTCCTCGGAACCACCGCACAACCGGGTGTCCATCTCGAAGTACGAGTCCACGGTGACGGAGAACGGAAAGAAGCTGATGACCTCCTCCACGGAAATCGTAGGTTCAAAGCGGTCCCTAACCGATCGCAGTTACCAGAGCGAAACGGAGTTGGCAGCCCTCGAGCCGGAGGAACGCAATGTGCCCAAGTACATGGAGTGGTACTACAACAAGAAGAAGTCCTCCGTGAGTGGACGAACCTCCACGGAGTCGTCCAAGTCCCAGCCATCGATCAAGAAGAAGGTGGGAGCTGCGGAGAAGCGCGTTTCGAAGACCAGGATCACTGTGCATCCCAAGGAGGCGGAGGATGATGAGGAGGGTGGTAATGGCAAGTACAAGCCGGAACCTGCTCCCCGGAAATCCCCGCCGAAGGGAAGCCGGATGCTGAAGGAGGATCGAGCGCTGAACAAGCAGCACAAACCAAAAATCGAGACTGACACGAACCACCCACTCCTCCAGCACTCGGAGCACCGATTCGAAAGGGAGAACGCCTTGGAGGTGCCAGCTGCACCCACCAAACTGCCGCACTACATGTACCCCGAAACTCCGCCACATGCAGCTGCCGCCGGAAAGGATTCCAAGTCCAGCAAGGACCAACGACCCAAGCCATCGCCCATCCGGGAAAACGAGGTCAAGGTGTCCAACTCGAAGATCAACGTGGAGAATCGCGGGGCGGCGAATCCCACGCAGAAGCAGCTGAATGCCTCAACCCTGGAGGACGACCACGATTCGGGGATTGCCATGAACTCACTGCTGAACAGCTTGGGACGCCGCAATCCCATTGCCGAGAAGAAGAGCGTCTTCTCGATCGCCTACGACGATGTCAGCCGGGTGAAGAAGATCAACTCGGGCGGCGAGTCGCCGCAGTACTCGTAGGACCGATGACTCCAAGCCACTCCAAAACCCTAAGAGAAATAGGAACAATCATATGTGATAGCCTCAAAGGCTCCCTACCTGCGAATCATCGAACCAACACTATCTGCAATACTGTATAATATACACCAAAAGCCAGCTTGTTAGCCCATTCGTAGTCTACGGTTGAGTTTGATGTTGATCATGATCTTGATAAGTTCGTTCAACTCGTTTCCGTGCACCGAAGAAAGTACGTTAGGATCCGGATCGGTTAGCAGCCTTCATTTTACCCATAAGCCGACAGATGTAGTTCAAAGTTTTATATTTAACGTTATACCTAGAAATGTGGCATGGATCGTTGCAGAGGGGCTTTCCTCCAAAGGATAAGACAATTCTTCGATTTTTTTGGAGGATATAAATATGCCATGCCATGTCGCCAACGTATTCAACTCTATCCTATATGCATAATTAACTGGACTACGTATGACCAAATTTGTTAGGAGTATTTATACGGATTATGTTTAATGGATCTTTGTACATACATACATTTGTAGTTATGGATATCCCACAAGTCATTACCAAGTGCTTTCCTACCCGAAACTTGTGCAAATGTGTATGTACATAAGCTAATGTATATTATGCAGTCGAACAAACAGATGCCTGCCATATTGAAAACACTTGCAAATATAATCTAATAAATCTAAAGCGAGTTATTGTAAATACTTAAATATAAGCTTATTTGAATAAATCAACTTAATCACACATTTTCCTTTTTATTTATTTGTACAGCGGGTGCCCACAATTTTTGGGCCAAACGCATTTTGAAGTACCAGGCGAATTTCCATATTGTTCTCAAAAGTATGCTACACATTTTTTATGGAAAATTTACACAGCCAAAAAACCGACTGAAATCTGTTATTTTTAATTTATGAGTAAAAACTTTTCTCGTTAAAATCTTGCGGCCAAACCCAACATGTTCAACCAAGCCTGATTTTGAAGTACCAGGCGAGCAGAATCCAAAAATAGGTTGCTACTTCTAAGATTCTCCTTTTGAGAGAGATTTTATATAGGTAAATAATTAAATTAAACTGCAAGGGTATATCAGCTTTCATGTTGTGCTGCTTTTTATACGCACTACTCAGTTTCAGGTTACCAAACATATATCTAGGGTATTAAATTTAATGCTGTGTTATTATTCACGCCGCCGTCAACTTATCACCCCGACTAGTTAAATGTTTGTATAAGAGCTCAAATGTCGAGGGAAGTGCGTACAGCACTCACGCTTTAGATATCAAGTACTTATTTACGAAGCCAGAACTCCAAAGAACTTTATGGGTTTGAACCTTTCCCAAGTTCACAAGACTCTTATACTGGCTCAAACTCCTAAGAGGAACAACGAACCGAGTTTTTATAAGAGTTTTAGGTACGGGCACAACCTCAAACCAGAAATCATTTTTTAACTTATGTTTTGTTATTAAGCATATGTATTTATATCGACATTATTTAAAATATCACAAAAAATCTTTAGCTAGATTTTATAAAATCTCCTGAAAACAAATTTCACCAAATAGTGCAGCAAAACATTATGTATATTTGTTACAATATTTTCGGCATTATACCACTGTGCGACGTCGAACCTGTTTGACAGAGAAGTTTTCGAACCGATTGGGACGCTGAATAAACTCATCGTCGACATTCTATTGTCGTGGTTCTCTGTGAGTTGTTTGGCTTTTTCAGGAAGCCTTAAATTAAAAATATTTACTTAATTGCAGGAGAAGAATATATTTAATTCGGAGAGCTTTCGAAGAAAAAAATAAAACAACATGTGCAAGTGTCTCGCCGGAAACGTAGCCTGCTGGTAAGTTCTTTAATTAGATTAGCATCGTAAAACTCTGGCATCTTGTAAGTTGTAAGAAAAGGGAGGAGTTCAAGTGTACAGAACCATCTACAAGTAAAGTTTATGAATCGGTTGGTACGGACATTATTAATAGACCGAGACAGTGAGTAAGACGGCAAAAAGATAAGAAAGTGTGCAACCACCTGATAACTCGAGGTTGCTACTATTTACATAGAAAAATGTATGACTCCTATAACAAGATCATTATACAAAAGAGAGCTGTGTGCTGATACATATATATTACTTTTACTATTTATATACACCGAAAATCGCACGAAGAGAACAATGTAATTTTGAAGCGGAAGCGTAATTTTAGAGAAAAACTGGAAATCGCCCTGCGAATTCTCGCTTGCAACTCTTATACATATCGAAAGGTATCAGTATTGGTTTGCCCTCATACAGGTTTCCATTGCACGAATGAAAACAATGAGAGCAGGTAAACAAACCGCACGAGAGTCTGTACTCAGATCCGTTCTACCTGAAAGTATTTCCACTTTCGATGGCTAAACACATCGCAAACAAACGCTCCCAGAATGAATTACTTAATTGTCTATGCTATCATACGCATATTTTCTGCGAAAAAAATATATACGTACATGACATGCAACATGGTATCCACAGAAGACTACTTATTATTATTCCAGCTCACGCTTCCCTAAGGCACTCGACTATATGTTTGCATAGATATGTATACATATGTACATATGTATATACACTCGTATTCGTGCACAGTGACCACAATTGAAAAAGCCCATGCTTGCGTATCTATCAGATACAAACGGAAATGTGGTCACATCGAGAAGCACTGTGCTTCGCATTAGTTTCCTTATGTACCATCTGGCTCCAGAAAGTCCTGGCTCCGCTGAGGCGCGACGGAATTATTCCTTCAATACAAACCATATCTACCCCCAGGAATCACCCCGTCCTCCAATCGTTTTGGCCAACAACCGGCAGCTTGTCGCCGGTTTCGCATTTCCGTAGGAATGCCAGCTCTTGGCCATCAAAACGTAGTGGTAACTCGCTACTGGGGTGGAAATTTTATCTACGACTCTTGTTTGGGGTGCATTTTTATTAGACGCCACTCTTCATGCGTAATTAATTCGGAAGCATTGCATCATTCTATGAGCTGTCCGAAGTAGAGTTTTCCCCATAACTATCAAGGCTAATGAAACTAGTTTGCTGGTAGTGAAGTAAAAAATGTTTTAAATACTTTAGTAAAAAAAACATATGGACACTTTAAGTACTTCAGCATACATAAAAAATACACATGGTTGTTGGTCTCTAATGAAGTAGTGACCTCATTGAAAAAAATTTTGAGAAATGTTTACATATTTTAGATTGGACTCATTAGCAAGATTAACTAATTTATTTGGAAAACCATTTGTTTCATACAAAATATTTAATCCTTGAAACTTTATCTTTTCAGTTGCTTCAACTGCGCTCTGAGTGTGCTTATTTCAATCATAAGCGCATTTTTGGTAGTCATCATTGTGGTCGGCTTGGCTGTCTACTTCATTTACTACTACGAGAAGGAGGACGATGTGACTAAGTTCGCAAATCAAGGAATCGATAGCGTAAAGTCAGGATTTGACACAATCAAGGATAAGCTCAAATTATAAAACTAACCTTGGTAAGTAGCAAATGCACATGTTTTCCCTTTGAAGTTAATAAAGACTTTTCTTTTAGATACGTTCGCATCAATAACTGTTCCAAGCTTTGCATAATTCCATCGAACCAGATTAATTGCCACCAATTTACACAAACATACACCGCCGGAGCCTTTTTGAGGAGGATTGTTAACATTTTTGAGTAGCAGTACAAATAAATATTACAAAACCCTCTAAATATTATTGTGAATCTCCATCAAACAGAAAGTTTCTTCGCATAACAATTTTACTATAAAGTATTTATGCTGTTTAAGTACGGAAAAACTTATATAAAAATAAAGATGTTTTAAAATAAAAATTAAACACATTTTAAATAAGAAGAAATTGGGCTATCTTTAACAGAAGTATTTATATATTCACAGAGGTTCGCATTAAATAAAATACATATTTTTTATATGTATCTGTCCAAATGGGGATTTAATTCGGCAGCTACTTATTTTTGCATTAGTCTCCCTCCGATTTGTCACATTCTGTTGTGACTTCCCCCTGATACCCCTTAAAATTTAATATGAACCAAGAGCATGGACGATTTGGGTATAACTATTAACTAATATTTAATACTATTAACTACTACTTCTTGTACTTATTACATGGTCAACCAAACATTCCAAACAACTCGAGGATTGACTGCGTGCTGCGTATAAACTCTTTTAAGCTTTTTTACAGCTTCCGCAATTACAATTTATGACGTTCTCTGCCTAAACAATTTCCGGTTTTATAAGATAACTCATTCAATTAAACATTAAATTTAGTTCTGATAAGACCTCAAAGAAGTGATTAAAAAATTCTTTGAATAATAAAGATTTTTTAAATTGTTAAATGTTGTCTAAAATAAACCTTTTTCAAGGGCCAGTGCCCTAAACAATTGGGCATTGGCGTCTAAACAAATCTCTTTACCTTTTAATGTGCAGATGCCATAGTCCTCCTATCCGTAAAATATCCCTCCGCCCAACGTGCCAATCTCAATAAAATCGATATATTTAGAACCATTTTGAAGCCATCGACTCGATGAACTTCTACCAGGCTCCCATAAAGTACAGAAGTGCTGCCAATCGTTCGACAACTTCGATTGGATCCAAATCAGCCCCTTCATCGCTCCGAAACGGAAACCCAACACGATGGGGGAGGGAAATGTTTTACATGATGGAGCGGTGAAAACTCACCATGCAGGGGAAATGGGAGCTCATCACGAAAGAAAGTTAAGACGGTCTGGCAACGCCGAAAACAAAACGGTTAAGTGTAAAATAAAAGGACATGACATTTAAACAAACAGTTTTGAATCCTTTTTTAGTAAAAGACTTTTTTATTTAACAAACATTTTTAAATTTAAAGTGTGACCGACTGCAGTTTTGTTAAAAAGGGAGAAACGTAAAAACGCTTTAAAATCATACTTATTCAGAATACTGATTCCAACTATGTTCCTTACAAAATAAACATAAACATTCTTGAAATGGAAGGATCTGAAAGAACTTTCAATGACGACTACGAGCACATTGATGATCTCGAGTACATTTTGGAATCGGTGTTGATGCCCAGCGATGGGAGCTTAGATTTTGAAAAACTGGCCAACGATTACAATTCCGTTCTTCTAAACCAATGTGAATGCGAAACATCCTGCGACAGCGTGTCCTGTCCTCATGGAGGTCAATATGAGTACACAACGGATGGCAGGGAACTACTTCTTCGAAAATCGTCAAATCCAGTCATTGAGTGCAGTGATTTATGCAAATGCAGTAAAAACTGTTGCTCCAATCGCCTTGTGCAGTTTGGCCCCAGAAAAAATTTGGAAATAATCGACTCTCCTGTATACAAATCCAAAGGATTGCGGACTACGATAAGCATTCCCAGCGGTGCCTACATCTGTGAACCGCGGGAGAACTTTTGACAACAACCGAGGCCAAAAGGCGAGTGGAAATCAACGAAAAACTCGGCCATATGAACTATGTTTTAGTTCTGAACGAGTACGCCAGCGAAGTAAAGCAACAGGTGACTATTGTGGATCCTGCGAAACGTGGAAACATTGGGCGGTACCTGAACCACAGCTGTGAACCCAATTGCCACGTAGCAGCCGTTCGAATAGACTGTCCCATACCGAAAATAGGTGAGGTTTATTTCTGGTTATCCTATGGTTTCGAGAGCTTATCTTTCAAAAATCTCAAGGTATTTTTGCTGCTCGAAACATTTCTGCCAGTGAGGAATTGTGCTTTCATTACGGCGGAGAGGGGCAGTATAAGAACGTAAATAAGGGAAAGACTTGCCTCTGCGCTGCTCCGAGTTGCACGGGTTTCATGCCAAACACTGAAATATAAGGATAAATAAGTGATATACCTATTTGCTTATCCAAGTCACTGCAAAGGCTTACCTGTTATAGTTTATTTGGGACTTGGATTTCCAGCGGCGGCAGCTTTTCCTGAATCCATTGCTCAAGATCCTTGATGGATGCGGTTTTCAGTTCGTGCAGGGTGTTTCTCAGTGGGTGGAATGTCCCCTTGACGCCCAGTTTTTTCAGGGCTTCAAATGTTTCCTGGCCCCAGTCTAGCGGCACGAGCGTATCACGCTCTCCGTGGAATATTCGCAGCTCGGGAAGGGAATCCGCTTTACTATTCGCCAATGATTCGTAGACAACAGAGCCTCGATTAAGGAAGGACGAGTGAGCAAAAACGCCCGCCAAACTGGGCCGCAAATGGTAACCAGTATGCAAGGCCACGGCCCCGCCCATGGAGAATCCGCCCACGATGATCCTGTTCAGCGGTATCCCGCTGGCCACCTCCTCGTCGATCAGCTGGTTGATTTCTTCGTAGCACCGCGACATACTCTTCTTGCTCTCCGGTGCGGCAATGTTCACGGACTTGCGGTCGAACCAGACATTGGAAAGATCTCCACCCAGTGGAGTATACTTTTGCAGGGGAGCCGTAGGATAGAGGATCTTTATATGGGGGTACTCCAGATTGCGACCGAGCAGGAAGCGCACCCATTCCAGAACATTGGGGCCGGTGTCGCCGGATCCGTGAAAGAATATCACTGAAGCAGTGTGTTTTCCTGTGGCGTTGACAGTTTTTAAAGCCGGCTTCATCTTTTTAGTAACCTTTGGACAATTGTATTGCACGGTTTTATTTAAGTCCTCCAGAAATCAAAGGGCAGCAGTGTGACCAGCTAGGCAAAGATTAGCCAATGTTTACGAAAACAGCTGTCGGCGAACAAATATTATTTATTAGGTGTATCACTAGATGTATCTATTTATATAACTTTTTCGTAATAATTTCGGGTTTATTATTTCCCTAGCCTCTTTTTGCCACCCTTTCCACCAGTAGTAAACAAAAATATTGATAATTTTTTGACCATCCGGCAACCTCTGAAGTAACACATGTAAACACTCACACGCTTTCCAACACTCGTCTGTTTACCTCAAAGAGGAGAGGAGAAAAAAATCGGAGTGGCAAGTGGCAAAATAAATAAATAAGTTGTGAGTAACAGTAAATAAATCATAAAAAAGACGATCACAATATTCCAAATCAAATACTATAGTTTTTTCAAGTGGTTGCAAGCGTTTTTATTACCTGTGAAAGTGCATTTAACTTCGTGTTAAAACTTCAATGAAACAAAGGGAGGAATTTAGGGTTCACTTTCCCGTACATAATACGTGGTTATATACAGTCTCCGCGAAAGCGAACCGAGATCTTGAAATCTCTTGTGGCGCTGTGTAAATGTTTACCGCGCATTGCAGTAATCTCTTACAACAAAGTGCCCCTTCTTAATCACAAGTGATGGCCTTCTTGAGAGTTCCATTTCCATGGCCTCCATCAGCTGTTTGGCACATGGCAGTGGGAGTGAGTGAGAGTGCCTGTGTGAATGTAAATTGTATGTACAGCAGTAGTGCGTAAGTGGAAGGGGGGCGGGGAGTGGAATGTAAGTGAGTAATATTTGTTTATGTGGAAGCAAAGTTCAACGGTACCTTGACACACACACACCTGACAATCGTGCTGATTACGCTATTTGTTTTCACCTACACAAATCCGTTTGAACGTGTGAATATAATGATGTGAACGTGTATAAGGTTTTGCCTCCTCACCATGATTCGGCACTATTTCGCCCAGTTTTTGCCTTTATCATTCATTTACCAACAACCACAGCGTCACTTTACGCGGAAATTTTTAAAACCGCATAATCGACAAGAAGAATCAGTTACTAACGCAGCTGGACTTCCAAAGAATTACAAATGTGGTACTTTCGAGGGAAGCCCCTTTTTACGCTGATCTTCAGGTTAGGAAATTCCGATAAAATATATCTACGAACCAACGCATTTATACATACTTGTTTGTTTACATACAAAAATAACCTTTTGGTGGTATAACGCATTATACATATTAGGAATCCAGTTTTTCAACTCAATCGGAAATGTTTAGTGTCATCCAGATAAAAACTTCATAAATTGCAAAAGTAGGTAACGTTTTTTAATCTGTGGGAAATCCTGTGCGATACCCCACCGATATGACTTGGTATCTCGAAATAAATTGCCTTTATTTAATTGCTTTGTAACAGTGATAGGTTATTATTAAAATTTCTATTAACATACATACATACATACATGTATTATGTTTCACTTTTCATTCCGATTTTTCGGACCGTTCATCATTTTCGGACTTTGATCAGTTTTAGGCTATCAAAAAATTCCTAATTCTGAAATGATGCGCATAAACTTTTTCAAAAATGTTGTGTAGAAGCACATCTACCCTACAAATTGATTGGGTGGGTACACAAGAAGTAAGACATAGGACATAAGAAAACAGAAACCTGCTAAGCAGGTTAGGCATTTCTCACCCGAAACCAAAAGTCATGATGGCCAATTGCTTAGCAAAGGTACCAATTTCTGAACATCATCGTTACGATCCAGAAAACGCTCGTATGCCGAGCGTTCATTCATGGCATACTTTTATCGCCCCGAAAAGAAATATCCACCTGCACCTGTAAGCAAGGGTGCCAAAAACACCCGAGTCACATGTAAGCATGATAGCGCTCTTTGTAACGCTCCCCGCCATCCGAGAGATAAGTTCTCTAGGGGTCTCTGGGCCTTTCGATTCCCCAACGCGATGGGTCGGTCGGTCTGTGGAGCTCCGAATCAGCAGCAGTCAGTTGACGGGCTCTCTCCACGGCGCACGCATGATCGCCGGAGCGGATTTGCGGAGCAGCAGCTGATCGATCGTTCGTTCGCTTTCATTTTCAAAGAGTCTTTGTTCCGCGAATCGAACTTATCTCAAGTGGAGTGTGTTGTGCTTTAAAAGAAATAAACTCTCCCCACAAAATTAAGTCTTCCTCTAAAATTAACACTTCCCCAAATTATACAACCACATCCTGTGAAGTGTGAAACTATTAAAGATCTCCTCAACGATCCCAAATAGTGCCAAAAAATGCAAACGCAAATGCAAGCCCAAATGCAAACCCCCATGCAGTATGAAAGTCACATTACCGACATCCCCACCGCCCACAAGTTGTACGCCCGCCTCCAAGAAGGTTCGTTTTTTATTCCATTTTGGATTTTACGAGGGGTCTATAGTTCAGTTCACAGTGAGTTTGCCAGATAATTTCGTTACTCGGGCTTTTGGGGGAAAAAAAACCCTGATCATGACGGCGCACATTGCGAATCGAGTTCTCTGGCGGGTTCCACACTCTAAAACAGCCCACAATGATTGGCGAAAATGTTTGAAACGTTTTTAGATTGCCCTACAGTGAAGTCACTCGAAGTCGGACGTGAAATGTTTAATTAATGGAGTGATATTTCAGCAATTTCAGGTGCATTGCCCAAACCGCGCGTGTGTCGTTTTAAATATTTCGAGACACTTGAATGTCGTTTTAGATATTACCGGCGAAGAAACTGGTTTCTGGTGACAGTGCACAATCCGGTTGGCTTTCTTAACCTTTACAGTACACGCTCGAAACTGTAAATAAATTGTTGAAAAATAAGTTTATCTTATCTTGATAGTTTTCTTTTTGAGAAACAATAAATCATTAATCTAAAAATGTTCCAAAATATTTGAGAGGTAAAAGTATTTACCAACAAAGTATTATATCTCTCTAATTTCTAGAACGTATTAAGAGCTCGTCGTATCTTAACGTTCAGCTATCTGAGATATGCATAAAATTGTACGTCATTTCACACTTGGAGGATTTCTTTAAAGTGCCATCTTGCTTTATTTTGCAAATCATAGCAGATTAGATAACATAATAGAATATATAGCCCAGGCTGATTGCCGATCTATTTGCGATGGATTCGGTACAAGGGTTATAGGGCTTTGCTGTAAGTGTGTGCCAGTTACTAAAGGAAATGGAAAAGTATTGATAGCTTGAGACTGCAACTAAAAACGTTTACATATATAAATATTTAATTCCTTTGGCAAAAATTTGAATAATTTGTTTCCTACTCTCCAGAGGCTGAGATGAACAACACGTCGGAAAGTTGTTCCATCTCGTCGGCATGCGGCGGTCGGTTCGGGTCGGTGCACTCGACCTTGGACGATCACGATGCAACGGACGACGACATGACCTTCTGCATGTCCAACTACGCCAAGGAGGCGCTAAAGATGATGTTCATGATGCGGTCGCACGGCATGCTCACGGACGTGGTGCTCGAGGTGAAGAAGGAGCTCTTTCCCGCCCACAAAGTGGTTCTGTCAGCCGCATCGCCCTATTTCAAGGCCATGTTCACGGGCGGACTGAAGGAGTCGGAGATGTCGCGCGTCCAACTCCAGGGGGTAAGTTGTGTTCAAGCGCGGCCCTCAATTGGTTGGTTTAATGGATGAACAGTTCGTCCGTTTCGCTATTTCAGGTCTGTCCAACGGCCATGTCCCGCATCCTGTACTTCATGTACACCGGCCAAATTCGAGTGACTGAGGTGACGGTGTGCCAACTCCTGCCCGCGGCCACCATGTTCCAAGTGCCAAACGTAATCGACGCCTGCTGTGCCTTCCTCGAGCGCCAATTGGACCCCACGAATGCCATCGGCATCGCCAACTTTGCCGAGCAACACGGCTGCGTGGAGCTGCAAAAGAAGGCCAATGTTTTCATCGAGCGGAATTTCACTCAGGTGAGTGAGGTCTCCCCTTTGTTCACTCAACAGAACTACAACTGTTTTGTTTTCCTAGGTGTGCCAAGAAGAGGAGTTCCTTCAACTTTCGGCTTACCAGTTGATTGCCCTGATCCGCAGGGACGAATTGAATGTGCAGGAGGAGCGAGAAGTCTACAACGCTGTGCTTAAATGGGTTAAATACGATGAGGACAATCGGCACTGCAAAATGGAGCACATCCTGGGCGCCGTGCGCTGTCAATTCCTCACCCCGAACTTCCTCAAGGAGCAGATGAAAAACTGCGACGTTCTGCGAAAGGTTCCCGCCTGTCGGGAGTATTTGGCCAAGATCTTCAAGGACTTAACGCTGCACAAGTGCCCGGGTGTGAAGGAGCGAACGCCCAACACCACTCGCATGATATTCGTGGCCGGCGGTTTCTTCCGGCACTCACTGGACATTCTGGAGGCGTACAATGTGGACGACAAGACGTGGACAACACTGCCAAACCTGCGCATTCCAAGATCCGGCTTGGGTGCCGCTTTCCTCAAGGGAAAGTTCTACGCGGTGGGAGGCAGAAACAACAACATTGGCTCCTCGTACGACTCGGATTGGGTGGATCGATATAGTGCCGTCACCGAGACGTGGCGTCCTTGCGCTCCGATGTCCGTGCCGCGACATCGAGTAGGCGTGGCTGTTATGGATGAGCTCATGTACGCCGTGGGTGGTTCGGCAGGCACGGAATACCACAACACAGTGGAATAGTAAGTATTTATAAGTGAATTTGGAAAGGGGACAATAGAGTTTGAAATTGAACAAGATGGAATAAACCCTGTTATTGTTCTTTTATCTTATACTTAATTAATAACATTTATTGCAATCCCTTGCAGTTATGATCCCGATCTCGATCGCTGGACAATCGTGCAGCCTATGCATGCCAAGCGTTTGGGCGTGGGAGTGGTGGTGGTCAATCGCCTGCTTTATGCCATTGGAGGTTTCGACGGACTTGAGCGATTGGGCAGCGTGGAGTGCTACCATCCGGAGAACAATGAATGGAGCTTCCTCCCGCCCCTGCAAACCGGTCGAAGTGGAGCGGGTAAGCATGATTGAAGTGTACTCTTATCGCCACTCGAACTACATTGTGATTAAATTACAATCAGGTGTGGCTGCAATTAACCAGTACATCTACGTGGTTGGCGGCTTCGATGGAACCCGGCAACTGGCCACCGTGGAGCGTTACGATACCGAGAACGATACCTGGGATATGGTGGCGCCCATCCAAATTGCACGCAGTGCTCTCTCGCTAACGCCGCTGGACGGAAAACTTTATGCAATTGGAGGCTTTGATGGCAACAATTTCCTTTCCATTGTTGAGGTCTACGATCCACGAACAAACACCTGGACGAAGGGAACGCCACTGAAATCTGGAAGATCTGGTCACGCATCGGCGGTTATTTATCAGCCAGCGTGTTCCACCACGTTCATGGACTACGAAGACAGCGAAACTCCGCAATCGGATGGAAATAATGAAGGGGACAGACACGGAAACTCATCTCAAAACCCCTGTGGCAGTGGGGGAAGTCCACCCTTTTCTGGAAGCTCACCCAATATGCAGTTTCACACGTCATTCGGAATGAGCGGGTGCAACAATTGTGACTCCGAAATAGATGTGAAGCCCGAAATTCCACCAGAGCGGCATAGTTTTCAAATTCCAGCCATCAACTCGGAGGAGCTGGGCAATCCGAACTGTCCCTGGTCCAGAATGCAAGCAAAATTTCGAAGAACTCCACCGATTGGCTTCTCGACGTCGGAGGAAAGCCAATTGAAGAACCTACATAAATTCGACAGAGCGCGAAAAGCGTGTATACTGAGCACGGCAGCGAAAGTCATTCACAGCCACATCGAAGGTCGTCTACGAAAACTCACTGCAGCCACATGACAATACGAATCCGAGCCTTTCGCTTAGCCGCAACCAAAAACATCATTCATTGTACAAAGTCTGTTCGCATCCCCTAGAATTCCATGTTGAGAAAGCAGCATTCCATTGAAATATTGCTAGTGTGTTCGCTAGGTGATATGTAGTCAAGCAGTTTTTATGGCATCCATAACATTAACTGGCGCTCGTCTGCCCACTTTTTAAAGATTGATTAGGGTTAAAAGTTGATTAGTGGAGGAAAGAATCGTATTTTATGTATTTCGTAGGCAACATTACTGATAACTTGCATATTGTACTTTTTTTTAAAGTAGGTTTATCAAAGGAATAATGCGCATCCAAAGTAGTTTTTAAGCAAAAAAGTAAATATAAGTAAAATAAAAACTTTTTAAAATGAATTTACAGTTGTCTAAACATTGGGCTGGTTTGGAGGGTTAAGCCGATAATTATTCCCCAAAAAAAAATATATATATAAAAACAGACGGTCAATAATTCACGGTTAGGTCTTGTGACTAAAAGACAGTCACAAATCAGTTTGGATCCATTAAATCGCACTCACCGTGACAATGTCGTTTGTTCATATTTAAAGTTCATTGTTTTGTATTTTAACGACTCTACTTGTATTTTTTTTATAAGCAAAAGTCTTAACAAGTTCTAGATTAAAGACTCCTCTGTTTGCGGGGTCTTGGGGGATTAAATGAGACATGTGTGTTGTCCGTAATGGAAACAATGTTCAATCCACCCATTTGCAGTCCTTTGATAGCCGACTAAAGGAATATTTACGTTTTAATTATGTTGGTTTAAAACGAAAAACTTTGTACATACCATTCTTCCAGGGCCAAGACCACGGACCTTTACTCGCACTGTCTTCCAGCCCAATTCCATGGCTTTCTGTAATACAATTTCAAATATGGTGCATATTTTTATAATCTTAATTCAATAATTAACTTACCCCACTAATGGTCACAGCAGTAGCTTGAGCAGCAATGTTGGTTCCCTTGCGAGTGTTTTTAAATCCTTCAATACCACAGGATCGAATCAGCCGAAGGACACCTAGAGATATGATTTATATTAGTAAATACGAAAGAAAACAACTTCTAGTGGCCGAACCTTTGTGATCCGTAACTGAAATAATTGTGTTGTTGGGGGACACACGAATGTTGCAGATGGGAAGCTCGTTAAAGGGAATTCCATTGAATAATTGAGTGGCGGTGCTGGCATCCGGAAAGAACTTAGCTTTGCTGTGCAGATAAATTGAATATATTAGTAGTTAATATAAATTATAATGTGTTTCTTACCGGTTGATAAGTGTGTCTATGTCCACGGTCTTTTCACCCACTGTTCCTTCGTCTTTGGCCGGCAGAGATGCCAGCATTTCTTTGCGGTCCTCCGCCTTTCGCCAGCAAACGCCCGTGTGTATCCTTGAAGCCTGAATGGGCCCAACTGGCCGGGAAATGCTTCTAAAGGCACTTAAAATTACATTTTTAAGTGACATTTTAATTTAATACGCGGACGGTGTACAAAACCAAATTACATCACAGTGCAAGTCCGGCAACTCTGGCAGTGTTGGCTAATACGGCACAACAAGTGGTCCGCATCGTTGTGATTGGCAAAGAACAGGAAGAAGAAGAGTATTTCACGTGTTTCTGTTTTAAGTCGGTTTTGATTCTGGTACTGCTCGTTTAAAATGGCTCTGAAAAGGTTGAAGAGTGAGTATATAATTAATATTTCTACGTAAGTTAAATTACTTATACACGGCTACTCCGCAGCTAAAAAGTCAAAGAGGTTGACCGGCCGCCTCAAGCACAAGATCGAAAAGAAAGTGCGCGATCATAACAAAAAGGAACGTCGTGCTGCCAAAAAGAACCCGAAGAAGGGCAGCAAGAAACAGAAGCTCATCCAGATCCCAAACATCTGCCCCTTCAAGGAGGACATCCTCAAGGAGGTGGAGGAGGCCAAGCAGCGTCAGGAGGCCGAGCGGCTGGCCCGCCGCGAAGCCTTCAAAGCGGAGCGCGAACAGAACAAGTTTAAGTCATTGGAGTCCATGGTCGAGGATGCGGACATGCGTAGCACTGTTCACGGCTTAATGCACGAAAACGACGAAAAAGATGCGGATGAAAAGAAATACAAAAACGCCGTTACCAAGGAGCAGTCCTTAAAACAGTACTTTAAGGAGTTCCGTAAGGTTATTGAAAATGCCGACGTTGTCCTGGAAGTCGTTGATGCCCGTGACCCACTGGGAACCCGCTGCAACGAGGTGGAGCGTGCCGTGCGCGGTGCTCCGGGCAACAAGCGTCTGGTGCTGGTGCTTAACAAAGCCGATCTTGTGCCTCGGGAGAACCTTAACAACTGGATCAAGTACTTCCGTCGCAGTGGACCCGTCACAGCCTTCAAGGCCTCCACACAGGATCAGGCTAACCGGCTTGGACGCCGCAAGCTCCGCGAGATGAAGTCGGAGAAGGCCATGCAGGGATCCGTTTGCATTGGCGCCGAATTGCTCATGTCCATGCTTGGCAACTACTGCCGCAACAAGGGCATCAAGACCTCAATTCGAGTGGGCGTCGTAGGCATCCCCAATGTTGGCAAGAGCTCCATCATCAACTCGTTGACACGCGGCAGATCTTGCATGGTGGGAAGCACTCCGGGAGTTACCAAGTACGTTTAGTTTTTTCTGCCTCGTGTTGTTAATAGCATCTAGTGAGTCACCCGAAAATAATTTGGTATCTTTTTTCCAGGGCAATGCAAGAAGTGGAGCTGGATTCGAAAATAAAATTGATTGACTGTCCCGGCATCGTGTTCACCAGTGGAGGAGAGAACTCACATGCGGTGCTGAAAAATGCACAGAGAGTGGGCGACGTGAAAGATCCCTTCACCATTGCAGAAAGCGTTTTGAAGCGCGCCAGCAAGGATTACTTCTGTGCCATGTATGACATTACAAGCTACGACACATTCGAGGAATTCTTTGCCAAAAAAGCAGCCAGAATGGGTATGCACATGTTTTGACTTCCGCTAGAAGTAGCTTAATTCTTCAATTTTATTTTAACCTCAGGTAAATTCCTGAAAAAGGGAGTACCAGATGTTGTGGCCGCTGCACGAAGCGTACTGAACGATTGGAACACAGGAAAAATCAAATACTGCACACAGCCTCCGGAAGTTCAGGAAGCTCAAAGTGTTCACATCAGTGCCTCTATAGTTCACTCCGAGGCCCGCGAGTTCGACGTGGAGAACTTCGAGTCCATGGAGACGGAGATCCTTGCTCATTGCGCTGAGAAAACTGATGACATTATGGAAATAACGTCCACAGGTCCACTAGAGATAAGACAGCCGCGGGAGGAAGAGGATCCTGCACCTAAACTGGCTGCAAGTGTGGTCATAAATGAAAAAGAGAAACCGGCAAAGGGTCGTAAAAGAAAACTGGATGAAGAAAAAGAGAAGGTCGATCCTAGTTCACTGTTGGAAGGTATACAAAGATAACTGGCTATGGCTTTTCCATTATTTACATCTTATTTCAATTTCAGAAAACCAATCCCTAAACAAGGGCATCAAGCAACTGCAAAAGCTGAAGAAAAAGCAGAATGTTCGCAATGAGAAGAAAATCTCAAAAATTACAGACGTTCTGGATAACTTTAGCTTAGGTTCATCTTCTTCAAAGGCCGAAAAATACGATTTTGATAAGGATTATGTGATCGAGTAAATTCTGCCTTAGTTTTAATCATAAATAAATCTGTTGATGGTACACTAGCATATGAAAAAGTGTAATATCTCCAAAAAAAATTTAAATGCCACTTGTTTATTATTTTGGATGAATTTAGCCTTTATAAATGAAATTGTATTCGGTGTCCCAATTGTTTTTGTAAATATATTGAAATTTTATTACAAGTTTTTAAACTTAACAGTATAACTGCACTGATTAAATATTTGATCATATTGAAGCTATTGTATGCATTCATGTCTCCAGACTTTTTACAATGTAATCTAACATGAGGAGAAATTTTTAAAATCAGCCCAGTAACTTTGCTCATGAGTACGTTTGTTACTATTTTTATAGTGCTTTTTTGGAATTAAAATATACATACACACAATAATCACGTACCTATTTATGAATTTGCTGAACACGGTCTTCGTTTAACAGTGAGAAAATGGTAACAATGGTTTTACGTGGATCGATTTTATTCTTAGCAGGACATACATACAAGGCTGGGATTCTAGGATGGCCTACATACGATATTGTTTGGTACAGAGGTTAGAAGCTCTAGCGCAAGGATTTTTGCTACTATACCAAACGCTCGAATTGGCATTTCCCACAGGCGGAAATGCAACCGAAGTTTGTGTTTGTGAAACATGCATGGACGAAAGATGATTTCAGATTTAAATAAAATAATTATTTGTTACTTAACAGCTGGAAGTATCTTGGTGCGATTTTTAATACATTACAGATGATAGTTTGTTTCAATTTAAGCGATGAATGAATGCCATGACAACGAAAACAGTCAAAATATCAACATAAAACAAATAATGTTCGAACATGACGTATGCTTTCTTAAAGCCAATCTGATCCCTATGCGCTAGAGTCTAAAACCGAATCGAATTCAATGGTGATTTTTAATTAACCTATAATCTATGCAGATTCTACTGAACAGATTTGTATTTCAGTGATGTTTGGTTTCAGTTGGGTGGGGTATAAATTATGGGCTTGGGCTCTCTTAAAAACGTCGCATAGAAAAGGTAGTGGCTTCTGAATGTTGTATCGTAACTAGTCTATTTGCCATTCTCGAAACTGTTAACCCTGATGTGCCTTCAGTTAAGTATGTATACATATATAAGTTAAGTATTTATACATATCATATAGCTACTGGCAAGGAGCTCTAGCTCCACGCATCGGTACAAACTACATGTGTATATATAGAGTGAATCACAGGATTTCAATTTTTTCTATGTTTGTTTAACAATTACTATGTATTTGAATCAGGGACCGAAAATTTAAATGTTTCTGATTTTCACGGTAAAAAAAATCAGTCGAAATTGGTTAGTACTTGCGAATCTATCATGATTTCATTCAATGTGTTTTCTTTCAATCACTCAAAGGCAATAATTTCTTATTTTTGTGGCTTGAACTCGAGGAATAATCATTATTTTTGAGTACCAAAAAGTATATAATTAATCATTAATGATTATTAGTAATCACTACTCAACCATAATGAATGTTGCATGTTGTTTTTAATATAAATCAAAGTTAATCATTACCTTTAGGTAATAAAATCAGAAAAGAAAATTATTAGTCAGTTTTATATATAAATTTATAGCGGTTACAGTCCCTGATATCAATTCAACTCGCCAGACTCCTCGACTTCATGACTTTCCTCACTTAATGCGACTCAGATGCGTTAAAATTAATTTCGATGTGTCTACTAGCAGTAATTGAAACTTGTTTCGTAATTATGTATACATATTAACATTTAAAATGATTTCTTTTGCAGTCCTTTGTTGTTCCAAATTATTGGTTGTTTATTGGTTAACTGGCGGCTCGATCTCCTGCCCGCCAGGCACCTCCATCTCGTCCTCGATTCCTGATCCTCCGCCAGTGCGCAGACCTGTCTGCACAGTCTGGTCAGCAGCTTCTGCGCTTTCCGGAGCAGTTGACGCGATCGCCGATTTCCTTCGCGCCGCCAGCTGCTCACCAGGTCACAGCTGCATCCACCGCACGCCAAAGACTCGTCCTGGTGCTGGGTTGCCGGATGAGGTCCTGCCGAAAGGGCCCGCAGCAGGTACTGTCACCGCAGATGACTAAAGTGCACCTCCAGCCAGCAGGGGCAGCCCATGATGTCCTGTCTTTTGTAGTCCGGTCCCCAGCCCTTTACGAAGCTGATCTTGATGCTGAAGTAGTCGACGGGTCCCATGTGGTGATGTCCCTCACGTTCAATGCTAAGCTGTTTGGCCCTATACAAAAAAAGAGATATACATTATTTAATATATATAATACTGTTTTCACTTAACTTATTAGTTCATTTTATTGTTATATAATTACTAATTAAAGCAAAGGTTTGTGTTCTCATATCTTACCTATTTGTTTCAAAGGCCTTCAGGCAATCACCGGGCATCACCTTACACACACGGTCCAGATTTTCAGCCAGGGTGGGTGAGTCCACAAACACGGGTAAGTTTCCGCGGTTGTAGATCCAAACATCGCCGCTCTCCAGACTCAATGTGACCCCTGCAATCCAAAACCCGGTTAAAATGTGCCTCCAAGATAAAAGTCTCTTTTTCTTACCCAATCCAACCTTCTGTCGCGTAATTTGCACCAACTCCGAGTGGTTTTGCTTGGCTGCGGGAGCAAGGTCACGTAGGCACATACTATCCCCATCGCTGCCTACGATCCCATCGGTGTAGATATTGACTGCTTTCGTTCTGGCGTGGAAGAACTCCCCGACTCGGTGGGCCATCTCCCAGTAGGCGATTTGGCACCACTCCGCGCTGTTGATGTTATGATCTGAAATACACAAAAGAAACGAATTTATAAAGGTTATTGTTTCACTTTAAATTCTTAATGTTAGCAAGGTACCATAAACTGTGGTTGCGGTTAAGCTAAGCCATAATTTAAACTGTCTTAGCGCCGAGTTTGAAATCATTTCAGTAACAAACTAACTTACAAAACTAGTTAAATAATTAAAACCAGACAAGAAAATAATTAGAAACCTTTGGGTTAAGCGAAAACAAACATTTAATGAATTTTAGTATCAAGGAATCGTAAAAGTCGAATGGATTATCACATTTTACACATTTATTAAAACCATTAAATTGTGTCTAAGTGCATATCTTTCACACTTTAGATGGCGCCTAACTAAACGCTTTTTGATTGCGATGTCGCGTTAACTTGCTAACTTATCACCCAGATAGGCGACTAATTAAATTCTTAAATATGTCTGCGATAAAGTTGTTCCCATCAATAACAATTAATTAAAACGTAGTCTTGTAACCCGCATACAAATTGTAAGTTAAGGCGGCAATAACTCTTTCCACCGGCAATAAAATGTGATTTAAATTTGCCATAACATTTCAAGCCCTATGGTTTGCTTCATTATCGGGCGAGTAAGCGGTCGCTACATCGTTTTAAAGCACAGAAAGAACGAAGAGACGACGGCGAATTCAGCGAGTCGCACATCCAAACAGCCGCATTCACATTACGTTCACACTCACTTGTGTGCTCAGACATTTAAATGGTAATAATTTTGGCGCCAGGGCATTACGTAAACAGACCGGCGTCGCGTACGTATGTGGTTTTCGTTCGCGCATATATCGGTCTGTGCGGCTGTATATATGTATATATGTATATACAAACATATGCACATACATATATAGTACGCAAACCCACAGAGTCTGTTTATGGGTTCATTTGTATATTCCGATTCCGAACGCGTGTCGGGCCAATAACAAAGTGAGAAACAAGTGCAACTCTTTATTTGAAATCCTTGCTAACGAGAGTCATCGAATGTGTGGGCTTTGAGTACAAATTATTTAATATTTATGGCCACATTAAACCATTCATAAATTTGGAAATTCACATTTAATTAAAAAAATATACGTGTGGGCAATGAAATTCCTATGAATATCTCAGAATTAGTAAACAAGATGATCCGAATTTAAGATTTGCGGTCGTTAAATCGTACAATGCAAATATTGCGTATACGCCACCGAATCCGTATTTATATACTTTTTAGTACCTATTTGAGCTGACACCATTGCCAGCATAAACACACCCTTGTCATGGCTTGATTTATCAATCAACAATGGCATAAACAGCATTTTTTGACGGCACAGTGCAAATATCGCGCATACGCCATGGTGGCCAAATTGCCAATTGCAACAATGCCAGCGGGTCGATAGTCGATTGGTGGTGCAGTTGGCCAGAACGACGAGAGCCAATTCGAGAATTGTGTGTGCATTGGCGGACCATACCGTCGTATATGTACATATGTACAATCGCCGAGTTCAGCGAAAATCGCAGGGAAAACGGCCAACAATGGCCAGCACGCGCTCGCCGAGAATAAATCGGAACGAAAAGGCCGAAAGGCGCTAAGGCCAAGCCCAGGCGGGCGGCAGTGGCGCCAAGTAAAAATATATCGCAATAAATCCGTAGACGGCTTTTAAAATTTTGCATGGCAAAGAATGTGCCGAAAGCGGCGGGGGAAGTGGGGGCGTTTGGACGCTGCAAGTGGCGCCTGTCCGATGTTTACCTAATTAGGTCGACGCCGGCGATTCCGTCGCGTCTCGCCATGGCCACGAAAAATTGTTTACCCCACCAGGCTGGCGTCGCGCTCAACTAGGCGAGAACCCGACAAGATTGTGGGCCAGTGAAGTTGATCCGAGCGAAAGGTGATTTGGAAAAATGGGGAATGAAAAATTGGGCAACCTCAAAACGGGTTGGAATTGAATATTTACTTTGGAAATTAGACTGCTTCATCCGTATAGAGTATACTGCAATTTATGTGCTATACTTTCCTCATTTTTGGGTATTTTTATTTTAGGATGGGGAAGAAGTGAACTATAGTTGGTGTTAGAAAATGTGAAATTGGGAATGGGAGTTCTTCAAAAATCTCTACCCAACGAATTGCTTTCCACAATATTTATATATGTATTTGTTGATTTATGGCCATTTCAGGTGTATCTATAAATGTTTAATGACAGAGAACATTTGGAAAATGTGTGTAATGCGAAGTGCATTCAACTTGAAAAAGTTTGGCATTCTTGGAAGGTTCTGCATGAGAGACCAACCCACTGCACTTTTTCCTGTAGTACATATTTGTAAATTCGTAGCGCCGCTTCATGGCTGTTGATTCTTCTTGCTAATATTTATGTAAGTAGGTACATAAATGTACATACGTTTGTGTTAGATGCCCGAATCCACGGGCTGCTGCATCATCTTTAAATTTAGAATATTTTATCTTCAATCTGTGTGCATGTGTGGGTCGAGGCAGTGGCCTGTAAGTTTGTTGGTGGCACACATGTGTTGCCTTCGGGGAAACACGGATGTTCGACTTGTGTGTGCTCCATTTAGTGGAGTCCCACCGGCGATGATGTTGCATCAAGGCAATTTGGTAATTAAATCGATTGCTCAAGAGAGTAGATATGTAGTTGGTACTAACTCAGTGGACTTAAACTTACAAAAATTCAGCACCAACAGTTAATTGTTGTTAGAGTATAATCCAAACTTGGAAAAACTACTTGAATGCTTTTATTTTGTTAATCATAATGAAACGAAAAGTTTTGATTCAATTATAAAATACTAAACCCTTTGCCTAAAAATTTCCATAATTTACTTTAATCAATGAATTCAATGATCAATGAAACTAAAAGGCATACAAAATAAAATAACTGATAAATAGAAAAAGCCCATTCAACCCTAAGAAGTCATGAACACCTTATTATCGCATTCGCAATTCAATGAGTATCCAAACAATGTGCATTTGTCAAAACTCTGTTGGAAATCAATCAATTTGGAATTTCAATCTATTTTTAACTGGCCTGTCACCCAATCGTCGTAAAGCCGCAACTTAACGGTCCATTTAAATGTAATAGTTTTCCGTCGTTTTGTCGCCAGTACAATGCCATAAAAAAAGCCAAATACAAGGTGGTGTGTGTGAGTTCTGGCCAGTTTCACGGTGCCGTCTCAGTTGCCGGGTAATGGTAATGCCGTGAATGATATCATAGCCCCCGTAGGACCCCTTTTGGTCCCCCTTTCGCCCCCCTTTTGCCCATCTTTTCGAACACTCTTGTAAGTTAGCGCTAAGATTGTGGCGCCATCGAGAGCGCCAACTCACCTCGCTCCTCGCTCTCCGCGCTCTCTCTTTCGCTCAGTCTGCCGCCGCCCGTGTTTGTTTTTCGCTCATTATTTATTTTCATTTCGTTTTTGCTGTTTTCGCTTAAAAGTTAATATCAATATAGAAAGTGACGACCTGACGCGGCAAGCTGGCGCCACGGGAGCAACAACAATTTGCCAGCGAGAGAAAGAGCGCCCGCTCACACACACAACAACGAAGGCCCCACACACCTACATGGCAAAATAATCGCAACACTTTTGGCTCTCTCACTCTTCTACACCTTAAAAACTTCTCAAATGGCTATTCGTAAAAAAATTGCAAATCCAATTGTAAATGTTTAGATTTCATTTAATTTTTTAAAGAAAGAATAATTATTTGTCAGTCGTTTCTTATTAAACTTTAAACTAAGATTTTTTTTGGGAACAAACTTTTTGTAATAAATATTTCTATCTGTGCACTCTCCTAATCGACTGATAAGCGGGGGAGACTCACAAGAGAGGGGTGGTGTTATTGGGCACTAAACTCACCATTTCCATCAGTGGTGAATGACTCGAAGAGAGGCGGCTTGAAGGTGCTCGAAATGCTGCTGCTCTGCGCACTCCACGTGCTCAGCGCCGCCGAATTTGCATCGTTCTGCGAGTCTTCTTCGGAATCTGCAAGAATTGAGTTTTGGGTCAGTATCCTCGGATCGAAACTCTATATAGGGGAGTGGCTTACCTGCATCTCTCAGTCTCAGCATTTTTGAGCGTTGGTATGGCGGCGGTTGGGCGTCTGAAATGGCACAATTATGGAAGGGATTGCATTAGATATCTTGCAGATACACACGAAGGCTTTAAGTTTGACTATTGGAAGTTCTTAGGGAAATTATTACGGATCTTAAGCCATTAAAGTTAGGTAATTAACCTTATTTTGTTTAACCACTTTTAGTCTGGATCATTAAACTTTTACATTTAAAAGTTCTGTACTCAAAATCTCTTCTAGAACATAAAAGTATATGTCATGATAACAATAATAAATAACGTGCACCTTGTCCAATATAAAACCCCAATAATAATAGTTTTATCAGCATTATGAAATGGTCAACGGAAAGCATTTACTGCAAGCATTTTCAAATGCTGATCCCCATGTTCATGAATAATTACAAACAATTTCGAGTTAATCAAAAGTTCGAGTTATAAATGCGCGTCTTCTAGTCGGGGCGCACATAGGATGAGATCATGGTTCGCAAAACTAATACATACTAGTGTTCGAATATTTGAACAGCAAATCAAAGCGAAACAAAAACAGAGAGAGAGAGCGAGAGAGCAACAAAGCCAAACAAAAACAAAGGCCAGGCCAAGAGGAAAAGAAAAGGCAGGCGAAACAAACCCAGGCGTAAGCGTAAGCAAGCCAAACATCAGCGCGGCGATATATAAATAAATAATCTTTGCATATCAGGCAGCCGCACTGGGGGACATTTTATTGGCGCAGAAATCGTTTGATGTGCGGCGATCTCCGCTGGCGCTGTGTTTAATCTCGCTTACATTCTACTCCGTTTTCATTCTCTCATTTCACTTCCAAAAAAGCAAACGGAACGGGTCGTATTTGGCGGCTGAGATTGCCACAAACAAAGGCCTCAATGAATTGCCTGCCAGACCCGAAGATATTTCTCATTCAATTCAATAAATTCAATAATTTATGAAACGTCGCATTAACATTTAATGGGTTAACTTATTACTTAAAAAATCTAACATCTTTAATGAGAGTGCCATAAATATTAAATCATTTAAAATGGAGTTCTTGCAAGCTTTGAAATTTAATGGTATTGGTTTTCAAACTCAAAATGTTTGCAGAGGTACTTTTAACTTGTTCATATTGTTTGCGCACTTATAAATAAAAGGCATTAATAATGTGATAAAAAAGATGTCAAAGATTAATTTGCTGGGCTTAAGGGGCACGGCAATATGTAAATCAAACTAGATATAAACGAAATCGGCTTTGCATCTAAATAGCATTAATTAGCATCAACTCAATTGAATTCAATATTAAACATTCGAGTCGAATTAAAATTCAGACAACAAAAAAAACGCAATAAAAGAAGTGCACATTAAAAGTATCCATCAAAGTGCAACAGGTAAGCGTAGATTTTGGTGGGGATAAGAGATCGGTAGTAATGATCTTGGTATTCTGACGGCGCATAAATCGCTTGATGTGCCTCGTCAACGGCGCCCGGCGACTCGACTCAACTCGACTCGACTCAAATGTACCCAGATCGTGGCGATTCGCCACCGATGGTCCCCGAACCCCAAACCCCAAGCCCCAATGTACCAGTTAAACCTGATTACGAGCGGCCGCGTCATCGACGCCAACGACGAAAATCTAACAATTCTTAAAAAAAAAAAAAACAAAAAACACGAGCGCCGCAGCGAAACCGAAACTGAAACCAAAGGGAGAGCCAACAATTCCAGCACGCCGTCAACAAACTGATGGATCGTATGACCACCAGTCGGCGGAATAGGCAACCGAATATTCACGGTTCTGGGTTCTGTGTTCTGGGTTCTGGCAAAAGAGTGCCAGTCTATTGACTCAGATTCCAGTAATTGAAATCTAAACGTGGCAATTCCACCCAGTGTCCACGGTTTTATTTATCGACCGTGCTCCAGATTTAGGTTCTGGTTAGTAATTAATCTCTTTAAAAATCTAGTTCAGAGTTTAATTAGCATGATTTATTAAGGAATACTCTACATATACTATTGTTTGTTTCGAAGCTTCTAAGTTAAATTAAAAGAGGTTAGGATTGGTTGCACTTAACCAAATCTAAAACTAAATTGTATTAAATTATTTTAAATATTATATTGTTTAACTAAACGAAATTTAATTTAATTTAAAGTCAAAAATATAATCAATACAATTTTAGGTAGCAATTTTTGTAGCGATTGTTTTCTATAAGCGAAAATTAAGCACACCTGTCATTATTTCTCAGAAAAGACTGAAAAATTGAAACCTCCAAGTCTACGAGCTAATTAGTCAAATTCCCCCCTTCAGTTCCATTGAAGAGGCCTAAAACAATTTCGGCCAGCGCAAATGTGCCTATATAAATATGTATCTGTTGCCGATATCCACAGGAACACATGAAAAAAACCTCAACCGTGCAGGCCCCGAAAGCAAAGCTTTATGGCCAACCGCGCCTCTCTCAATGAGATCGGATGGATGGGGCTGAGGCACGCAAAATGATCCTTTTTATGGGTACCTCGCTGCCTCGTTGCCTCGCTGCGAGGAAGGGACGTTGGAGCCGCGATGTCCAAAGACTGGCACCGGTCGGCGGACCACTCGTCGTTACAATTCCTGGAATTGTGTTCCCCGGCCGATGCGGATGGAATAACATTATCGACTTGTTTAATGTGTTCGGCGCCATCATTAAAAAACCAGTCACTGTCGGGACGTCCATCCGCCGGCCAGACGATGACACAGCCAGCAAAAGGCAGCCAGCAAAAGGCCAGAAAGCCAGAAAGCGGAAAGCGGCCAGAACAGAACAGAACGGAGCCAGCCTGTTGCCAGTTGGTTTCAGTTCAGCCTTTTTTCCAGTTGCCTCCGTTGCACAGGTAAGTGGCACAGGTAAGCGACCAGCGAGCAAGGGAGGCTGTGTATCTGTGTATCTGCATCTGTGTATCTGTATCTGCGGACCGGCACGAACAGAGTCTTCATGTTTCCCAAAAGATTGTGTTCTGTGCACAGGAATGTCGGTATAGACATGCCTTTCTGCCATCACATCTACAGTGATTATCGGTTAGGGGAAGACGCTGAAATCGCTGGCAAAAAAGGTGATCTTAATCTTGGTCGCTATTAACTTAAACATCGCCAAGTTAACGTATGCAATTTCCTAATTAATTTGTCCGCAATCTTACAATCTCTTCGATTACTTTTACTGCGGATTACCCTAATTAAGGAATAGTTTTACTCTTTTTAATAGCTCATTTAAATGATTTTTTTAGTTCTTTATGGTTTAACAACATCCAACTGCAATTTACGACATCATATGTCGTTATTTATCAATAAATTATGTGATTATAACTGGGCGATTAAATGAAATAATAACTACGAATTGAACATGTTAACATGTTATTTAAGAAATAAATGACACATAGTTCGGGGAATTGTCTGGAACTATAGTATTAGTAAGCTTATTACAGAATTTAATAAGTGAAATTGTTATAGATTTCCGCAAAAGCCCTCATTGAGTTAATTCAAATTGAGGTTAGGCATGCTCCTCGCCGTATAAAAGCCACTGGCGATTGATGAAAACAAGCAGCACACATACGCCCACAGATGATGTATTACATGCATGCAGTTTAGTGCTGATATAATAGTCCGATTAGATTAACACTAGAACGGCGATCCATGTCCGCATACAGTTGTAAGCTCGGCCGAGTGATACGCACGTTCTAGATAACGTTCAATGTGCAAAGCAAACTGTTGGCCGGGGAAATGGGTTATAAATAAATCGCACTCATCTATCATCTATCAACCGTGATGAAAAGTTAATTCTACAATGTAAATGCATGGTGCATCTTTCAATCTGCATTCGATGTATAATGCCCACACATGCAAACACTATGTCTTCGTGTTTTTTTTTGTATAATATAGCGAAGTGTGTGCATGCGCGTGCTAAAAATAAAAACAAACAAATCGGAAAGCGCACATGTATGTAATGGACATATGTACATATGTACATGCACATGCTCCGATGTTTGCCCGAATGTACATACTCGTAGTGCGAATGGGATCTCTAAACGATGCGCCAACTAGCTGGTGGCGACGGACATGCCGCGGCCTCAGCTACAGTAAAGCTCCCAAATGCTGAATATTTTGCATATAAAGAATCAAGCTTGAAAACATTGAATGTTTTAACTTACAGTCCCCCCTTCATAATCCTCAAGGTAACTTAAAGAAAAATGTACTTGGGTTCAATGTGTAAAACCAACATTTAGCATAAGCACATGAAAAATTCTGAAAAAAACATTAATTTTTCGTTTTTTGCAACCATCTGCCAATTTTTTGTTTGTAGGTACAGTCGACTCTCGTTAATTCGAAACTCGAGGGACTCTTGAAATATTTCGAATTATCGAGTGTTTGAAATATCAAATGGTTCGAAATTTCGAAATTTTCGAAAGAACTTTTTATACTGGCTTGCTTTAAAGCACAATTCTGCTGCTCACACTGCTCAATAACTTTTTTTAAGAGAAAAAGTGCCTGAAATACTTTTTCATTACTTTCGTTTTGTAGACATAAGCTTTGTAAGGTATCAAATGAGGATCTTGCTTCCTTAACTGACACCTCTGCCAAAGGTTCTTTATACATACTTTCTAAGGCTCCTAGCTAACACTAACTTTTAATATGCATACCAACGAAAGAGTAACAGTAACTGAATAACTACACAAACCAACTCGTAAGAAGTGTGTGCGTCAAAAACTATATAATCAAAACAAAAACAAAGGCAAGATTAAACTTGTCGCAAAATTTTTTTCTCTGCAACTTTGAATTGTCGAGTGTTAGACGCTGATGAGTTCGAATTAACGCGTGGTTTTGTTAAATATCAATGATTTTTTCGTTCGAATTACCAAGTGTATGAAAATGTATTGATTTAGTTCGAAATATAAAGAGATTTCGTAGGGACCTCGTGATAACTTTGAATTATAGAGAGGTTCGAATTATCGCAGGTTTGAATTAACGAGAGTCGACTGTATGAGTGTTCTACAAAGGACGCCATGAAGTAGGCAACGCTTATTTTAAATTTTGAAAATCATGTTTATGTATACACAAATCCTCAGCTTTTAAAGTGGAATATCCAAAAAATGTAGTAAAATATATTTGAAATACATTGTTAGTTCATAAGTGTTGGGTAAAGGATATGTTTTCTAAAAAAATATATTTACGGTAAAAAAGCAATTTAATTTTGTATCACAAATCAAACAATATACAACATTTTAAAGATCTTTTTATGTATTTTTTTTCAAAAATATTAAAAATTCGTGTTATCGTACTGAGACTGTATTTCGAACAGTTTGAGTACTCGGACGAGTACGGTAATGGGTATGGGCAATGGGTAACGGACTCCGCCGCCTGACTTTGCTTTAGCTTTAGCTTTTGCGTTTGCGTTGGCGACGACGCCTGATTATTTCCTGGCGCCAGTTTCTAAATTTACGCAAATTATTTTGAAAAGAATTTAGTCGCCGTCATGTTGGGCCGACCGTTTGCGTGGCGCTTTCACGCACATTCTCCGCCGCTCTCTCCGCGGCTCCACGTGTGCGTGCCCGTGTTTGTGAGTGTGATAAAGCGAAATAAATGAGCCGGAGAGCGGCGGATTCGGTGGGTGTGTGTGTGCGGTCTTCGGTGTCTGTGTCTGGGCAAAAGTCAAGGCGGCGGCGCACAGTGAGCCACACAGAGAACAAATTTGATATGATTAATGTACGATTAATTTGATTATTATTTGAACTGCTATAAATAGTTTTGAACTAAACAAACGCTTTTGAAAACGTTAATTCAGAACTTTTTAAACATGTTAAGTAGAGAATTCTAACTGTTAAATTAAACAAATTAAAAATGGATTTCCTGTAGAAAGGTAAAAATTCATCAGAACCAGATTTTAAATAGGGATAATAAATGTCAGTATTATCAATCTGTTTTTTTCCTGTGTAGGAACTTGAAATTCAGTCTTCTTCTGGAGCAACTTAATGCCTAATACAGACACAGATACCGGTTGCACCTTGTCTTTGGCTCGTTTGGCTTTGCTCTTGCTCTCCAGACCGAAAAGCACTCACTCATAAATACAAATACCCACACCACTGCAGAATGCAACCCATGTTCGCTTGCGAAAAAATAAAATAAAATTGGCGAGCGGCGGCATTTTCGTATGGATTTCGCATGCCGCAGCGCCAGCGTGTGTGCGAGTGTGAGTGCCTGTCTGTGTGCCCTGGCGCCACCAAATACATTCACACATGCGTCTATGTATCTGCACCTCCATACAGTGGCGGGCAAAAGTATTGGCACAGCTGGCGCTTAGATTGCTATTAGTTGTTCCCCCCTGCAATAAAGATTTCGATAAGGTACAAATTTATTGAGGGGGAAACCAATTGCAAATGAGTTTCGTTCGATCTAAATCCAGTAAATAAACACACACTCTTTCCTTTTCTGATTCGATCCCGGAACTAGAATCGATAAAATTCAAGTTTTCCCAGAAACAGTGAAAATTACTATCTTTTTGGAGGTATCCAACAACGATTCTGAAAAGTGGATACAGTTTGGGGATTTATAAGTTAAAAAATCGCACAACCCTTTGCAATCAGAATAAAAATTCAAGTTTCATAAGAAAGACACAAATGTTCTTTAAACCAAGAAAGATTGAAGCCATAAGGGACTTAAGTCAAATGTCAATCTGAATACATATTTAAAAAAACATACATATGTATATGTATACATATTCGTATATCATTTAATTCAGGCAAATCGAACCCCATCTTCTGATGTGTTTATCTTAGAGAATTATATTTATTTTGATACCAAGAAGAGAAAAACATTAAACGGCTTTCACTGCCTAAGAATTCCAGTACTACTTTATTGTAAAGGGATTTCTTGTCCTACCTGTCTCTTGCTGGTGCATGATGCGGAACCAGTGCAGCGGGTTGCAGCACGTGTAGACGCAGTCGTGGGCGGCGGGGCAGGAGGGCAGTCGCTTCAGCTCCTCGCGGCTCCTCAATTCCGGCCAGAAAAACAGTCGGCTGGCGTTTACATGCTGCTCCCGATCCGCTGCCGTCGAGCATTGGATCAGGATGCACTGCAGGTAGGTGGGTGTAGCGGTGGAGGCGGCGGTGGCCACAGCAGCGCGATTCGTCTTGTTCGGCGGATCCTTGCGACTCTTGACCGCCAGCAGGAGTTCGGCCATCTGCTTCCGCTTCAGCGGCTTCATCAGAGCATCGAAATCCTCGCGAATCCGTCTCGCAGTCTGCATTTGGTTTTGGGGCTGATGGGCGGTTGCTCGGTTCGTGGCGTTCGGAATCGTGAGTGTGGATCCGCTGCTGGAATCCGTGGCGCCGCCGCAACAATTCCGAAACATGGTCGCAATGGTATTGGCACTCAGCATTCGGCGGTCCACCTGCTGAACAACCTGCCCCCGATCCCCATTCCGTTCCTGATTCCGCTCCTGATCGCTTCCGTCGATCAACATATCGTCGCAGGAGCTTCCGCAACTGTAGCCAGGAGCGGTAAAGCAGCGGTCTGAAGCTGACGGAGGCGACAACGGATCCTTGTAATTTGGCAGGCGGCGGTACGGGTGGCTGTTGTTGTTGTTGTTGTTGTGGTGGTGGTGATGGTGACTCTGCATCGAACTCTGGCAAACGGAGCCTGAGCCTGAGCAGTCCATGGCGCAGGACATCGAGCTGTAGGGCGGTGGCGGGGTCTGTCGCATTGCCGAGGAGTCCTCGTCGCAGGAGAAGCCACAGCTGGGAGGCTGAGGGCGGTGTCGATGTGGAGGGGGCGGCGGCCGTGGTGGCTGGACGGGCGGTACTGCTCCCGGCGCTCCATCGCACGGACCCGGATTGTTTCTGGACGCATAACGCCATAGTTCTCTCTTCTTTTCGCTTGGGAATATCATGGAGGGACATACAGTTTTGCGGTAACATCGATCCTATTGTATGCGCATTATTTGTAGTTGACTAACTTGGTTCGCGGACTCGACGGGGCCGGCTAGTCACGGTATTTTTACTTTCTTTTCAGTTCGGTTATCTAGGGGTGGGTGTCTGGGAACCTTGGGTTTTTCGAGGGGGAGCGGCGGAGGGGAATTGGGAACTTGTTTAACTGTTTTTTATACTCCTCGTATCACTCGTTGGCTTTGATATGCTTTCGACGGTTTTGATATGTATTGTCCAGTGTGCACTCTGCAATAAAAGAGAAGCATGTTGATTAGTCACTGGCCTAATTGGTCTTCCGAGCATCGTTAAAATGCACTCGTGTTTATGGCAACCAGGGTTGGAGTCAAAAGGGGTTTGGGGTCAACAGAAATCATCATTTTATATTTACTGAGATCTAAACTTGACTTGTTTACTTGTTACCTTTCTTTAGGTTTAAGGTGTTATATTTGAAAATAACAATAATCATAAAACAATATATACATATGCAGATAACAAAATACCTAAAATAGTTCCGAACAATGGTTAACAATAACGAATTCAACCTGTTAACCTCATTAAACAATCAGTCAAACGGTTTTGGATTGATAAGAGGTGATAAATGTGAATGAAGCTAGTGTTGAATGGCGAATCGCCGCAAATATGTTTAAAGTTTGTTTTATTTCAAAAAGGTTCGGTTTGGAAATACTGATTGGTTTATAATAAGAATTGCATGACTAGTGTTACAAGACATTCCGTAATTAGTTTATGCACGACTAACCCTCTCTTATTAAACCTTATACGATGGATTAGCCAAAAACTAAATACTTTTCTTTTTCTCTTGAGAAATATGTATGTACATACATATGGGCATTGATGTGTTCCCCTTTTTCGTTCTTCAGACTACGCCCTTGGTGGAAGGCAAGGAATCTGCCCGATCGGATCGCTTGAGTGAGTAATGCCCCTCTCCACGCCTCCTCCCCATTCCCCCCTGCCACTTCCACCGACGGACAGACGACGCCAGTGCATATGCAAAAGATCTGTGCGGCAGCATCAGCTGTTGGTGGGAAAGAGACGGCGAGAGGTGGGGGCAGAAGAGCCAGTGTGTGGCGGGGGACAAGGGGAGCAAAGCGAGGAGCGCCGCAAATTAACAGCCCAAATGTGTGTGTGTGGCCCATGCGAGCATTTCCATTTTGTTGCTGGCATTTCTTGCGCTCCTTATCGACGACAAAAGTGGCGCCGCCGGCATGACGGCAACAACAAAAACAACGAAGACAACAACGGCACCAGCGAACAACAGCAACAAAATTACGAGTCAGCCCCACAAACACGCTCACCAACACACACACTCACACGTACTCGCTCACTCACTCACACACTTACAGAATGCTTGCGTGCAGAGTAAAAAAAAAAAGGCAGGGCGGCGGGCGTGCGAGCGAGACGGAAGCGCCTGGCGCCACTGACGTAATAAAAGAAATAATAGTAACGATGTCGGCGGCAGAGGCGTCGTCGGAATGGCGCCACACCAACACAAGCTCACATCAGACAGACACGGACGAGCGACGGTCGGTTTGTCAGCCGGTTTGACAAGTTGAAGAATCAACAATTTAAGGTTGAGGTGAGTATGGAATAATCTACCGCTGCCGTGGTCAGAAGAGAGCACCCCGAGCGAGAGAATCAGCCGGCCATGTGTTGGTGTATGGTGGGAATGGGAATCGAAGGCACTCTAGAAACTCTTCTGAAAAGTCAGGCACATAAGGTTCTTTTTAAGTTTGAGATATTTTTCTTCACAAGAACCCCAATCTGTTTGATGTGAAAGCCATTTGTTATTACCAAAGATCGCGAATAACAAGTGCAATTTATTGAAGAACTTCCAAGAACATTGAACTTTTAAAATGTTTTGAATTCATTTTTGAAGAACATCGCGATTACAAACATTTGTTATTTTCATGCGTTTCATCATACCGATATAGAAAAAGAAAATTCAAAATCTACATCAAACAAAAAATAACAAACAAAATATCCTTATTTAAAGCATATACATACAACTGGTTAGATAACCTAGTGATGGTTTTCAAAAAATTGCAGATTAAAATTTTAACGTTATGTTCTTATGTATTTTTTGATAATAAAATCATGACTAATTGCAAGTCTAATTGGAAATAATCCTTCACAATTCGGTAACAGATATCACTTAGATTAGAAATTACATATGTATTAAATAAAATAATATTTATGAAGGGACCTTTAAAAACGAGCAAATTTGGTTACTAAGCATTACAGCTTTTTCTAAATAGAGTTTTATAAAGCCTCTTTAACATAACCACGAGTACATCCCTCCGAAAATTAATTTAAAGAACCATTGCATGTACTTACTGTTTTAATTATATTTCACAAGTGGTATCCGTACTATCCTTTTCTTAGATATTTTAATTTTAGATGATATGTAATGTGTACATTTGATATGTTTAGAAGTTCACTTGATACTTTCTATTTTACATTAACTGCAGAAGAACAAAATATTAATATTGCACAACGAAGTTTAATTTGTTTAACACGTGCCGACGGGTTTTTTGTTAGTGGATTGGTAATCGCAGTCGTCTTTTTTCTGTTTTTTACTGGTCAGTCACTTTTTGCTATGCATATGTACGTTTGTGCGGTTTTAATAAGGTGCGAGTAATGTGTTGATTTCGGTTGAATATTATGCTGGAGTGGCCGAAAAACAATAACAATTCAACGTGGTGGAAAAGGTGTTTTTTGTTGGCTTGCGATTTGCGCTCTGCTTTGATTCTGCCGGCGTCGCTGCCTCTGCTATATACATATATGTTTGTTTGTTTGTATAGACGAGTGCAGGTACAATGTGTGTACGTGGCTGGCTAACAATTGCATTTCTTTTCTTTTCGATTATTTGTCGAGTTAAAGTTTTATTACACCCGCATATATTTTTGTTATTTGCCCTGCCTTTTGCCCCGATTCATATCGATTTTTAATTTGCGCAAGCACGCACACACACGTAATTTCCAATCGAGATCGAAGATCCGTTATCCGAAGGAAAAGCCGGCGGAGAATTCTCGCTCTTTCCTCGCACACAAACATCTACATTTGCATAGAACTCATAACAGCAAAAAAAAAGAATTTTCGCCAGACGATTTCCAATCCCCTTCAATTTTCACTTCGTTTAATTTGGTTGCACTCACACTTTTCTATTTCCTCTTTCACTATTCAGTTCTGGAGCGTACAACAACTCCACTGCACTTGTTTGTTGTTTACACCCGAGTTTACAACAAAAAACCCGTAACCGTATCGAAAAATCGAAAAAGTCGACAAAGTCCGAGTGTCCTGCACTGCGCAATGTTGTCATTCGATTAACCCGAAAATCGTTTAGCAGTTCCGAACACAAATAACATTATTTCGGAATATTTATCGTGGCAATACGTCAAGTATCCATCTTTTTGTTGATATCTTTCGGATTTCTCGAACGGCAACGAACACACAAGCGGCGCGGCTGAAAAATGTTGGGGCAATGAGCCACGGAACTCAATGGACTGACGGTCTTTGGATCTGTGGGGAATAAACCTGGTCGTTGAATTTACCAACAGGCTGAGAGCGCGAGAGCGCGCGAGCAACAAGAGAGAGAGGGAGAACTGCTCAATGTAGGAAATATGCAGTTATCGAGACTTAAGAAATTATGTCAGATCAAACAAATTTTATTAACTTTGAAAATTATCCCTCGTTTCTTATTTAATAGGGATTTATCATTATGATGTCTTCAGAATTTTGACATCTCTACTTCGAGAGCAGAACAATTGAACTCAAACTGAGCGGAGAGCTATTTGTTGGATGCCGTGGTGAGTTTGGCTCTCCCACACACAGACACAATACAACCTGCGCACGCACACCCACACTCGCTCTCTTTGCCGTAATCTCTCCGTTCTAAATGCACTCAATGCTGGCAGTGCCGTTAAAATAAGTGTTGGCAAGCGCCGTTATTTTCAAAAATTTTATAATCCTTGGTTAGAAAACGTTGGGCTCTTAGAAAATCTTTTGATTTTAAGGACTTTAATTAACTTGCATATATATCACTAATTAATAAAAAAAGGGTTCCAGAATGTATATAAACCGTAGGAAATCTTATTTTTTGCGGTCTACGTTGAGGCAAATGTGATGAATGGTTGTGATCAAGGGCATATCAGTTGCCCATGTCTGCCCAAACATACTGACAAACTCACGCCCATACAAACTGGCGCCCCTGCAGCGTGCCTTCACACACAGACGCACTCAGAACGTGCAGCGAGGACCGAATCGTACATTAAGAGAAATCAGTAAATGTACAAAATTGAATAAACAAATTTTTTTGCAATTTAAAACACCTAAAAATAATCTAATTCTTTTAATTTATTTAAACTAAAAATACTTTGTGTTCAAACAAAAAATGTTTTTCAAATCCCCCTTTTTAAGCCCGATTTAGGGTGCCTAAATTTCGCTCAGTGCCAAGCAGACGCTCCAGCAGGAACCTGGGTTCTTCAGTTCCAGCAGAAATACATAATTGTCTCTCGTTTGGACGACTCGAAAACACAAAAGCAAATAGGCTACCGTCATTAAGATAATAACAGGTCGGGAACAGGGAACACAGGCCACTTGTGGAGTGGAACCGGCAACCGGCGATGTTGGCAGGAGGAATTCGATCGCGTCGTGAGCGTTAAATAAGCGAGAGTCGGGGCTCCGACTTGTGGAGGGGTGTATGGTATTACCTCGGGAAAGGACAGCAGTAGGAGTTTGAATACATTAATTTCTTATGTGGAAAAAGACATTCCGCAAACGCTAATAATAATAAGACAGAACGCATCTTATTCGAGGAACCCCAATGATTTTGCAGTTCTCTCGTAATACTTTACTTTTTTCAGGTAATCTACTGAAGATAAAAAAGGAGAGTGACATTTTTTAATTTTAAAGGTAAACCCTTTTTTGATCTGAAGTTCACTAGCATTTCACGTGAATAGTAAAGTAAAGATAAGAAATCAATAAATATTAAGATACAATAACATGATCACCTTTAAAGTCACGCTGATTGTTAATGGGTGAACTTGTTATACTATAAAGATAAATAAACATTTATATTTAAATCTCCCCCGCTTTAACAATATATCACAGGTGTTGTGGCTCATTTTACACGTGCCTATATCCAGAGTGTACCCTAATAAAATGACGTCATCTATTTTCGAACAAATGCACAATGTGGATTAGCATAAATATGTTTATTGTGTGTGGGACGGTGTATAATTTCGGTGATATAGTAGATGGTCATCTATGAAATCTTAACTCGCTCGCCTGTTTACGGGTTGGCATGTTGGGAAAGTATCGGGTTTCCGATTCGGTCTTCTTAAATGCCGACAAAAACTGTGGAATTTAGATCATTCAAAATCTTTTTCTAATTTTCGGTCAAAATAATTCTAAGAAGTTCAGCGGCTGCTGGTGAAAAATTATCTCGAAAAGCAGTTTGATCCACAAAAAAAGGTCGAATTTTTTGCTACTCCATTTAAAAAATTTCCCACATTCTTGTCAGATTAAGTTAATAAGCTGTAATAGTACTTGATCTCCTGACCCTCTGTGATGTCCAACTGATTGTTCAGTTGACAGGGGCCCACTTGGGTGGTCACGCATCCTTGAGAACTCTTCACTCCTGCATTCTTCGCAAATCTGCTGCAGTCCACTATCGGCAGAAGACTTCCTCTGAAACCCCGAAGCTGACGAAATTCCTGGCAGAGCTGAAAACCAGTTTAGCATCGCTCCATCATCTCCACTTATCCTGTGCAATGCTTCGAGATTTGTATGCCCCTTAACGAGTTCCAGCCTTTTTTATTCATTGATATTCCCACTGCCATCTCTTTCGCCCTTGGTTTTGAGTTTCATAAGCTAATTTTCGAGAGTTCATTCAAAGAAGATAAATCTGAGTAGCGTGTGTCCCTTGGAGTCGGAAGAATTTGTCTCGCCTTTGAGCTCTGAAAGCCATATCGACTTACCTGTTAATTTCGATCAGTGGTCTTTGTTCAAAAATGATTAAATACTTGTACGAATCTTTTTATATACATCTTTTTAAATTTAAACTTTTGTTATAATAGTTTTGTATTAAGTTTTAAATGTTGAACTAGAGTTTTGCTTGAAAATAATACATTTTAAAGTTGTATATGCATTTTCTTTTTTTAGCTTTGAAAGGCAGTGTAGAATTTGTTGACAATCTCATCTGACATTTAAATTAAATGAGTTTTACAGTATCTTGTTAAACAGGTGTTTTAAATGTTTTGTGTTATCACATTTTTATTTTGTTTTTATGTTTTTGTTCTTAGGCTAAAAACTTTTTAATCATTCAGTTCAAATTGATTAAAATTTGTTTACACAGTGGTTTATTATTATTATTATTATTATTTGATTATAACAAAATAATTCACTTTTTAACACAACTTGTTGAGAAATTAAACCAAGTGTTATATGGGGCTTACCTCCTGGATATTTGGTCATATCCTTATTTATTTTCAACTGTTTGTAAATTGTTCCTTTTGAATGTTTTGAATATTTGGTTAGAATGGCGCGCGTTTACTTTTGACTGACGCGATTTGGTGGACGTGTCCTGTGGCGCATTTCTAAGCCAACTAAGCTTCGGCGGTAGCGGGACTCGTCCTTTTATAGCCGAGGACTCGGCTCCGGCGGTTTGGTGCGCACTGGGGACTCCTGCGACTGCGACAACTGCGCACGGACATGGAAACATGGAAACGGACTCGCCGGCGGCACGGAAAGAATCATTGGACAAGGCGCCGTCGCCGCCGCCGTCTGAAACTGAATCGAGCTTACGAATCCTCCTTGGACGCCGACGCCACTCCTTCGTCCATCGTCCTTCGTCCTTCTTCTGACTCATTGTCAGTCCGCGCCAGCCATTCATGCACCAAACTGGCACTTGTATGCAAACTGGCAGATGTATGTCGCTGTGGATATTCGAGTTTATTGTCTTTTCCCTTCTTTTTTGTGGCGCGCACACTAGATGTTTTGGTTTTTGTTTGTTTTGGTTTTTGGCTACTGGACCAGTCGGCAACTTGAGAAGGATTTTTTGTCTTTTTCCGAACGTGTCCATGTCTGCCATAAATGTAGTAATCATAACTTGATGACAACTTAGCTTGATTAATACAAATTTAAGCAACTATATATTTATTTAACATGCTTGATTAATAAAAACGCAACTATGTAGTTTGAATTTCTTCAATAAAAATGTAATCATTTATAATTTACTGTGTATTTATTCAACGCACCTCTTCATAAATGGCAATAACTTTGTGTAACCCATGCCATAATTTAGAGTTATCTTGAAGAAGGATCCCTAAACAGATATAATTCATCAAAAAATAATTAAGTATCTTATCTTATCATGTTAATCTTGAATAATACATTTATGCATTATTAACAATCCCCCGGCAAGAACGAGGAATCCTATTAAATTGAAAGAAATTGAGGGACTGCAAAAAGCACGACGGAGTAAGTACATAAATTTTTAGTTGGCGTCACTAGGCGTCTGGTCTAGTCGCACTGGTGTCTAAGCTGAAACCTATCTGCGCGCCATTTCGTTTTTCAAATGTTGGCTGCCGGCGACGGCGACGATGGCGGCTGGCGGCCGAAGTTGGCCTAAACCGCACAGCGAGCCCTATTCGCAGACACTCCACTTCGATGGGAAAGTTTTCGCGACCCCGTCAACCCATTGGCAAACGAGAGGAGAAATCAAAACAACGACTCTCATTAACCGGTAATTAAGTGGTTAAGGCAAAAGTAACGAGGTCAAACCTCAACCAGTTGGAAAAGGCGAGAAGTTAATGCAATTGGCATGATCTTATTTAAGTGCCTAGATTTTAATTTCGAAGAATCTGTGAATGATCTTCCTAAAAAATACATATTACTCATACGACACGTATTCTAGATTAAGATGGGTTAAACAAAATGTTGTGCAAATCTAAAACGTTGGCATTAGGGCATGTCTACATATGTTCGCTTTATGATAACGCCACTATCTACAGGAATTTTTAGGACTGTGCTAAATAAGCACCGGCAACACTGCGTATGAGTAATTTTATCATTATCTAAGTGTATCTTTGACCTGAGAAGTAAGATCTTTGCCGCCAAAAAAAAACAATTTAAAAAAAAGATATCAGACTTTTAAATTTGATCTAGCATGGATCACTTAATTCGCTTGTTACTTGTTATTAATCGGTTTCTTTGGTGGAAGTGTAAAAAAGATCCCTTCGCCTCCCCTTGGCGAACCAGTTGTGGTGCCGTCAACAAAAACAACGACGGCCAGATAGACGCGACAATAACTCGTCATCATCGACGCGCCGGCTATTTTCGCATCTAATTGTGAGAGCTGCGGCGTTTGGCGCGCCAATGGTGGCAATGGCAATAATAGCGGCGCCCAGTGGCGCACACTTGGCCCGTTCGCAAATCAAAGTTCTGCGTATCCGCATCCGCTGTGTCCTGGTCCTGCCCAGAACTGCGGCACTGTCTGCTCCGCTCCACGGCAGCGGCACAGTCCTTTTCGTCCTGTCGCGGGCTGCCTGTCGTCGTGCCATTGTCGCTGTCGCCGAAGAAGCAACGACGGGCGACTGGTCGCCGCAATCGTCTGTCTAAGTCTAGCCTTTGGGTGCACTTCGAAAAAATGTGTTCGGTTGGGGAAATTTCCTTTAGTTATGGCGCCAAAGAGTTTTTGAATTAGGGCAAAAAACAATGATTCGGCTAAGTTGCGTGATGAACAAATGTCAGCTACCTAAAATGTTGCCTACTTATTGGCGTTAAAAAAGGATGTAAAACTAAGAAATGGTTATTATTAAAATATGTATTAGTAATCTTGGAAAACCAAAATGAAATACATATCTTTAAAGAATTTATTTAAAACTAAATTTCAGTTTTTGTTGGTATTGTCTGAAAATTGGCATTACAAAATGAGTCTTAAATCGAAGTAAATAAAATCATTTTTCAAAATAATATTTATTATTTCATAATAATATCATTACATTACACAAACATTATATGTATATGCATGTAAGCATTTGAGATGAGTATTAATTAATTGGAATACATATTTCAAAAGCAGAACCTCATATAAAGTTAAACAATTTGCCCCAGTGCACTGAATTTTTAGTGGGAATGGGTGCGTGGGCTTCGCTGCGCATCCCTTCGCGCTGGGCGGACTTTTGCCGACAAGTTGTCGTCTTGGTGACCGTCGCCAGTGGTTGGCGTCGCCGACTCAGAAATTTGCAACAATTCCCGAGCGCGCCGCCGCCACTTGTTACGCACTTTGGCGCCTCCGCACAGCGAAATGTCCCTTACGGACGGGCCGCTGCCGACACTTCGACGCTTGATTCTGCGCCAAAAACAAAACACAGACAGACACAAAACACGGTCTGTCACCGCTCCATTGATGTTGATGCGATGACCCCCACTCTGAGCATAGCATTCATAAATGTTTATCGCAATGTAATTGGAATTATCATCACAATTGGCCTATTAGGGTTGAAAGCAACATTTTAATGACAGTACGATATTTAAATAAAAACAGTAATATGTTTTCGGTGTGTTCTGTGAAATGGTATGTTTTATTTATTATACTCCTTGAAATTATATCAATTTTAAAATGTTTTTTTTTTTTATCTGCGAACATATTTAAGTTAAATGTTTGAAGTGTTTTCTCGTGATAAATACAAATTATTTTACTAAATTTTTTTGTATATGCGTTTACATTCTTAAACAGCTATCGTATTTTGACTCTGGTTTGCTTAAAAAGCATAGTTTTTGACGTGTATGCAAAACTCTTGCAACCAAATCGTATTTCTCTTTACAAAACATGAATTTCGATAAAAAATGACTTAAAACAACATTGAAATGATCTCAGGTGTCGATAAAATTAAAAACGAAATAAAATTAAAATGCTCCACAACGGATTCTTACAACAAATATCTCTCCGTTGCGTTACAGAAGTGTTATGAAAATTGTAGTTTTTCTAATTTCAAATTTTTTGTATGTGTGTGTTAAACTAATTCACTCCGATCATCGGATTTTCGTTTAAGTTTAAAAGTCAAAATGTATCACAATTTTGATCATTTTGTATTAATAAACACGTTTTCGGCTGCACCTTTCACAATGCTAATTATTTAGTAAACATTTATGCTGAATGTCTCGATTATATTTAACGGGTCTTGCACAAATTTGATTCAATGAAACCCAAAACGTTTTATAGTAAAAAATTTGATAAAACCGATATTTACAAATACCAGGAAATAAATTGATATTTATGGTTGCACATTTTAATAAGTATGCCTGGATAGCGCACGTAAATCGGTGCTTCAAAATGGTAAAGGTAATTATTATATTCCCTTCAAAAAGGGGCTAAAGTCGCAATGAAAGCCCATTAATTAATTTGATGACAAAAAAAAAGTTAGCAGATTTCTCATTTACACATAATAGGGTTGATTAATCTTTATAAATCTCTACAGAAAATGCCGGAAAAGTACTCCTTATCAAATACGAAATGATATAAGTATGTACAATGAGCAAAACCTACCATTCGATATTTTATTTATAAAACATGTTCTCCTCCTCTCTCTACCTTTCTTGTACAGTGCACATAATTTTGGATAAAAGAACGTTTCTAACAAACTATTATCAAAATTTATTGACGGCTGAGTACTCTCTCTTAATTCAGTGTGAGATTTGTATACCCTGTAGCAATATTTCTGTGTAGTATGCGTAAAAGTAAACACGGTCGTACATATGTAAGTATTGGATACATATTTTATACAAACATATGCGTAATTGAGTAAAGCAATGTGAACTCGGCTACATAATTTCACAATTATATGAAACGCCCCAATCAAGTTAAATCAAAATCTAGCAAAGCGACCTAGTCAATTTGATGCCTGGCTTCAGTTATTAATGCTAAAAGCGCATCCAGTTTAAGATCTTTGAACCGTCCAAAGTGGTCCATAAGCGGTTGAATCGCATCCGACTCGATGGCGGCCGAGATGGTCTGGTTCTGAATGGTGCGGTTGAGGCAAGAAGCCACATGTGCCAGAAACTCCCGCCACTTCTGCCAGTTCTCCTCGCTAAGAGTTGCGTCAGATCGGGAAACGTATATTTCTTCGGCGCGAAGTATCAGGGCAACCAGCGATAGAATCCCAAACTGTAAACAATTTTTTTATCGGGCTTCTATTACATTAAGAAAAGGGATAACATACGCGACTGCAGAATATTCCGGTCAGTTTCTTGTCGTTCAGCGTAATGCCTGCCGAAATGCTCACTAGGATATCGAAACTAGCGGTGCTTATGTGCTTCTTAAACTCTGAATAGAGCGCGAACAAAAGTCCTTCAACATCGTCCTTGTCCTTTTTCACCACAGTCTGCAGGGAGCAGAAGACTCCACTCCACACAATCCAGCGAATGTCTTGATCCGCGATAAAGGGCATAATGCGGCGGAGAAGTATCTGCGATAAAAAAGATTCATTTCTTTAAAATTTTTAATTTGTAAAGGAGTTGCACTCAATACAGTTTCTGAGTCGTGATCCAATCTGTTATAAGATTTTGTAAGATAAACTTACCTTTCCCTTGCGCACATTCATCATGGATACCACCTTGTCAAATGTGAGACCCGCCTTCAACTTGTTGACCAGCGCAGCGTTCGTCTCTACCTCATAGTTGAACTTGTTCTTCAGCTGCGGATTCATGGTCTGTGGATTGGCGGCCTCGGCTGCGCGCTCTTCGGGCGTTTTATTGGCCATCTCCAGTTGCTCGAGGGCCGCTATGCGCTCCGCTTCCTTCTTCTTTTTCAGCTCTATGGTGGCCATGACTTCAGGGCTCTCCAGATCCTCCAGCTTAAGCAGATAACGATACAGCGTCTCGATCAGAAGAAGAATGTGACGCGACTTGCGCATGCTGCTGGGGGTAACATCATGGCTCGCTGAGGGAGGCAGTGGAGTCGAGCTCGTGGAGGAGGAAGTCGCATTGGCATCTGCACCAGCATTCGATTCACCACTCATTATGTCGGCATCGATGATTTTCCGCGGTGCTGTCACACTGCCGTACTGCAGTTTACCCAGCGAGTTCTCGAACTTCAGAGGCGAGAATATGTAACCGGTCAGGTTGTTGTTGTTGCCACCCGAACCGTTGTTCGTGCTGCCTGCCGTGCTGTTCTCCGAGTTGCGACGCTCGCGTCCGTGGCCGTTGCGAGTGCCATTCTTGTTGCCCAACTGCACCAGGATGAGCTGCGCATGGCCGCGCGGCTGGGTAAGCGGATGGTTCAGCTGGTTATCCTTGTGCGCCTGGCTGTTGCGCATTTGCCCGTTCTGCTGGGCCTTGCGCTCCCTGAACACCGTGTAGTAGTAGTCGTCGATGTACGGCGTGTCCGTGTTAAGCTGCGATAGTTGGATTCCAATTAGCCAGTGCTTGTCGCGCGTGCTCATCAGATTGGCGTACTCGTCGTACTCATCCAGCGGGTAGTTCCCTGTGCCGTCCGGACGTCGTCCTAGCTGCTGCTGTTGCATCTGCGTCTTCTGCCGATCGCTGGCCACGGATCCGGCCCTGCTTTGCTGCATCTGACGTGCCACGGCCGCCTGCTGGAGCAGCGGATGATTCTGCTGGATCTCCTGCACCAATCGCATGTTGAACATGTTGTACATCGAGTTCGGCTGCTGGCCGAGCAGGCTGGTGGCGGATTGCAGCGGGTGCGGCGGCATTCGTGGTGGCTGCATCTGGTGCGGATGGGGAGGTTGCATAAAAGCTGCCGGATGAATGCCAGCGGCGCGCATCGCATTAAAGCTCGGATGCATCGCAAAGTTATTCAGAGCCGTGGGCAGGGCGTGCGGATTGGGTAGTGGGCGTTGGTTTCCGCCGGCCAATGGAAAGTTTGGCGGCATGTGCTGCGGCATTAGAGGATGCTGTGGCATTTGCGGCATATTTCCGGGCAGGCCTGGCGGGTAGATAAACCCAGGCGGCACTCGGTTGCCGCCCAAGCCGTTCAGTTGTTGCTGCGACGGCGGCGTGGGCAGTAGTTCGGCTAGTGGATGGGGACCGGGAAAACCCATATTTGGCCTGGGTGGAGAGGTCTGCGGCGTTCCCATAAATCCAGGGGGTGCTGAAATGCAATAGTGTTAACCTCGTCAGTTATTTCTGAAATGCTTATCTTATGTTTATGCACTTGGTGAAGTTTACCTTCCAAAACGCTGATTAGATACTTGACTTCGAAATATAACAATCTCTTATCAATTCTCTTAACTCACTTAAACATTTAAATTCAATCGGGATAGTACTACACCATTATTAAATATTAATGCTAAAGCTAAATAACTGAAAACTCAAACAATGAAATGTGAAAATAAAAATATGCTCACCCTTGTGCTGCGCTTGTTGTTGCGGTGGCTGTTGCGCCAGTTGTTTTTGCTGCAGCTGCAGTTGCTGTTGCTGGTGTTGTTGCTGCTGCAACTGCTGCTGCTGCAGTATGGTTGGTGTGGCCACCTGCTGTCGGTTGCCCAGACTGAAGTCATCGAACATCTTGCGCTCCGACTGCTGCTGATTTTGTTGCTGCTGCTGTTGTTGTTTGGGGATCGCTTGCTGGATGATCATATTGCGTTCTATGTCCTCTAGGGTGGTGATTTTAGGACCAGCCGGCGGCGGCAGGTGATGCAGAGGAAAGTTGGCATTTGCCTCAGGCGGTGGCTTCATCTGATGGTGTAGCTGCTGCTGTTGTTGGGGCTTGAAAGCGCTGCGCATTGGTTCTCGGAACAAAGGTTGATTATTGGGAAACGGTTGCGAACCCCAGACGCCCGAGTCCAGGTTGATCCGGTTGCTCAAGCCACCAGCCTCGCTGTCGGCGAACGTGGACAGATCCATGTCGTCCAGCTTCATCGAGGAGATGTTCAGCTCCAGATCCGAGTCGCCGATGTGCCGCGACTGCCGAAAGGGAGCTCCAAACGGAGCGGGAGTGGAACCGCTGGACGAGGGCGCAGAGGAAAGCGGATTGCCGTGCCGCAGGAATGCGCCATTGCCATGATCAGCGAACTCTGTGCTACCGCTGGTGTCCGCTGGCCGCTTCCGCACCCTTTCGCCATTTCCGCCCAGGCGAACCATCGTCTCGTGGGCCTCCTCCCAGTCGCCATTTATCGCCGATCCAAAGGTCTCGTCGTTCAGGGCATCATATTCCGCCTCTGCGATGCGTCCATCGCCAAGATCGTCGTCCTGGGGAAACAATTTTTGCCAATAAAGTAGAAATTCGAAAATTTCACTGCCCCCGGTGGCCTTCGATTCCCCCATCTTTGCCGAGTGAAAAGTTAAACTGAGCGTTTGTCGTATCGACTGCAGTCCCAATTTTCCTGAAACTCCTGTCAAAATACTATGATCACTGCTTACCGGAAGATTTGTGTCAAAGCCGAAAAACGAATCATCCATGGCGATAAAACTATTGCTTTACAAAAAATTATCATGCCAGTGACAAGTTGTCACCTCACCAGTGTGCCCAAAGCTGCGTAGGTCGTCGGGTACCTAGTTATCGATAGATGCTATCGATTACATTTGGAGTCGGCTATTGGCGCGATTCGTCAAGTGAAATGCACAATAGCTCTATTATACTTTAAACTATTTATCGAATTAAGCCTCTGTATAAATGCTTTAAATTATACCCAGCATTAACCTCGTTTTCCCACAAATTCATCTTGAGTGGCATGCTTCATCATATCAGCGTTAATAAGACCGTATGACCTTGGAATGTCCGGCAGCACTTCAATATATATATATATATGGAAATCGAAACTATCGGTTCTATATTGTACAACAATTTACTGATTATTTGAATAAAAATTGTCTCTATATTTTTACTGTGCTTAAAGAGATCAAGTACTGATAATGAATGTTGAAGAACCTCATTCCTAAATATTTTAAAATTTTTATACATGTATTTGAAATCGGGTGACAAACTCGAACGGAAGCAATTCGAATCGTTGTTAAGAATTCCCATCAGATATCACCTATAATTTTTTTGTGGGACTGGTTACAATAATTTCGATTTAAATCTGACTTTTAAACTCTTCTATGCGTATGCTTTTTGACTTTTTTAAAATTGTTATTTTCTTCTATATTTCAATACACAAATACCCCTTACCAAAACAATCGAGATTTTGAACCAGTTCAAGAAAATGGAAACATCGGCCGCCGCCAGTGCATCTCTAAATTACTGGTTCTTTGAGTTATCGCTTTGGGCGCAACGCCGTATGTTTTTCTTTTACAAAACAAATTTTTTGCCAGTTGAATTGGCAATATGAAGCGAAAAACAAGCGAGATTTGGTGCTTTTTCCGGGCGATAGACGACACCTTTGCGCTATGCAACATCTGCAAAGCGAAGCTGTCCTACAAGACGACCACGACGAACCTGAGCAAGCACATGAACAGGATGCACCCCTCATCGGCGCTTGTCCAAAGCAAGTACAAATTCCAGAGCAAGAGAAGCCGTGGAATGGACCGGAACAAGGGAAAGCCGCGCAACTCCGCGCAGGAGGACGTAATGCTGGATTTTGTAAGGAAACACCCGCGATTGCTGCAGAATCCGACGTGGGAGACGCGTAGAGATATGGAGTCGTTGTGGGAGCAGATGTCCTCGGAGCTTAATCACCATGGTCCACCGCGAAAAAATTCAGTCGACTGGAAAAGAGTAAGTAAATTTATTCCATCTCCCGTACACCCATTTGATATGATTGTGTTTTCACAGACCCTGAAGGACTGGAAAAGGTTCATCCTGAAGAAGGTGGAGAGGAACGAGTTGCACAACCTTCCCTTTGGCACCAGTCTGAATTCAGCCGAGGAAACAATAGCTACATTGTGCCGCTTAAACGAGGATGTTAGTCAAATTATCTTGAAGGTTTCTGACGATGAGATGCATGAAAATTCCTCTAACGAGTTCGACGGGGAAGATGTGGAAGACGTAGTCCCGGAGGATGAAAGTGCAACTCTTCAGACATCTGCCGAGTACGTTTACGAGCCGGAGGGAAACAAGGTGGACCTCGACCCCCTTTACCTGCAGTCCAGTAAGCGGTCTGCATTATCCAGCAGTCGCGTGGCGGAGGAGGAGACGTCGTTGCTAGAGAAGATTAGCAGTAATATCGGAATGGTTAATGATGCCGCTAACAACGCACATCTCGCACTCAATGAATTCTGCGTCCTTTACAAGCAGAAACTTTGCGAGGACAGGCGCCATCACATGGCAATTGAACAGTTAATGGCCGAGAAAATAGAATTAAAGAAGAAACTCTTGGAAATAGAGCAGCGGAAGTTGTCTCTGAAATGAGGGCAGCCACATAGGAGATGTACTAAGAAGGTAGTCATAACAAACTTATTATTAAATAAACTAAGTATTCCATTAAAAGCTTGCCTAGTTTTATGACTTTAAATATGGTCTGTATATTTTATTTCAAAGAGATTTAGCTGATTTGCAATTGTTCATCGTAAACTTCCTTTAAGATTTCCTTGAATTCTAATGGATAAGCTGCATCGTTCATTACAGCGTCGTAAACGTATTGCACATCCTGTGAGAAACGACTGTTAGTTGTAAATATTAAATTTACCACGTATTACTTACCGATTTAGGATCTTTTGAAGCGTTAGATGCCTCGTCATCAGGTTCACTTAGCCCGCCCAAATCTCCGCAAGCAATAAAAGGAACCAAACGGCGGTTGACATCGGATCCTGTTTTCTGTGCCAACAGACGGATATCATCTCGCGCCGGGTTGATTACTTGTGGAATGTATCCGGCGGGAAGACAGAAATCGGAGCACACCACGAAGGCTTCGATGCTTGAGGGTCGCGAACTAGGCGGCTTATATATGTCAAACTTCTTGAAGAATATCTGCATTTGGGAACTAAGCAGCCAAGTGGCATTGCCTTTGAAGATCTTGGCCACAAAAGTGCCGCCAGTTTCCAGCACACAGGTGGCAATGCTGAGGGCGGCTACCAGCAACTGGTGTTGCATGTACTCGTCCATCTCGTGGACGCCGGTAACATCGGGAGCTCCATCGCAGACCACCAGCTGCGCCTTCTCATCACCGCCAAAGTGACCGATGATGGCTTCGGCCGTTGACTGCTTTGTGATGTCTCCCTGGAGCTGGATTATTCCGCGGATGGGAGCCATTGCTTGCAGGTCCACGGCAATTATTTTCACGGCGGCTTTCTCGTCATCCGTCTGGCAGGGATCGTACAGCTTTCGGGAGAGAACCTGGGACCAGCTGCCAGGAGCGGCACACAAATCTACAGCCCGCTGAACACCTTGTTAAAACAGTGATTGATTTGTATATTAAGGTGAAGTCTTGGAAACCAATTACTCCGTACCATTTAGAATGCCGTAGGCCTCATCGACGTGGAGTAACTTGAAAGCACTCCTGGCTCGCCAGCCTTCCTCTTTGGCCTGTCTATAATATATATCTCGTTTATCCTTAGAGGTTTTCCCCATTTTAAGCTATTTTATTTCGGCAAAGTGTTCCCCGTGCTAAGAACAAATATTGGGGGTGGTCTTTGGTGGAACTAGTTCTTTATTGGACTATAAATGCTAATTCTAAAAAATTTGGTTTGGAAGTACTGCGTTTTGTTAAGCTTGAGCGTTTTGGTTATGTTTTTTTTTTTTTAGAAGTAAATCCAAATTTAAGAACTTGGTGAATGTTTTGGAAAAAGTTTTTTTTAAAATCGTCCAATTAAATTGGCGTGGGCTAAATTTTCGCTTAACCCGCATCCGTTCTTTGTATCAATTTGATACAAACTTTAACTTAAGATTCAGACTTAGGCGAAATGAATTCTTATATGGATTTGTGATTTTGGCTCAAGTTTTGGCTTTAAAATATTCATGTGAAGCATTTTTTGTTCAAAATAAACAAACATTCATAATAAATATATAAAAAATTGGTTTCTTTTTTAATTTCACTTAATTTAAGCATGTTTTTAAACCTGTATCAAATTGATACATAGGAGCTAATATGTTACAGATTTTAAGGGACGGATGCGGGTTAACTGGGGGTAGCTTCCCAGGCTTTTTTTCAGAGGTTGTCTTATGAGGTTTTTTGCGATGAAAAAATACCAAAATAAATTGTTTAGGAAAAGGTAATGCTGTGATATGCGAAATTTTTCGGACTTTTAAGGTTAAGAACGGTAAAAAAAAAGTGCATGCGCCCTATTTATTTATTACCTAGTAGATCAAAAAACACTCACTTTAAGAAATTTTTCGATCAAATTTGACCATTTTTTCAGATAGGCCTCTCTTCTGAACAATTACAAACCATTTTTATAATTTATTAGCTTTAAAGTTTTAATAAATAAATTGATATCCTATGTTAGCACACAAAAAAAAAAAATGGCATAACATTCACGATTAAAGACTGCATTTTAGTAGATGCCCATTTCGGTCACACTTTTTAGCGCGAGAGCTTTAAAAACAAAACATTTCCCCACTTTTTTGCAAAAATAATTGCAAAATATGCATAGAATACCTTTGCATATGGTTGCAAGCCCTTCTCCCGAGGACTCTGAATATGTCACGATGTCGAAGGTGATGTGTCCGCGCAACCTGATGTAAGTACCTATACTTCTTCGTGTGCGACACCAAAGGTTTCTGAACATTGTGAAATATAAGTTGTCCTGCAACGGAGACCTGTTAATACATAAATATTTTGCAACTAATATATGCATTTCCACCTATTTTAGAGAGTCCGAGCTGTTCTTGAAGATTTTGCAGAAGGAAACTGATGCAGTTTTCGCCAGCTTTTCCGACAATGCCCCAAGTTGCCTTAATATTTCCAAAGAGTGTATGAATATAAAAAACCCTGTTTTACTGATGAAGGTAGCTGCGTTTTTTTCTTAAAGATTATCCCTTCTGTAAACCATTTATTTAGACTTTGCAGAGCCTCGACGAAATTATTTGCCGCGCACCTAGCGGCACCACTACATTCGTGGACGCGGTTCTGGCTCGAAGTGTGATCTATATGAAAAGTAACCAGCATTCGGTAGGTAATCTTGAAGTTATTTGTATAATTCTAACTTCAACTACTGTCTTTCATAAATAGGTTGCCTGTAATGACTTGCTATATTATGAGTCTTTAGATCCAGCTCTCAAGACCACAGAAGGAACTATAGTCTCGCAGATACTTTTGTGCATATGTCTCTATATGGTGCGGAAATATAAAGAATCGAAGGAGAAATATACCTACATACAAGACCTCATTGGTAATATTGACATTATGTATTTTGTTTTTGATATTAAAATTCTGTAATTTAAAATTTTTAGAAAAAAGCCTCTTACCTGATAAGAGTGGTGAGTATAAAAACTTTGTTTTGGTTGATTATCAACACATTTCTTATCAAATTGTGCACAGTAAAATGTATACTGAGCCATTAATTGTAATTATGTCTTCTAGAAATTGATTTATTTCTGACTCTCCTAAATCAATATGATAAGAAAATTAACCAAGAAAGGAGAAATGTTGAGTTTAGCAAAAAGGTCAGAAGCAAGACCTTAAACCCCTTTGAGGGTTTTAAGATGACCAGAAAAATTCCATATGCCAGCACAGCCTGTCTATACTTGTAAGTAATAATGTTTTAAGACCATCTAAGCGTTAAACTAAAGTACATGTTTTTAGCGAAAAATCCTCGGAGAAGTCTGCCGGAGTGTTTGCATCGGGCGATATTCCCAAGGGAGAAATAGTGCTGGTGGAGAACCCTGTATACTTTCAGTTCAGTGCTCCATTCCTTAACTGCGACAAGTGTGGAATACATCAGGAACTGCTTTACACCTGTGATATCTGTCGTTATAAAACTTATTGCTCAATGTCGTGCATAAAATCAGATGCGGAAGTTCATCAAAATGAATGCTATGGATATAAAATTGGCCTTATACCAATGCTAGAGAGCACGATGCTGTTTCGATTGTTCCTTGAATCAGGCGAGTACATACTTCCGGCTCTAGTCGACTTCGCGATGGATGGCGGGTATGTATAATGATGTTTCGTTTGTACCTTTGAAGCTCAATTGTAATATACATTAAACAGGGTAGTTAACAACCCCCGGGACGCTTGGATCTTTATACTAGAGCATGCTCAAGAAGAGGATAAAAATTACAATATTGTTGGCGAACTTCTAGCCACAGCTCCAGATTACAAACGTCTCACCAAGGAAAAGTACCAAGAAATTGTAACCACAGCATTTCGCCTGTCGGTTTTTATTTACAATGACACCAACCTCACAGAGAAATATTTTTATTTGCTAACTCTTAAGAAAATAGACATGATAAATGTGATAGCAGCTATACTTTTACGGTTGAGTGGCCACGTTCTATCAAATTCCCAGCGAGATGAGCTTAACTATTTAAAGTCTCACGAAGACATGAATGAAGCTCATGAAGAACTCGCAGAATGTGATACTGAACCGTTGCCAGCTGACCGTATAAGTGCAAATGCATTTAATTATTATGGAGTTAATGCGATATCAGATTTTTTAGACTGTTACAATAGCGTACACAACAGTGTAGATGAGATAGAAAACGAGTTGCCAGAAAAGAGTTCAAATTACAGTCCAATGTGCCAGTTTGCCGATCGACTACATTCGATATGCATACAAAAATACGAAATTGAAACTATTGAAGATTTAATAAACGCGAAGACTCTACCCACCAACCAAGTGGACGAAGTTCTCGACATTTTTAACACTTCAAAACGCTGTCAGTTGCTTACATGTGTTGCCAAATACTATCATCAATTTGTTCATCAATATTTTAACAAAGTTGAAAATATCTTCCAAGTTAAGTCAACGCTTTGCGCCACTTTAAAAGCATTTAATCAGAATTGTGAGACCGAAAATGTAAAAGTCATGTAAGTGTATTTTTTTTGTCTGGATTCCTTTTCTTTAACACATACTTTATTTTAGATCCATTTCCACCGGCAAACGCGTGGGAGTAACTGTCAAAAATGTCGTTGCTGGCGAGGAATTAGTGGTTTGCCCTGAATTTTTAAAGCAAAGTGATCAGAACATAACATTGGATCTGCCACTGTGTCGAGACTTAAATTTTCCGTCCAAAACAAATTATGGGAAATCAACTGCAAGTGGCTTACAAAAAAGCTTTGGTAATTCACCCGAGTTTTTACGACATAACAAAGCCTTTACTTTCACAATTTACAATAAATTACTTGCTTGGAATCAGTCCCGAAAAGGTATGGTAATTGATATATATTAATATTTACATATTTTATTGCATTTTCTACATTTTTTAAGATCTAAAGCTTCAACTTCATTTGTCCATTTTATTTGGCACCTACAATAGTTTTCTTGCCTTGCATTGCCCAGAAAAGGATGAGAAACGTTTGCTGGGAGTGCTTAAATTCTCCATGTTCTTGGCCATGAATGGTTTGTATTTGTAAATTTATTTGGGTTCTACTGTGAATTGCTACATAATCTTTAATGCAGGATTTTTACAACATGCCAGTGATAATGTCGTACACGTAGTTGAGTTAATTGAGTTGGATGATATATATTTTAAGGATATCGACACCTATCGACAAATCTTTTATGTAATCAAGCGCATTAATGAGGAATATTGTAAGATCATGTGAGTTTGAAATACAATACTAGGCCAAATTAGCTTGTTGATTATTTATTATCCTTTGCAGGATTGATTGTCAAGGTGCCGTTCCGGACTTCCTAAAAATGATACTTGTAAGCTGTTCATTAATTTTAAAAAGACTGGAGCTACACACCAAAGCTTTAATTGATAACGAAGAGGCTTCGTCTTTGTTCATGGAATATAGTACCTATCATTACAAATGGAAGGCAATACTTAACTCTTATGCCCTGATACCACCAGGTTTAAAGAACTTTTTTGCTGACCCTAAAAAGAAGGGAAAATTGTGTTAACTAATTTAATATGAGGGGAATTTTTTATGTTGAATAAGCGTTACGTTTATAAGCCTGTTAATGCTCACACTCCTAATGAAACAAAGATTTTTGTTAAAATATTTTTATGAAAGATTACATTCCAGTGAACTTATATTTATGTTTCGGACAACCAACTAATTGGTATTAACTTGTGCCACTGTTTTCACAATCAGTTTGGCAAACGAAAAAGAAAGAAATTTGAATGAAAACTTTTTACTTAATACTTTACTTAATGTCTTAGCGTTATCTCTTTTCATTGTTCAGCTTCAAAAATAAACACTTCCAATACTTTAATGTTTTTATATCAGCGGCATGATAAGTTATTTTAATAAGAACTCGACCGTTGTAGTCTTTTTTGGAACCGTGAACACGTTCCGGTCGGCTTTACTCGCTTATGAATCTTACTTCCGAATATTGGAAATTATGCTCGCATATTTCTGCACGTTCTTTAATCTTTTTTTGAATCTTACCAAGAATTTTGCATTTTGTTATCACGTCTCCGGAGCTCGGAGATCGTGCGGACCGGCAATTGGCGGAGTTCTATATATGGGCGCCCATTCGCTGGTGCTGCATTGAGTTCCGTGGTGTCGTCGGTGCTATGAGAGTGTTTCTGGTGGTTTTGAGTGCGCTGGCGGTGGCGTTGGCCACCCAATGTCCGTACTCGTCGATGGAGCCCTTGTCCAGGACCAAAAGGAGTGCCTTTGATATTCGTCCTGGCGTTAGTGACGCCAGTTTGGATGCCATAATCAAGGATTTTCTGCCAAAGTTTACTGCTAACAATGTGCACAATGCTTGGGCGGTGCCTTCTGGTCCTCAGCAGCCTTTAAGATGTGGAGTTCCCCCTCGCGACTGCCTAAATGACACACGTAACCTGCACTATCGGAGTATCGATGGATCCTGCAACAACCTTGTGTATCCGGACTTTGGCATTGCTGTTTCCCCGTACCGCAGGCTTTTGCCACCCCGCCAAGTGGAACAGGCTCCCAATGCTCGATTGATATCCTTGTCGCTGTACGGCGAGCACACCACCAACGACTTATTCCGCACCGTGGCGGCTATGCAATGGGGCCAGTTCGTGGCCCACGACATCAGTCAGTTGAGCACGCAGGGAGCTCCCCTGGACTGCTGTGCCGAGCCACGTCATCCCCGCTGTCAGGTCATCAATCTGCCGCGTGGAGGACCCATCGCCTATCATACGGATAAGACCTGTCTGCATTTCGCTCGCAGTGTGTCCGAAGCAGATGCCATTTGCCCGAAGAGCGGTGCACCCTATCCCGAGAAGCTGTCGGTGGCCACATCCTACTTGGATCTCTCATCCGTCTATGGAAACACTCCCGCACAAAACAGAAAAGTGCGTTTGTTTAAGGGAGGTCTTTTAAAAACGAGTTACACGAATGGACAGCATTGGTTGCCAGTAAGCCAAAATGAGAATGGCGAATGTGGAGTCAGGAACGAATGCTACAGCATGCCGGACAGGCGGAATCGCTTCTCGCCCACCATCACTCTGCTGCAAACTCTGCTGGTGCGGGAACACAATCGCCTGGCCGAGAATCTGGCGCTGATTAATCCCGATCACAGTGACGAGCGCATCTTCCAGGATGCGCGCAAGATCAATATCGCCCAGTTCCAGAAGATCACTTACTACGATTGGCTGCCCCTGTTCGTGGGTCGCACCTACACCTATCTGAATGGATTAATCTATCCAGTGGAGCCAACTGAATATGTGAACGACTATGACGAGTCGGTGAATCCTGCTGCCTATGCGGAGTTTTCTGCCGCAGCTTTCCGATACGGACACAACACGATTCCCGGTTGGTTCTCGTAAGTTTTGAGTTTATTAGATTCGTTATGGTTTTCTTATTAAGTAATGTATTTTATTTAAAGGCTCGTTGCCCCCAATCGAAGCTCCAACCAAACCCTGCGCCTGAGCGACTACTTCGATCGAACGGAAACCATTAGATTGCTGCATTCTGCAGATAACTTTGATGCCTTGTTGAGAGGTTTGGCCACCCAGCTGCAAAAGAGATCGGATGGAAACATTGATCGGGAGATCAAGCACTATTTCAACCGCAAGGAGTTCGAGGATTTCGGTTCCGATCTAAAGTCTATTGATATTCAAAGGGCAAGAGATTTCGGGTTGGCTTCCTACAATGATGTGCGGGAGTTTTGTGGACTGCGAAGAGCTGTGGATTGGGCGGATTTCGCTCATGAGATCCCCGGAGAGGTTCGGGATTCAATTTATTTTATTTTAACTTATCATTATAAGCCTGTATATTACAGAAAATCTCCCTCTTGCGCCGGTTGTACGCAACTCCGGATGATGTAGAACTGAGTGTGGGTGGCACTTTGGAGTACCATGTTCCAGAAGCTCTTTTTGGACCAACTCTATTGTGTGTTGTGGGAAAACAACTGTTGAACACACGACGCGGCGATAGATTCTTCTTTGAGCGAGAAAGCGCAGGAGGCTTTACACGCGGTAAGTTAAGAATAACGTTTCAATAGAGTTCAATTTAATATATTTTTTTCTTTTAAAGAACAACTCGCTGAGATCCGTAAAGTAAGCCTGTCCAGTTTGTTCTGCAGCAACGCAAACTATCTTCACCTAATCCAGCCAAATGTTTTCGTATTCCCTAACTCACAGTAAGTTTAATAACGCCTTACACTTAACATTTGTTTTTAAACCTTCCCTCCTTTTATAGCAATTTACTTCTTAACTGCAATTTCATACCGCAAATTGATCTTAGCAAGTGGCAGGATACCAGGCCCCAACTTGTGCACTAGTATTATTCCTATTGTGTGTATCTAAAACAAATTCGTTCGACCAATTTGTTCTTACAGATACCAACCTTTTTATTTATTTAAATTTTAAATTCGTATTGTCTCAACTCAATTACACAATTAAAAAACAAAAGTCATTTTGTTTTTAAGTTTGTGGAACCTTCAAAACTATATTGCTCTAATAAGCTCCATGGCAATAAAATTAATTGTTAGGAACAGTGTTGTTTTCTTTTTATGTTTAAAATGTTCACAATAAAGCCCACACAATATAAACAAGCTATATAATTTCTTCTATAATTTTTTGTATTTAATTTTTATGTTTTCAGACTCTAAATCACATATCATGGAAATTTGCTTGTGTGGTGTCTATTGCCTCAGGCGTAGTTTCAATTTGTATTGATACAGGGATACCGAATTCCGATTCTTTAGGAGTGGAAGATATTATTCGATCTTCATCAGCGATTACGTTTCCCATTGTGGTTGGTGGGTCATCCGGTTCTGTATTGATAGTTACTGATTCATCGGTTGAAGTGCCTGGTTCTTTTTCCAGATTTTCCAATTCATTTTTGTTTGTTGTTTGCGCATCCGGGAAAAGTGTTGTGTATTCATCTGGTTCAGTTACTTCTGTTGAAGTGCTTGCAGGATTATCGGTGCTTAATAAAGGTTCTAGGGTAGTGGAGCTATCTAAATACTCCTCATTCGTGGATAAATTAGTTGTGGTAGCTACTTCTGGAATTTCTGTGGAGATTGTATTTAACTCATCTGTACCTTTTTCAGTCGTAACCTCTGCTTCAGTTGTCCTTATCTCAATGGGTTGAATAGTTGTGGTTTCGATATCAAAAACAATATTTTCATTAAGTTTGTTATTACTCAACTCTGTAGATTCTTTAGGCGTTTCTTCTTCTTGTTTGTTAACAATTTCGGAGGTTTCATTTTGAATAGTTGTTGTATTAATATCAGGAGATATATCTTCACTATGTGTGGTTAATTGGTTAGGATCATGTCGTTCTATGTGTTCAACTTGACTTATCTTAGGCGTTAATTCGTTTTTAGAGAAAGGTGCCGGCTCTGTAGAATTAAGTGTCTCCGAATTAGGTTGTATTACTCCAGCTTCCAAGTTGGACACCTCATTCTTTATTGAATTACCTTCGGATACTTTTTCATCATGAACGGGTTCTTTGATTGCCATTTTATTACCATCATGCTGTACTTCTTGATTTATTGCGTAATTAATTTGACTAATTTTCACAACCTTATTGGTTTCGTTTTTCTTTTGGTGCGATGCGACTTGGTTGGTATTCAAATTTATGGTAGAATTTGCTTTTAGTGAATTCGGCTTCATGACAAGATTTGTTCCATTATTTTTAGAAGCTGAAGGCCGACGTTTTGAATTACTCAAATTAGTTTTATTGGTTGTACTGGTGTTTTTAATTACCTTTCGTTTGCCGATTTGTGGGCTTGTTTTATGACTTTGGGAATTGGACACTGTTTTTCGGTTCTTATTTGATGTGTTTATCTTGCTGCTCTGATTAATTCTTTTGCGATTGGAAAGTGGAGAAGCAGTCGGTCTTTTGCGATTTTGATTTGTGTTTTGGGTCAGTTGTGATCTAACGTTAAGACCCTTCAATTTAATGGAATTTACCCGCAAAGGCTGCGTTGCCTTGGGTTTGTTTGGTTTTTTAATTGCCTTTCTGTTGTCAGGTTTTGTTGGTTGCTTTTCATTGCTTTCATTTGTGGTTTCTTTTTTGGGCGGTTGCTCCTCTTTAATTGCGGGTAAATAAATAATTGTTGGAGGTTCTTGTCGGCGATGCTTGGCGGATTTTCCTGGAGATCCAGGCTGCCCTGGTGGTCCAATGGGTCCCGGAAAACCGGGATGTCCCGGTCTGCCCCTTTTTCCACGTTCGCCAGCTTCCCCACGATCACCGCGATCTCCTTTTTCACCGGGTGGTCCTTCCTCGCCCGAACGACCAGGTAATCCAGGTGGACCTGGAGGACCCGGCGGTCCTGGTCGACAATGACAGTTTTGCTGAGATCCATAATATAACGAACTTATCGTTTCTGGGCTGTAGTAGTAGAGGTCATAGTTCCTATGATGTGACTTCTTTATTTTTGGGCGGGACTCTGTTTTAGCCGGTTGAACCGGTGTGAAACTCCACAATCCCTCGCATAATGTTGAGATGGCTAAAATACAAGAAGTTCATTTAAAGCTGTTCTAGTTCTTAAGGTATGATCTTCATTTAGCTCACCTGATAACAGCAGAATTGCCAGCAGCCTCATGTTGAGGCCCTACATTCGAGAATGAACACCTGACCAAATCAGAGCCCGTCTTATATAGACTCCTAAAACAGTAGGGCTTGGTGAGATTTTAATGGGTTAATTGGAAACACACTAAAATTAACATCGCAGATCTCGAATCTCAGACAACTCTGTGATTTTGCATAAATTTTATACCGGAGTGACGAACTTTTACAGGTTTGGGATTCGATGATGCTGGAAGGAAAATAGTCTAAAGTTGTGGTTTATTTATTTTAAAACATTATTTAAACATACATTTTTTTTTGCAACACACGCGCAAAAAGTTTATTCACTTTTGTTTTCTGTTTGGGCTTTGTCCCATTTCTTCACCCATTGTTTTATTCTGGTTTTATTCTGGTGCAATAAAAAATATAGACCGCATAAATGGAACTATCTGCCTTATCTGTTTTTATAGATACTAACGTTTGTTTTTTTTTATGGCGATCATACAAATTGATTTTAAGTAGCGAAATCCGAGATTTCTCACGCAAAATTTAGAAGGTAATAATATAGTGGATCAATAAGATGCACGGAATTCAGAAACTGTCTTAAGTGATTTGGATTTGGACACTCATGTTATTAATGATCTAATAATTCTGATTTAAATATTGGGTTAATCTATTTGCGTCATTCAAGCGTTCGCATAAATTTAAGGGCTGCTCTTCTGAAAAATCTATTAAAGTACATAGGGTTAATAATTAAATTAAAATTCAATAAAAATTTAAATAATTCATAACAATTATTAAAAACAACTACTTTTACTTTTGCGTTTGAAAAGCTTCAAAGCATCCTCTTAATTTGATAAATGGTGTTATGGCAGAATTATTCGTTCGTCATTGATTTAATTATTGTATTTCTTTGTGATTTCACTTTTCACATGTCTTTGTCCATTGTTAAGTTATAGAAAATCACACAAAAGCCGAAGCCATTTCTAAGAACAACGGAACTATTTCGCTGGCTAACAAAAACGCTACTTTATTGTCAAAATACATTATAATTTAATTTATGTTTTAGAAATTTGAAAAGGTGATCTCTTTAATAAACTACATTAAAGCATATTAAATATTGAATTTCATATCACAGAACTGAATTTTAACTTAATAAAATGATACCAAGTGATTATAGTTAATTAAAAATAACTAACTAATCAATATAAGAAAAAGGCACCAAAAATTTAAATTATTTGATTTTTTTTTATTTTCGTGAATCATTGGCTTGTTTATGTGTTATACTGTTCATAGGCATAAATGTGAAACGGATTTCTAGGAGTGCCAATGGCCAGGATAATGGGACCTTTGCTGTTTCGCTGCTCGATTGCATCACCCTCCTCCATCATCATAGTATCCTCCAAGTTTTCATCCAGGTTTTCATCCATACTTTCCATCTGATCCTCCATCGTGGGTACCTCTTCTACTACTTCTTCCCCTTCGACTTCTTGGACATAGTTTTCCGTTTCTAAATTTTGATCCTCCTCATTTGGTTCTTCAACGGATTCACCGGAAGGCACATTTTCCACTGTGTTATCAATGTAGCCATTATATTCTGGGTCCTCGGGTTCCGTTTCTAAATCAGCAGGCTCGTAAGGCACTTCCTCCTCTGGATCCATTTGGTCATTCTCATCGATTATGTTTTCCACGATCTCAACATCTTCATCCAGGAAGTCCAGATCATCTCGTGGCGTTTGACTTCCACTTCCCCCTGGCTCATTGGGTTTTGGTTCATGGTGATGATTATTGTCAGAAGGAGGTGAAGGATGATGGCTATGTCCTCCGTTGTTGTGCGAGGGATGCTGACCATGTCCTCCGTTGTTATGAGAGGGATGCTGCCCATGTCCTCCGTTGTTGTGCGAGGGATGCTGACCATGTCCTCCGTTGTTGTGCGAGGGATGCTGACCATGTCCTCCGTTATTGTGCGAGGGATGATGGTTGTGCCCATCGTTTCCTCCTCCATGATTGTGAGGGGGATGATGGTGATTGTGCCCATCGTTACCTCCTCCATGGTTGTGGGAGGGATGGTGGTGATGGTTGTGACCATCGTTTCCACCACCGTGATGATGCGGGGGATGGTGGTGGTTGTGTCCATCATTGCCTCCTCCATGATGATGCGATGGATGATGCGGATGGTGCCCTCCATGATTGTGGGATGGATGATGAGGGTGATGATGATGTCCGTGGTCACCGCCATTTGGTGGATATGGTGGCGGATAAGGTGGCGGATAAGGTCCTGGTGGATAAGGCCCTGGTGGATGGTGTCCTCCATGTCCGTCGTTTGGTGGATAAGGATATGGACCGCCCTTGTTGTGACCCGGAGGGTAATAGTGATGGTGATGGCCGCCCTTGTCTCCCTTGTGACCGCCCTTGTGACCCTTTGAGGGCCAAGGAACTGGCACTGGCACGGGAATCCAGGGGATTTGAGGTCCTGGTCCTGGATAGGGTCCGGGTGGTGGGTAAGGGTACGGTGGGTATGCTGGAGGCGGTGGTGGAGGAGGTGGTGGAGGTGGAGGCGGAGGAGGATACACATTTCCTGGTGGTCCTGGTGGGCCGGGTACTCCCATTCCTGCAAGGGATTGTGAAATTTAAATTGAAGGTTTAAATGTATTAAAAATTGTTAACTTGTTAATATAAGTGAAGGAGAACAATATGAAAATAAAATTAATTTTTGAACTCCGAAATTCCAGTGTCATTAAAAATTAACATTTGCAATCTATTTATACGTTATTGTCAATTTAATTCTTTTAATATTTAAACTCTTTAAGAAGTACATATGTATGTGGAACTTGGTATAAAAAATCTATCAAACAATCCTATATTTTATAATTAGAAAAAGATATAGCTTACCTGGTGGTCCCGGCGGTCCTGGTGCTCCCTTGGATCCCTTGTGGTGATGGTGGTGGCCTCCACCCTTCTGTGGTGGTGGTATGGGAACAGGAACTATAATGGGAGGCGGCAGGATTGGTGGTGGATGTGGATGGTGGTGGTGATGATGTGGTGGCGGTGGTGGTGGAGGTGGCGGTGGCGGCGGCGGTGGTGGTGGAGGAGGTGGTGGAGGTGGAGGAGGAGCCGGATGGTGGTGATGATGATGTTCGTGGTGACCCTTATCGTGGTGACCGTGACCGTGGTCGTGATCATGATCGTGATGATGGTCATCTCTCCATTTGTGACCGGGTGGACCGGGTATTCCTGGTGGTCCAATGGGTCCCGGCATTCCCGGTGGTCCTGGTAATCCGTGATGTCCACGTTCTCCCTTCTCTCCTCGCTCTCCCTTCGAACCGCTGTGTCCCTTGGGCCCCTTTTCTCCAGGTAATCCCGGTAATCCAGGAGGACCCGGTGGCCCTGGTGGTCCCGGTGGACAATTGCAGTGCTGCGGTGGAGGAGGAGGCGGCGGAGGAGGTGGGTAATAGTGCTGTGGTGGCAGCTTGTAGACTACACTTTGTGGTGGCGCTGGAGCCGGAGCTGCTTGAAGTGAGGCTAACAACCTGCCCGATTCCGCATTCTTGGCATTCGCCAGGCTCAAGGCCCAGCCTGAAATGAGTACAGTATCCACTTAGAAATCATCGAAATCCGCATCGGTGGGAAGTCCCTTACCTAGACAGTAAATCACTGCGAACAGCCTCATGGCGAAATGGCATCTGCTGCCTTTCGCCAGTGGATGGATCACTTTTATACCGCCTTATGAACTGTTAATCTGCTATGCACACTTTGTTTAAATCACTTTCATTAATCTAGATTCACCAGAACCGTTATATCATGTCCATTCAGAAATCTGCTCGCCAAATCTCTCGGGAAATATGCAAGCCTGGCCAAGATGATGATGATATCAGATGTTCTCTCTAAACTTATGTAGATTTTATTTCGTTCAAAAAGTGGACCGCCACTGACGTATTAATATGCAAACTCACATATGAATACCGAAAATGTATGCAAAAAAGAATGAATTCTTTGTTGGCGATTGTATGGCTTTACGATTCGAATTAACAATGTCTCAAAGATGGCAGAAAAAAGGGTTTTGTCTCTTAATTGGCCGTTTCTATCATGTTGTTCACACCTCGGTCGCGCGCCTCCATATGATTAACCCCGATCGATCGGAGCAAGCCAAAGATCAACGAAAGTGTAAAGGTTTTGGGAACCGGCGCTTCATTATCCCACCATATTGCATAAGAAAAAGGGGCGTGACGGGGTATCATTCTTGATCTCCGACATTAATAGGATTACTAGTTCCATTGACTTTAGTTTATTGATACCCAGAACCAGATAAAACTGGTGGGGACAGAAGCAGATGTTTGGTTACAAGCTCCTTAGATGATATTGATGATGATAACTAACTTTCAATTGCAACACTTTTAGGTAAATGGTAAAGGGCTTTATTTCTGTACATCAGTTTGGGGGGCATTATCATACAAGGGGGAGAGGTGTTTGCATTTACGATTATGTTACTGATTAAGCTAAAGGTATTTTATATTCAACTAGTTAATAGTAGATCGTCGGGCGAAGTGCCAGCGATCACTTCTTTCCGTAAAGAGCGGACGGATCTACCGCGGCGTATGGCTTATGATCAATCCACTTGGTGAGGTCGACTTGTGGAATATTCGAGCAGGGCATAATGGGATTCCTACAAAACAACACAAATTTATTACAAATTCCAAAATATATAGTTTTATTTAAACCTACGCATGGGAGACAGTCCTGAAAGCCTCAGGCTGAATGGATGAAATGTGGTTGCCATTGTCGCAGAGCAATCGGGCCATACTCGCCTTTCGCAGTTCTTCCAGTTGATCTGTGATATGAATAACAAAATTATAAAATGGGAAACTACTAAAAATAATTATTCTCAATTACCGGGAGTGAACCCAGTGAGCTTGTCTCCATTCTCGAAGAAGAACCGATCGCCCACGCGAGTTCGGTAGAATTGTTCGGTGAGGATGCAAAGGAAAGTGGGTCCAGCCAAAGCTCCGGCCACATGGGCCTCCAAAGAAGCTCCCACAGTCAGATCCACATCTTCGTGACTAATATAAAGCGACTTGAGGGTCTCCAGAATCGGGGGACTGATCAGGTCACCATAGTCCTCCCAAGAATGGGCACGTTTCAATCCGCAGAATTCCCTCATGTCATTATAGGAAGCCAAACCGTGATCGCGATTGCGTTGAATGTCCAGGGAACGAAGATCCGAACCGAAAGGCATGTTTCTCCTGAACAGGAAGTGTTTAATCTGCAGAGGAAAGTTTGTTAGGTAAGAAATTAATTTGATTTGATATTTGTGTACCCACCTGTTTGTCAAAGTTGATATCCGTCAGCTGCTCGGGCTGTGTGGCATGTCCTCTGGTCAGGGAATCAAAGTTGTCTCCAACCTCAATGATGCCGGGACGGTTGAACCAGTCGCTGAGGGTCAGGGAACCCAGAACTTGGCGAAGCTCGGAAAGCAGACTGTGGAAAAATAAAAATATATAAATTAAATATATGATAGAAAGTAATCAAAAAGCTTAGCTGTTTTAATCTTTAATACATCTTATCAAACGAAAGTTAAACCTTAAAAATGCATTAACAAAATATCAATAAGTTTTATAGTAAACGAAAGTTAAACCTTAAAAATGCATTAACAAAATATCAATAAGTCTTATAGTAAATGTCTACTTACTCCAAACGACCTTCGATCTGTGAATGGAAGTATCTGAAAGCGGCAGTTGCATGTTCATTCAAAACCGAGGGATCGATGTTGTGATTGAAATCGTTTATATAGCTTCCTGAAGGAGCCTTGTAGATTAGTCGGTTCTTCAGCATATTCTCTGCACCCAAGAAGATGGGCAGCCATTCGTAGTAACTGATCTGTTGGTACTGGGCAATGTTGATCTTGCGAGCCTCTTGGAACAAAGTGCGATCATCGTAGTGAGGATTCAAGGCGGATAAGGCATCAGCAATTCGGTTGTGTTCACGCAGCAGAACCGTTTGGAGGATGGCCAATCCGGGATTCTGGTTCACTCTCACATCTCCAGCTCGGTAGCACACCTCGCTGGCATCCACGGCATCGCAATCTCCGGTAACATTTCGGGAAAGTGGCAACCACTTGGCGCCATTACGCTCCTCCACGATCATCCGACCTCCATCGAACTCCCGGATATCGCTGTTCTGCTGAATGGAATTGCCGTAGACCAAGGAGAGATCCAGATAGGAAGTGACCACTGTTATCTGCTCCGCTGGTCCTCCGCGATACTGGCAATTCGAGTCCCGATCGGTTAAAGTGCGCACAAAATTGAGGCACTCGGTGCCCACTTGGGAATAAGCTGGATCATGAGGTGGCACAATTATGGCGAAACAAGTTTTGTGGGCGGTGTCCAGACCAATTAGTCGTCCATCGTCGGTGCAACAACGCGTGGGATGCTTTTCTGTGGGTGGTAAAAGTTGAAATTTAGAAAAGTAAAAGCAGCCAGTTTTCGCTAACGACAGGCAATTACATAATGAGTTTCTTTCAGAAATGTTCGATGCTTTCATAAAGTACGTTATACAACACTTTAATCGTCATTGTCTTTTATTGACGACGCTTACATTAATTTATTCTTAAAAAACTCACAAGTATATACTTACTCGATTGGGTGCCTCCTGCTTGCATGCTCATATCGTGGGTCATGATTTGACCCCACTGCATGTTATGCAACGTGAACTCTGGATCTGGGACATCCTTCTCCCCGAAAGCCACCAAGGAAACCAGACGAGCACTGGGCAGTTCGTCTCCTGTCACAGATCTTGTGGGTGCCGAAATGCCATCGGCATATTTGGGAGTCAACAGGCGACCATACCTGAAATAATAGTCTTAAAAATCTTTCTAAAGATAAATTTACCTCTGATTATTACCTGGAGTTGGCCACTCCTAGGCCAGGACGCTCTAGATGGTTGCAGGATCCATCCAGTGTTCGATAAGCTGTTTTCTCACAAGTTGCCGGAGGAGCAGCACAGGACACTTGACCCGCAGTCGGGAAACTATATCCGTAGGCTGATACGGGAGGACTTGCCGGCGAGGAAAATGGATGTTGGGGAGCCGGAGAAGTGGGTAAGCTATTTCTATAAGACATTCACATTAAAAATGAAATAGGAATATAAGAAAGTTCCCATAACTTACCCAACCACAAATGGAGCGGAACCTTGGAGGTAACTGAATCCATGGTAAGTGGGAAAAGCTGGTTGAGGATGATTATGGACTATATGATAGCCCGTGTTAACCTTTAGGCCAAGCGCACTGGAGACGAATCCCAAAAGGGCCAAGAGCAGAAGATCTTGTGCCCTAACCATCTAAAATTTAAAAGAAACAATTTTATTTAAGTTTCCACTTTTGTTTCGCTGTCAATGCAATTGTAATTTGTACTTTAAAAAGTTGTTTTGAGCATAAAGACAATTTTGGTAAAGACAAGTCGCTAAAATGTAAAAGACTTCAGGACAATTAAGATTGCTGGACGGCAAAATATCTTTACAATTTATAAAACGTAATTTGAGATAATTATGATGGCTTGACGATCTACAAATCTTGAAAATTTCGTCAAAAACGTAGAATTCTGTGCACAACATTATTGCTGATTCGATTGCAAGGAATTTGCTTTTCCTGTTACAAGTAAGACATATTAATTCATAATGCTGCAGCTGTAGTCCAAGGTCTGCGCCATTTACGGCCATATACAATCTTTGGCTATGGCATCCTGAACTACATGGGAAAAAGTCGTTAGCACACCTAACACATTCAGCAATTTACGCGATGCTGGTATGGTAACCCACATAAAAAGCAAAGCTTTTTGCAGAGCTACCTGAAGTTGGCCAAAAGAGCATACATTTTATGTATTTTATGTATCCCACATGCTGCAAAGTCGCGGGCAACTTGGCTTCAGCCAACACTACCGACTTGGAATCGTTGGACACATTGGACACATTGAACACATTGGACACATTTCATGTTCGCCGGCTGCAGACGGCAGTGGACTACAAGTGGAACGTTTTGCATTTTTTTGCGGCAACCGATCGATCTGGACTCCGACTCCTTTGCCACCAAAATGGTCACAACAGGTTTCATCACCGTTTTGGTGCGCATTCATTATTATTTATTGCGACATTTTAGTACGAACATGTTCATTGCTCATGGCCCGGCTATCTGGGTATTATGTGTAAGTACTATATGGCGTTGGCCCAAACCCCAGACTCCAGTCCAATGCAAACCAAACCCCCTTGGCTAAAATCTGAGCACAATGAAACGGATTCAGATTCAAATGCTCGGCGTGCAAAGCGTGAAAAGTCTCATAATTGTTTTATGGCAACGGCATATTTGACCAATTTGCAAGATACTTATGTAAACAGACCGAATCGACAGTAATGGTTAGCTTTACATAATGAATTTGTCTGCGGCCCCGTTCTGCCGACTAAGCCAGGTTAAGCCAATCCGAGCCAAGTCAAGCCTAGTCGAGCCAACCCAAGCCAAGTCATTCCCAACCTTTTCCACAAAAGGCCAGCTGCATGCAAATCCGCATCCATCGGCCGCCGTGGCAGAAACCACACAAAATAAAACAAAAGGCAGCCTCCGTCAATGTTTTAATTGCATGCCGTGCAGAACAATGGCCCAGACAACAATTCGAGTTCGTGCCATGAGTCTTACTTTACTTACTTACACTTTCCTGGACCCTGGGTCTCAATTGATCGCCCCGATTGGAGGTGGCCCTCTCCAGGAAACCCATGCCTACACTTCTAATAAGGGGGTTCGAATAGGGAACCCTTAATTGCTTACAAATTATTTGTTAAGACATTTCATTACATATTGTCATTATAGATTGCAAAAGGAACTTATGTTGTTGTCTGAATATTCAAAGTATGTAAGATATGTTTATATTGAAATTAGTCAAGTTATGCCCACATATAGTAATTAAGTAAAGATATTGCAAGGCTATCTACAAAACCAGGAAATGTTTACTAAGTCTCTATAATTATAATTCATTTATAACATATTTGCAAACCATGTTAAACTCGTTCCGAATTTGAAATGATTAATTCGCAAACTACACTTGCATAATTTCTACTATTTATGTTTATCAAAAACTTCATTTTTTCCGAGTGCATCTCTTGGGTCTCTAAATTCGAATGGGGTCAATGGGTGATTGGAGCCGATGATTGGCTGGATTTGAAAACCGCAACGCCAACGTCGCCGCTTGTCAATAGAAAAGAGTGCCGTAGTCGGGTCTCAATTCGAATTTGAATTGCAGTCTTAGGCGGACACGCCAAGGCAATCCATATGCAAGTTAGCACAGAAAACAGAAAACAGAGAACTGAAAACTGAAAACAGAAAACAGCAGCCGTTGGTCACGGCCGTCATCTACATTGTCGATCTTAATGAGCCGCAACTAAGCACGAATGACTGGGACATAAAAATATCTGATGTTGCTATCGCTGTGATCTGGAAAGAACTCAAGAAATGCTCTGAAAGATCTAGGCGATATTCGAATCATTTAGGGGCACATATCGTGGTTGAATGGGTCACAAGAATTGGACTGGCAGAACATTGAGAACCACTTCGATGAATGGCTCGAATCTAATTTAGCATGCAGTCCCTTTCTAAAAATTAATGCATGCATATTATTTTAACGATCACAATAGCCACACATTATTCAAGCAGAGCATGTTTATAAAGAACAATATTCCACTACATTACAATCAATTTTGAATAAATTAGTTTGACAATCCATATGAGGTAACAGCTTAATACCAAGTTACATCTACAACTTTTAACGATCAAGCATGCAAAATTATTTTTAAGATACTAAGCTAACTTGCTAGCAAAGATATTACTTTCAATTTTTTTAATGCATATATTTTTTTAATTTTGTTGCCATTCTCGTAAGATTAAATTTCAAATTGTAAGTGTAATTTTGTGCTTTAGGCACTAAATGTGTTTCGCCAAAAAAAACTAAAAGTCCTTTCAAAAGTTTATTGCTTTACTAAAATTTTTATTTACCTTACCAATCTCAAATCTTTTCGAAATTTTTTAGCTGCAAACTCCTAAAGCAAATAGCCAATAAAAAATTTTACTACAATCCCTGCATATTTTAATGAAAAAACTACAATTTGCCTAAAAGAATAGCAGACTAACATAATGATCTCCTCAAAGCTCACCATTCAAATATTTGAAAATGGTTTCAACCATCAAAAACAAATCAATGTTTTACAACTTCAAAGTCAGCAGACTGTGATTTATGATTGGGTTTGATCGACTTTCCCTACATTAGGAGTGCACAAAAAAAAACCAATGAGTAATGGGTTTTTCAATCACCAGGCGACACAAGACCGAGTGGAGAAAAATGAAAACGTTATGTCATGTTGGCGGAAAGGGCTGAATGGGTTTTGGCCATGCCCAAACTTTTTGCACTCATTATCTTTTTGGATAATTTCATGATTGACATAGACCATACGTAACAGCGGCATGCACTTAAATGTGCAGGTGCACCCAAATGCGGACTGCCATCGGAGGCGTGGCCAACTTGGCCAGATCCAGCTATGAAATTGGCAAACGCGAGCAAATTTTTTACGACTTTAACGACATCTAATTAAAAACGAATTCATATCCCAAGCTATTTGGTGATCATTAAAGTGTAAAGTAGTAAATGGGACGCCTGCACGGAGCCGTGCTGCTGTGATTGATTTATTGGCTGGCTATGGTCGGCGATATATCCATAAAAGAAGTGCTCTGCAACCGGAGAGCGACAACATCATTGCAATCGGTCCACGGAGGAGGTATGAAAAACACGCCGAGACTACGTGGCGTGCACACAAATCGAGGACATTCCGATTTGTCCGACCGATACAGCAACAAGCACTAATTGAAATGGCCATTTAAAAGGAAAGTGTCCCAAGCCTCGAGGTTTTCGAATTGGTGGCTCATCAGAAGCTGTCAGGTGCTCTGGAATTTTTCTTTTAATTTTACGGGTGCTCGAGTTTCGAAACCCTCGAAATCCGCGCGTTAATTACAAAAATTTGTGTGCGTGTCCCGTTTCAAAACAAAATTTATGCAAGACTGTGACAGTTTTTTGTCAAAACGCCGTCAATATGCAATTTCATAGACAAGACTCTCAAGTGATTTACACAACCAGTTGGGTTAGATCACCAGATCTCGAGGGGATTGAGATCGAAATCTCGTGCCGAGGCCCACGCTCTCGGTCATTTGGCCGGCGAATTTTTTAGCCTTCTGAATTTGGCCGCCATTTGGATATTTTCACACATGCCAAAATGCAATTTGCAATCGCCTTAGATGCGACGCACTAATTGATTCTTTACTGTCTGCGCCGATTTTGTCGGACCAGTTCTGTTCCAAGTGCCCACTATTTTTGGATGTTAATTATTTTCATGTTTTGGCCCGATGTAAATTAAAATTGTCCATCAAGTGCTTCGCATTTTTACAACAATTCCATGGCTTTTTACGGCATCTCATTAACATAACACGGTGACAAACGGTTAACACAGATTTGTATCTTGTGGCGTAACGAATTTTTGCAATTTGAAGGAGGAGATTATGATTTATCTTGATAACTATAAAAACTAGTTCGTATCTATAGCTGTTGAAGTTACTTAATGTGCACGTTTTTACAAATTTAAAAAATTCGTTTTTTGTGTGAACAACTAGTTTGGCCTACTGACTTTTTTTTAACTTGTTTGTCGACTCCTTTGATATTATGTTTGATTTTATAATAAGTTTTAAATGATGAAGTTGTTTATTTTAAATAATGCAATAAACCTGAACTGATTTTAAGCAATTGGTGTTGATCGATTTTCGAATGCGAATATAAATTAAGCCATCACCTTGACTAATTTGGATTTATTTTAAATGCACATTTCCCGGGCGTTCCCGATAGACCAATTTTGTACGGCACACGGTGCTTAAGTATTCGTACCTGTTTTAAGACTTTAGACATGTTGTGTTCAATCAACCAATTTAACAATTTAAAGCTCTTATATAATATTTTGTTTTAGTACTAGGCAAACTACTTTTCAATAATAATTGTAACGGTCCAATTTCGAAACCATAATTGGTATATTTCGGTATGTGAATCCGGTTGGTATATTTAGGCGCCCTACCGGCGGTCACACTGCTCGACCACATGTGAGAACCGCTCATTAAGCAACAGTTGTTTTTCGACTCTTAGCCTGTAATTGCGCCTAATTACCTGTCTAGTGTTTGTGATTTAAGAACATAATATAAAAACATATAACACCTCTAAGATGGCAAACCAATACGAGGGCTACAAGTCGCCATTGAGCACCCGGTATGCCAGCAAGGAAATGCAGTTCCTGTTCAGCGACCAGAACAAGTTCTCCACTTGGCGCCGGTTGTGGGTGTGGCTGGCTAAGGCGGAGAGCCGGCTGGGATTGGAGATCAGCGAATCGCAGATCGCCGAGATGGAGCTCCAGATCAGCAACATTGATTTCGAGGCCGCGGTCGCCGAGGAGCGACTCACTCGCCACGATGTGATGGCCCATGTTCATGTTTTTGCCAAACAATGCCCATCCGCTGCTCCAGTTATCCATCTGGGAGCTACCTCGTGCTACGTGGGCGACAACACGGACTTGATTGTGCTGAGGGATGCCCTTAAACTGCTGTTGCCACGAGTGGCCAGCGTGATTGCCCGTCTTAGTCAATTCGCACTGACCTACAAGGATCAGCCTACGCTGGGATTCACCCATCTGCAACCTGCCCAGTTGACCACCGTGGGCAAGCGTGCCTGCCTTTGGATCCAGGATCTAATCATGGACGAACGGGCCCTGTCGCGCTGCTTGGAAGATCTGCGCTTCCGCGGTGTGAAGGGAACCACTGGCACCCAGGCATCGTTTCTGCAACTCTTTAACGGAGATGGCGAGAAGGTCAAGAAGCTGGATCAGTTGGTCACCGAACTGGCTGGTTTCAAGAAGGCCTATGCTGTGACCGGACAAACCTACTCCCGGAAGGTGGATGTGGAGATTGTGGCGGCGCTTTCCAGCCTGGGAACTACCATCCACAAGATGTGCTCTGACCTGCGCATCCTGGCCTCTCGCAAGGAACTTGAGGAGCCTTTCGAGAGCACCCAGATTGGCTCGTCGGCCATGCCTTATAAGAGGAACCCCATGCGATCGGAGCGATGCTGTGCGTTGGCTCGTCATCTCATCACCTTGTTCAGCAGTGCCGCCAATACCCACGCCACTCAGTGGCTGGAACGCACTCTGGATGACTCGGCCAACAGGAGGTTGACCCTCTCCGAGGCCTTCCTGGCTGCCGATGCCGCTCTTCTCACCCTGCTGAACATCTCGCAGGGATTGGTGGTCTATCCCAAGGTGATCGAGCGTCACATCTCGCAGGAATTGCCCTTCATGTCCACGGAGAACATTATCATGGCCATGGTGAAGGCTGGTGGAGATCGCCAAGTGTGCCACGAGAAGATTCGCGTGCTGTCCCAAGAAGCAGGAGCTCAGGTGAAGCAACACGGCAAGGATAACGATCTGGTGGACCGCGTCCGCAAAGATCCCTACTTCTCGCCTATTCTGGAGCAATTGGACACCATACTGGATGCCAAGACCTTCACTGGACGCGCCAGCGACCAGGTGGGCGAGTTCGTCAAGGAAGAGGTGGAACCCGTGCTGGCACGCTACTCTGAAGCCCTGAAGAACGTTCAAGACGTCAAGCTGAACATCTAGACGCCCATTATGTTGCCCTGTTGTTGTAATCCCCAAGTTCGATTTCGTAAAATACACACGTACATTCGCACCTAATCAACTGCGTCAGCCACTGGATGCAGTAAAGATTATCGCAATAGACTCAATGGGTCGAAGGCAGTCAGACCCCCGGCGTGATTTGTCTTTCTGTTTCTGTTTTTGTTTTTGTTTTTTTGCCAGCTTATTTACAATTAAAACGAAAAAATAACCACAAGCCTCGTCGAATCGAACTCGAGTCGACGTTCTTGATCTGAGTAAACATATTTTGCCGCCTGTGCCTTTGCCTTTCGCCACTCGGGCTGACATATCACGACTCCAATGCTGCCGCAGCTCAGTAGGTCTCTGGGTCCCATGCCGATTGCTATACTTTTAATTATACAACATATAAAACATATTACATAGCCCAGTGCTGAGAATTTTCTTGTTAGCGGCATTTCTTACTGCTCGCTTGCTACTGGTTATAAACTGGTAAATATCTTATGCTTATGATCTTATTTCCATAGTTAACATTGTTGTGCTGGAAAACGAAATGTAACAATAAAAGTATACGAATCATAAAAGTAAATGTGCAACAATTGTGAGCTTATCAGAAACAGCATCTTTAGAGGAGGTCGTCTAATTGTAGCTGTTGCTAAATGAATTATCACATTTAATTGACTGCGGTTAAATCAGATAAGATCGCACTGGGGTTATTCACTCTGTATGAGATAAAAACTTATAGATTGAGGTGTTGTATTGGAACGTTTAATATATATTTACTAAACTCATAAATAAGTCAAAAGCGGATGTGAACTTAAAATGATGAATGAATCTTGTAGGCATAAACCACCCGCTGCTACCAAAAATTTAACTAATTGCAGAAATCTCCAGCTGGGAGAGCTCGCCTTTACTTTTTAAAAAGTAATAAGACTCTTAAGTCTTACCGGTGGGTTGCCACTCAAAATTCGCTTTTTATGTGCCTCTTTATAAGCTGTTAATAGATTTGCTCGCCACCAATTGGTAGTTATAACATTTTAATCAACCTGGCAAGTTTCCTTTTTGGTCCGACCGATCCGACTGATGGCTGTGAAGTAGTGATGAGCCCAACTTGTGCCGCACTTGAGTGAGCGACGTGCGACAAGCTCTCGACTAATTAAGCCCAGTGTCGCGCCATGTAAAACAAAGAAATACACCGGAGACAAGACGGCGATTTATGATCCGCTACCTGGTTGAATACAGTATTGACTCGCTGCAATTAAATCTAATGTAATTACAATGGTCCGGTTAACACGCAAAATACGGCAGTGACAATGCCAACCAGAGCAAGGAAAACTCTTGCAATCACAGCCATCGCCGCCGAAGCCGAAGCTATTTGAAAACGGAAGCTACCGAAAGACAATTCGTGGGGCACGCGAGACACAATACAATTTCTTCATTACTTCTCGCACTCGAAAATGTGTTACTGCAATGTCGGCTCGTTTTTCTGGGGATATGCTTTCACGCAATCATTTTGAAAAGGCCGCCGCCCTTATTTAATCCGATTTCCCAGCACCATTAATCGTTCGCGACCTTCTTGCCTGGGATTTTCGGCTAAGCCGGCTGGGATTGGATTGGATAATGGTGTCTGAACGGAGGCAACTGAATCTCCAGCTGCATTAACGAGTCGTGCCGACAACTCTGACAGACGCCCCATGGTGAATCAGCTAACCGACGAGCGGTTACGGACCAACTGAAGTGGTAATGGGGGCCAATTATGGACGGTCCATGTTGCTGCCACTTGTTGCCACTTGCTGCCGTTGACCGTTGCAATCGCTTTTTGTTTTGTCTCTCGCTCTCTATCTTTATTTTTTCGGGGTACGGAGACCTTGACTTTGAAATTGAAACCGAAATTTATCTGCTGGAAGGTGAAATTGGCAAACTGGTTGGACACGAATCCCCATCCGCTTTCTTCGGCCTACAATCGATTGGATCATTTGGAGTTCGCCGACTGCAGTTGGTATTAAATCATGGCAATTGTCTCGAATTACCAACCGTGAAATCGTGTCCAATCAGTTATGCAAAAGAATTTGACTTTGTTAGCATGCGCTTAAAATGATTTAATTACTGACACTTAAAACCGTCTCATGATAAACATTTTTTGGTTTTGGAACATTAACTATTGGCAAGTTCAAATACCTGAATGGCTTTGCTTTAAATATTTAAATGTGTTTTCCTGTTTTAAATAATATTAATTATAATAGAGATCCGATACGGATTGAAGATTATCCTGAAGTTTTGCCAAGCAAGCTTATAATTTGAAAGTCTGTGGTCATCAGCCACATTCCACGAACTCCGCAGCTAATTAATTATTCGATTGTTAAACTCGTTCGGGTAATTGCAATAATTGGCCAAGCTTGTGGGGTGCTCAGTGGTTCTGGGGCGAATAAAACCAGCAAACGCCATGTGGGCTGCGCACGCGCCGGTCTGTCTGCCGTGAAGGAGTCCGAAAACCGAGGCGGTTTCAGCCAGCGCCTTCGATTTGGCAAGCCAAATCAAGACTTGAGCACGAGTTTGGGTGCAACACCCATAAAAACGCCCACTTCTCTAGGTGACCAGCAAGCCAGGCTGCATATATTACTCCAGTTATTTTTAGACACCCAATGCGTAACCCAAGAGATATGGGTTTAATGGGGCTCAAGCTCGTCAAGTTTTACTATCTTTTTTGATATGTCTGCAGTTTCGAGCAATTCATTTACATTGGAGTGGCTAGAGTTAGGATTTTAGACTGTTTTTTGGTAGTTAACCCGTTTCGTTCACGCAATTCTGGAGCGTATTGATACATATAACTGGCCTAATTAGCAAAAGTGAACACCAGAAGTGAATTATGCATGCAACTATACTAATTGGAATGGGGTTGTCAGTTGCACAGGTTGCTGTTTCTTGTTTTTCAGGTGATACATGGCTGTATGTAGTTCCCAAAACTAACCTCTGCCATTGTTGGAGGTGTCGTGACTTCGAAGCCCAGGTCTCATTATTTCCTTTACAAGAAATACATTAATTTTATGTGAGATCAACCCACAGAGACGGATACAAGCAACACACCTGCCGATATTTACATATCGGCGGCCCAAAGATTGTAAATGACTTCTGGGTTTAAAGCTAAATGGCAGCTCGATAAAAAAGCATAAGCGTTAAGACCACCAGGTGAATGGCAAGTCGTCAGATGCAGTGAAAAATATATGAAAGTATTAAGGCACGCGTCACTATTGGCTGCGTTTGCATAACAGGCTTAAGATTCCGATCGAGAGAGAAAGTAAAGCCCACGTAAATCCATACAAATACATAATAAGTCATGAACGATCGCAAACCTGATCCAAATGATCGATTTTAATGTTCTAGTTGAATTATTTACACAGTGCTAAATTGACAGAAAAGAGGAAAATGAATTGTCTGCTATGCGGAGCATATATCACAGCTGTCAAGATCCGAGATATATATCAAAGCGCTACAACCGATTCAAAAACATCGGACTTAGAATGCAATAAATAGAAATCAATTCGAGGCATTCAAAGGCCGCAGCGGGTGCTGATCAATGTGGTTTTTTGGTTTTTGGTTTTTGGCTTTGGTTTTTTTTTTTTAGTTTTTAGTAGACTGGAAACCTTTGTCGAAAGACCCGCAACGGAAACCTGAAGGTCGTTCGCATTGGAGATCTCAAAATAATTGTCTTGCTTGTAATTAAAAGATTTGTTACTTTCAACGCAATGCTTTGGGTCACTCGTTTACCGCCAACGGCTTCGAGTGCTTTTTAAAAACAACGTTTGACCGTAATTTTTTATTAAAATGTGTAATTTAGAGCAGTCTTTAAAACCGGTATGTGCTTTAAGTACGTGGAGCTATTGAGCTTCATAATTGGCCATTAATTAAAATACTCATTTCGTTTCAAAACCAAAGCTGTTAAGGGATCTGTGTGTAATTTGCAAAAACGTTTGCCTAATGTTCTGCTATTATATATTTTAATGAAATATAAAAATTACTTTCAAAGCGAGGGCTTAAGTTGCAGATTGCTGATACGAGTAATTAACATTGAGTGCAAAGCACTTAAACCATTTAAATTAAATTAGTAAATTGGAAATAAATCTAGTTTTTGTACCCGTTTTTGAATCGGCGTGCCCTTAGCTTTGAATAATAAAATAAACTAATCATTCAAATCATTAAAAGCAATCATTGCAATTTTGATTTAAACAAATCCGCTTTGATTTAAATGTGATTTTGTAGATTTCGATATTTGGTGCCCTCATTTTTTCGCAAATAACATAAGCTCTGTTTATTGTGGTTTTCAAATTACAGCAAAAAATCATTAACATATGATCTCACTTATTTTTTGTAATTTTTTAACCGTTTTGTGTTGCCGTTATGCAAATGTTATTTAAAAATATTTCTAATCTAATGAATCCTAAGAATTACTTGTTTAATTAAGTTATATTTATATCTGTATTATATTTTTGAATAAAATCTAACAGAATGGTTAACTTTATGGTTAATAATTTTTGGCCAATTAACTACTGTGTAAATTGTTGTTAGCTGTTGGCAAAATTTTTATTTTAAGGTATACTTGTCCTTAAAATAAACTTATACTGAATTTTAAAATTATTTTATAGTTTTAATAAACTTTCTTGTTAACGAAATCCAAACAGCCGTGATGATTATGTTATTTACACGTCTTTCTACTTGTGATATTTTTAATTAGTTAGTTGTTGTCTTTTTGATGATAGTCATTTTATGGATTTGGCAAACTTGCTTGTTAATCTTTTTGACAGTTAGAGATTACTTTGTAGATTTGATCGGCCATAAAACTTGTGTGCATTTTTACTGGCATTAAACTGCGTTACCGCACTTTTTCGAAGAAACCATACTTACGGTAGCTCGAAGCGAATATCCTTTCTCCCGACGATTAATCAACAGCTTGTTTGCGAACACAATGTGGTTCTTTCACTTTTATTGCCAACGATTTTTGGGAAGAGGAGCGGGAGGGGGAATCCCGCGTGGTACTCAAACACCGTATTTACAATCCACCAATTTCGAGTGCGCAATCGCGAATTCCACGCTGAGGTGAGCAAATTGCTTTGAATTATGTTGGTTTTCGCGATTACAATGGACGTGAAAACAGTTCACAGTTTAATTAGCCACTGGTCGCAGTTTTGCACCTGCCCACAGCAAAATTGAGGGCTTAGCGCTAATCCGTTGACGATTAAATTAGATATAGGTGGTAGTAGATAGTATATATTACTGGGCTTCGGATCGAATGGTTAACTGTGGCAAGGCCCAAGGCGAACTAACTGCGCTGCCGCTGAATTTGGGCCTTTTATAACGAATCAGCTGCGCTGCGCCTGCGCAAACGCTAGCGTTAGCGTTTTTTAAGCCGCATATCCGCGGAGAGCCAGACTGCTGGCCGGTTCCACTGTACTTGTATCTGCGAGTGTGTAAATCAAAAACGCTGCCCGCTTTTTTCCTCTCTGCTCCAATTTAATGGCGCTATTGAAAACGCTGTGCCTTATGCTTTATGTAATTTATCGCCGGACAGTTGTCGTTTTTGGCCAGGACCTGCATATCTCGGTTAGGTTTTAAGTGTGCCTAATGTTATTGGTTATTGGTCTTTATCGCACAAGAGGTGATCATGGATCACCTATCCAGTGACCTTTTTGAGTGCCAACTCTTGTTCGAGTGTCCCCAACACAGCTGTGACCTAGAGAGCTTTTCTTTCGAAAACGTTTCGAAATCGGAGTCTTGTGTCTTGAGTGTGTCACTGGCTGTGCGTGACCGTCGTTATGGCTAATTGTTTTCATTAATTAAGCATTCGGGCCGTCCTAGAGCTTAATGTACTCAAAATGGGGGCACTATGCAAAGACGCCCTACAATGTTTTAGTGGGAATGCAATAGTTAAGAAATGCAGTAGCTTAAGTACACCCAAAATTAAAACATTTGGGTTTGAGTTCATTGCAAACCGGAAACTAAACAAATTTATAAACCTCTATGCTTTAAGATTGTCAAATTTGAGCAGAAATATGTTAAGATATTTCGCAGAATTAAATGGTAATCTTCATCAAAAACATTTTTATTTGATTTCCGTTTAATTAAATGTTATATTCCATAACTGAATCCCAAACCCATACAATACAAGAAAGACCACCTGGTATTTTCACAAAAAAGCCTAAAGAGCACCCAACAGAAACCAGCGGATCGTTTAAAGTATTTCTGGCCGGGAATGTTTGCTGCTGTCGGAATCAATCGCATTACCAAATCACCAAACAGTTAGTAATTATCTGTCAACATTAACTTGCCGTAAAATGTGCGGCCAACATAGTTGCATGGAAAAAGTCAACGGGCATTGGAAAAAACAGACTGGCATTAGATACATTAAATTCACACACAATTCGGTCTGTCAAATGCAGTACAGATAGATTAAGAGTGCTATCCGTAACAAAGGTTGACAAAAAATCAAGTATCGGTCATAACGTGTTTGTTTTTTTCGCTGTTCGTTACAATAAATTTGTGTATAATTGATTTGATTTGAACGTCTATTAAACCCAAATAACCCGTGGACCTGTTTGTGCGTGGCGCGTAATTGCAAAATTAATTCGTTCTAATTGGCAAAACCGCCGCAGAAAGCGAAACAATTGGACATCGGTGGCAACTGGACAAACTCGAAAAATCAAATTCCGAATGTGTATCGAACGAATGGTGTACTTTTTAATGTTTTAACGAGTTGGGACACGTGAACGAACACATGTACAGACTGGTAAACATAGGACCGGTTGGAGCCTTCAAACATGTGACTTCGCAGATCCGAGTTTTTTGGGTGAACAGGCGCGTGACTTACATTTTCAAATGTTTCCCCCGCAGAAATCACGCCCTTACCGGTTTCAAACTCCCAAATGCCATACATTTGGGGTGCATTTTAGCGACAGAATTTATGAAGATTACCACTTACAGCGAGACAGTATTATTGCACTTCCATCAAGTTGGATGGTTGGATGGTCGGTTGGCACTTCTTCATATCGATGAAGATCATGTTTACTGCATATCCAAGTTGATTCGGATATTGTGCAAGCTCACTCACTGATTGACGTCTGCAGTTCGATTCGGAGTCAGACATAAATGGTATCTGGGTTAACCATTAAACATCGAAGCAAAGCTGTTTAATAACCAGTTTTATTAGGGTTCCTGTAATGATAGCATTCTCGATTAATTAATCATGTCAGGGCATTGAATAAGTTAATTATGCATGCCTGTATTATCATGTTTACAAGTTTGGAAAGTCATTCTGGTTTCATTTCAGGAACATGATAATTTCAAGGATAAATTATTAAACAAAAAACATATAAATATATTATTTTTAGGCTTTTTAATGTACAGATAAGAACACGGTTTAACATAAAGGTAGGCATATTAAACGTAAATAAATAAATGGCTAAACTTAGCACATCTGAGGCGCAATAATGACTCCAACTATTCAAATGGGAAGCTCAGAAGACCTCGTTGGGATTGCCATTCGACTGATCAGCCTTTTGACGAGCACGAGCCAATTTGGCAGACAGCTCCGATGATCGAATGGTTTTGTACTACAAGAGGGATTTAATTGGATTAAAAATTGGTTTCGAATAGAAGGTATTTCCAAGGACTCACCTCGCAGAAGTTCTTTTGCAGCACAATCTGGGAAATGAGGCGACGACTCTCCCTTTGGCCAAAGTAACTTTCGATGGTGTGTGGTGATAAGGCGAAGATCTCCTCGCCGGAGAGCGTGTGGAGTCGCTTGATGATCACGTCCGAGAATCCCTTGCCCCTCAGCCACTCCTCCACCTCCTTCGGCTTCGAGTTCTGGTTGATGTAGATCTCCGGGGTCTTGAGGATCTCGAGATCCTTGCGTCGCTCCCGCTGCTGCAACATGATTCGCAGCTCGTCGTTTACATCGTCCTGCATGTAGTAGGCCTGGTCATCCGCCTCGCAATCGTTGCGGGCCCTCATGGCTGTAAATTAGCAAAAAATAATTTAATTAATAGCTCTTAGTTCAATAAGCCATTATCAAAAAAATTCTGTCATTAAATCTTTGAAAATATCTATATTTGTTTCATAATTGCTTGTTTAAAAAATAGCATAATTTAAACACGAAAGTTTTTTGCTTATGCTATATAAGATTTTTTTAATTGACTTTCTTTTTAAGTTAAAATGTGAAAATAATAACAAACTACTCGTACATATCTGCTTCTTAAATATTTAAAATTGTGTTCAGGTTAAAACATCTTAATTTATTCTAGACCCACATTCAATAAAAATGGTGTGACTCAAGATTGTGTGGCTCATGTTTAAGGATACTAATTCAGAAACTAAGGACCTACCTGCCAGGGCTCCAGCCGCCGCCATGTTCCTCTTAAGGGTTCCGCTGGGGGTGGGTGGTTGACTGTCTGGTGGAGGCATCGGTGGTGGAACGGGCACGTTGGGCATGGAGTAGGTACGCGCCATGACCTTGCTGTTGGCCAGCGGATCCTGCAGATCGCGTTCCACGGGAGCGGTGTACATGGCCATTGTGTTGCGGTAAACGGGGGGATTCACCTCCTCGCCGCCATTCTCCGTGAGAGCCACCGATGCCAGGGACTCTGTGTCCCTTCCATTCACTCCGGGTTCGAAGTTGTAAGGGGTGAGCACCGTCCGCGGCACGTAGCCAATGTTTCCGTACGAGTTACGGGCCTTCCACCAGTTGCGGGAGTCATCGATAATCTTGGAATCAGAAGTGGACCATGGTAAATTGATTTAATATAGGCATATAATTTTCAAATCTTATCAAACTGATTGGAAACCACAGTTAGGCTTTCGCGTAATTGCTCAATTGATAAGATTATTCATAGATAAACTTCTAGTAAAATAAAAGCAATGATTAGTCTACTATTTTATATGAACAAAGTGTTATTGACATACATTTTGTTTGGAATCTCTTCAACAAGATTTCAGTGATTCCCTTAAATCAGAATTACTCAGTCAGTCAGTGTTTCTAAGGTTTTCTTATCTCTATAGTCTAAATTTATCTAGCTTTATTTAATCATCTTGGAGATAAACGAAATCTTTATTGCTTTAATCTACTATTGCTTTAATCTACAGAAAATCAGATTAATGTTTTGTTTAACGTAGATTATCTTAGTCATTCCACACATTCCAGGCTCTTTAAATGCTGTATAGGAATCCCTTAATTATTTGAACTGCAGTTAATTTTTTTACCGCGCTTGCTACGTCATCAAAAAACGACAAGTCATTTTGATTTAGTAGCAGCTCTCAATTAAATAAACATCCATAAACAAGATAAGATTGATTTAAATTATGCAAGCAATAAAGAAACGTTTCAATGAGTAAATTAATACTTGACACTTTGTGAAATATCGTTAGGAATGCTTTGAAGCTGATATTTAGTTTATAATTACCTCCAAATACTCCCCCTTGGTGACCTTAAGTTCCTTGTCGTTGGTGGCCGACTTGTTGAAGGCAACCTCGGCGATCTTTACATTGCGGCTCTCCAGGCGATTAAGCCAGGTTCTATTTCCTAATCCCGGACTGGGAGGCACTGGAACTGGCGATGGAGTCGAGGACTTCTTGAGAGCGGGAGCCAAGTACTGCACCTCCTCATCCACAACCCAATCGGGCGACCAATCATCGTAGAAGATCGGATGGTACGAACTCTTGTGATCCTTGAACTGATCCTTTGGAACAGTCCAATTTGGACCAAGGCTCTGCCACAACTGCTTCTCATTGGAGTCGAGCGCTCCGTTCAGGAAGGCAATGGTCTCCCTGCGCAGGAGGGGATTAACTACTGCCTCTGGGATACCCGCATCCACGTAGATGTCATTGCAAACGGTCACAATGGTTTGCAGCGAGATGAAGACATTGTGCACCGGATCGGTGGACTTGGTGAAGTGATTCTGCAGCCGAACGGAGTAGATTAGAGCCAGTTTAACCTTGGCCAGGATGTCGTGGAACTCGCTCTCGATCGGAGGTCGAGATCGAAGGACTAGGAGACCTTCCCCATGAGGATTGTGCTGCTCCTTGCGCAACTTCAACTCGTTGAGTGCCTCGGCGGCATAATGAAGTCTTGCCATGAATCTCTCAATGTCCTCGAAACAGTGGTTGATCACCTGGACATCCCGTTCGGTCTGCTCCTTGTCCTGGGCATTCTTCTCCGCAGCAATTCCTGCCACTGCGGCAGCTATTCCATACTGATCCTTTGCCTGCGGATTGTTGGGTCTTTCTGGTTTGGGCAGCAGAATTGGGGTCTTATTGCGATCCACTGTTACAGGAATTCCTTTACTCAGCTGAAAAATTTGGGAAATGAATACTTAGAAAGCAAAATATAGTATAGTGGAGTACTCACCGTCTTCAGATCCTCTACCAAATGCACTGAGCTCACATCAGCCACCTTAGATACGTATTATTTTAGTTATCTTGAATTTTCTACAGAGTTTATAATTTTTTGCTCACCTGAAAGATATGCATTTCTGTATTGCCAAGTGAAATTCCGGGCACCGAGAAGATTAGAATATTGTTGTAAGCCTCCTGTGGATGTTCGCTAATAAATGCCGTAGGTTCCGTGATCAAACTGCCTGGGAAATTCTCGATTTCCTTCATATCGCTATCCAGCATCACCAACCACTGGCCATTGAAGCTCATGAACATCTTGTGCGGCCAGATGCCACCAGTTTTGTCCAATTCAATCAGCAGCTTCATCTTCTCCTTCGGCTGCTTGATTTCAGCCTCGTTTTTCAACTTGAAGGTGGCCAAGTGTTCCAGGGCGTAAGTGGGTTTAATCTCATCATAATGCCCATTAGGTTGTTGCCCCGAAGGAGCTCCATTGTCGTAGCCGTTTCGTGGCATCCTGAGAGAATACGCAAATTGTTAATCAAAATTATTGGGTTATTGGGGTTTTTATAACCATTAATTTGTATCATATATTGGTTCATTGAAACGCTGCTTTAAGTTCAATATTCACACGCAAATGAAAAAAGACTGCGCAATTCTGTACTGTGCCTTTTTATATTTCTTTCTTTATATTTGTTTTATGTCGATTTGTTTTGATGATAACACTTCAGGGAAACTAATGCATGTAAACATGGCCCATTGTCAATAAGCCCTTTCAGTGATTACATTTAGGAATTCAAAGAACCCGAAGCAGAAAGACCTTTATTGTGCAAGAATAAAAGCAATTACAGACTACACAATTTAAGGCCTTATAAACCCCTTTAAAAGTTTAGAAAATCCTAATTTTTAAATGATATTTTTATTTTTTTTTAATGCAACCATTCGAACTTTAGATTTGTACTAATAAACACTTTTATTAAGTTGTTATTTCCCATATTCCAGACTGTGTTTGGCATCCATCGATCAGAATATTTACCCATACTTGACCGATATGGGTCGAAAGTATTTCAAGGTCCTATTGCCTGCTTTGACCATTCCGCCGATGTGGAATCACAGCGTTCCGGGAAACTATTGATTCGGAGTGGCCAATGGGATATAGATAGATAGATACCCTTGCATGCAGAAACACATACAAAATCACCTATTTCACCTGTGTGGTGGCTACCACCTGCCCGATTAGATAAACGCAATTAGGCACTGACTTTGCGATTGCCTTTGCTTTTTTGCTTTTGCACTGCCAATATTTTGCTTTTGTAGTTATCACAAAGCCAGGAAATTCTTGGCACATGAAGCAATCTCTTAATGAAAGCTCATTACATAAAGGCTCGAATATAAAAGTTAATCGCGTATTTTTAGGCCATGATTTTGGGCCAATTATCTACGCCGTCGGATGGCTGTCTGCTTTGATTTCAGATTTATATTTATTGCTTTCACTTGCATGACATCAGATCCTGAGATACCGATGTCTGCGCCGTATCTTTGATGTCTTGATTTACAGGCTTAGATGAACCGATGGGTTACCTTGTACTGCCCACTGTGCACTTTTATTTTAACTATTTTCTCTTTTATTTTCTTTCTTTTTTTTTTTGTTTGGCCCGAACTCGCACTCTCGACCCGCTGTGAATCGAATTCCAACTCCAACTAACTGACGTTGGCTGGCCCAAAGGCAATCGGCGATATCAGCTGGCTCCCCGCTCATTAATTGATTGCCTGAAATTGTTTCAGCGGTGCGTTATCGCAAAAGCAAAAGCAAAAGTGTGCCTTATCTCCCGTATCGCTCGATACTCATTGGCACTTTCGGCAATCTTATCTGGCCGCCGAGGAGCAACAGAAACAAATATTATGCCATTCCTCCTCCTAGAGAGAGTCTGCTGGCGATTGAGCTTGGTTTTCATATCGGGCCACAAGGTGATCGCATCAAATGGTCAGCGTTTGTCCCTGGGGCCACCAACAAGTGCTCGCAATCGAAGGTAAACATATAAGGAATTTCTGCGTGTTCCCCCGCAACATTTCTGGCATATTTGGCCAACCGACAAAGTAATCCCCAAGTGTCTGCATACTGGCGTGCTTTCCATGTTTGCTTATTTATCGGACAATTTAATCAATAACAGTATTATTATTAAATAATTTTTAAAAATAAATATCCATATGAGTCATGCCTGATTTATCTAAAATTTGCATATATGAAATGAAATTAATCCAAAAGTTCTTATAGTAAATATTTGAGAGTACCTTTTATGTATCTGTTTAAAAAGAATGTTTATTATAAATCACTTATAATTTAAAGTCTTCCATCAATAATTTAGTACTATCCAGTGGCAGGGTCTCATGACTTTTTATTTTACGTACAGTTCTCCATCAATCTATAGATAAACTGATATGAGTATTTAGGTATACCTGAATATTTTAAAAATATCTACCTTTTCAAGTTCTAATACTGGTTTCTTTAAAAATACATTTGCACATTAATTTTTCGCAAATCGAAAACCCTCTATCGTAAACTCGTTGCCATAAAACCTTCTTTGCAAACGTTTGAAGAAATAGTTTTATTTGTTTATTGGCCAATAACTTTTTATTGGTGCTAATTGTGACATTCTTGCCTTTTATTGATGTTTGCAGACTAATTCACGTAATGAGAGAAAAAAGCGACCCTCATTACGGTTGAAAATGGGAATTGTTGAAAATGGCAATACACGTATCGCATTTGCCGCAACACTTTCTGCAACAACTTTTATTGTAGTAATATTGCGTGACTCCAACGACGTTGCTTCTAAATTGAGAGTTATCAAAAGTGTCAAACAATCGATCTGCAGCACCGTGTTTATTTATACAGAACATATCGTTAACAACCCATAAAGCAATCCCAATCAAGATCTGATTGAGGTATTTATTAAGCTTTGTCTGTTACATTTCATTTTTTTGGTTTAGGAACTTAATCTTAAATTCGTATGCGATGTGTGAGCGCCGGTGTATTGTCAAACTCTAGACATCTTTGCAAGAGACCATTTGATTACTGCAAAGAAACACAAAAAACATTCATTATGGTTGTAGATAATTTCCGTTGCCGAGCTTATCACCCCGGTACTCAGTATAATATTAAATGGGAATCAAATTGCGTACAGACTGCAGTGACTCAACGCAGAAAACCAGTGACAGGTGATCTATTATGACCGTTTTTCAATACTCACCGGGCCGATGGCAACTGGAAGATATTCTGGGGAACAGCCGAAAGACCGGAGTTTCGACACAAGAGTTTGGTTCCATTCATGTCTCGGAAGTACTCCGACAACAGAGGGTATTTGCTGTCAGAATTTTGCTGGTGTTGCTTAAGCACGTGTGCGAATTGCTCAGCTATAATGAAAGTATTTAATTAACATAATTGTATGTTTGTTCTTTTTTGGGATACCTACAGATTATGCAGCTAAAAGTGGGTCCAACAGATCCAGCAACTGGTTTTTCCGAGATACCACCGACAATCAAATCCACTTCAGACCAACTGCTGTAAATAATTTTCAGCTTATCCAAAACCTAAAAAATTTTTAAAATAATAATTAATAATTAGAAACAATAATATTAATTGTTTCTGCAGCAAAACATACATCTTTAGGAATAAACTCCTCAAAGTCTCTCCAACTGTTTACAGGTCTCAGCAGAGTGCACGATTCCAAATACCTATGATATGGGAGCAAACCGTGATCCCTGCCCCTTTGGATGTCGAAAGCTAGGATATCAGCATGTGTGGGTTTAGTGTCATTGTGCCAAACAACCTAAAAAGAGAACTATTATTTCTGCATCTTTTCAGCACTACAATTGGCGGACTTACACCTCCAGAGTAGGCAGCATCCATTTTCATGATCTCCTGGTTAAGTAAACTTTCAAGAATGTCGTTCAGTTTCTTGGAAGTGTACTGCAGTTGTGGGTTGTATATTTCTTCCTTGAGTTCAAATAAATTTGTCGTTGGTACGTCCTTGCTAATAAAGACATACTGGTTATTTCTGTAGGGATATTAAATGTTAGGAATTTTGAAAAATAATAGTTTATTGCCAATATTAAATTTAAGCAGGATAAAGAGTGCTCTTTAGGCAATTCTAGTTGAAAGAATATTTGTAGTAGCAACCAAACGTAATTATTTAAAAAAACATGAGGCTTATCATATACATCGTAACTTTTTAGCCTTAAAGAGAATTTATCCTGGAATACGTATACGTAATATTTTTCTATCACATAAATTTATATTATGTATACGTAAAATGAAGTTAAGACGACTTACTTTTCAGTACCAAGCACAACGTTGTTCTTTGTCAAATTTTGAAGCTCATTGGGCAGCATTGAGAAGTAGAATCGAATGGCGGCCACTGCAAACTCATTGGAGACTTCCAGGCCACGATCCAGTTTTTTTCTCTGCACCTCAGCGGCCATACGTTCGCCAAGAACCGCCGGAAGCCATTCCTCGATCACTATCCGACGATATATATACACATTAATAGCCTTGGCAACCTGGAAATGCTTTTCATCATCCCAATGAGGATTCTTTAGTTCTTTGGCCAATCGATTGTGATTTCGCAAGAAGATCGTGTAGATCAGAATGGAGAAGGGGTTGCTGTTGACACGCGAATCTCCAGCTGCAAAGCAGGTGCCATCTCCAATTCTTTCCTTGGCACAAAAGGAGGGTCCTTCCGTATCCGTGGCCATGGGCAGCAGGGCACTGTCGAACTCTCCTCGTGGAGTGGTCTTCAGAAGGCCTCCCTGGAATTGTCTCAACTTTCTTTCTGCTGCCGTGGAAAAGCCATAAAGCTGCGACAAATCCAAGGATCCCGTGGCCTGGTTGAGCTGTAGAAATCATATAAATTAGTGGTATTCTCATGGCTTGATACGAATGAATTCTTCTCACCTGTTCAGCGCCACCAAAATTGCAATCGGCCACGGCCAGAGCACTTCTCACGTAATTGAGGCAGCTGGGCACGTCGTATTTCCCACTGGGCTGGTGGAGAATCGGAGCACAGGCCGGGTGGTGATGACGAGGCTGAAGGTTGTTCTGGTCACGGCTGCAACACTCGATCGGAGCTCCACTGCCTGGGAATGCAGTAATGGTTAATTGAATTTATATAGTGGGGAAAAACATTTTAATTAAACGAATAGGCTTTCGTACACTTTTAATGTGAAAGAAAATTCTCAACAGCTTAAGTCTTAATAATGTTGTTTTAATTATTTGCAATTAGTTTAACTACTAAAGCGCATCTGAAAACTTTCTTAAAACAATTTGCATACTAATTTTATTGTCATTGATAATGTCTTATACATTTTCGTAAATAGACTTTATATATAATGACGGATGTAATGAGGATTAAGTACTTGAAGAACTCACTCATCGATTGGGAGACTGGCTTGCTAAGATCGTGCTCCACAAACTGAGCCCACTGTGCCAGACCCAAATTAAGATTGCTATCCAGAATAATCCGCTTATCCGTTTGAATATTATCGGGTTCGTAGAGCTCCTTACTAATGGACCAGGCTGCCGGAACACTGTTGCGCCTTCCGGAATTGGGGAACATCTAAAAAGATAAAGGGTCCTTAGTAAATTAATTGAAGCTACTTTATAGAGTAAACATACATCATAGAAACCATCCTTGTAGTGACTGCTTCCCAGCAACCTTCTGAAAGCGTGATGACCCTCTCGATTTGTCTTTAGCAAGTTTTCGCACTCGGTTCGCAGACTACTTCCTTCAGGAAGGGGTTTTTGCTCCAGGAAACTGCGGCAATCATCTCCGTCGATTTCATTTGGCAGGCACTGACTGTTGTACACAAACAAGCTGGACTTTATGATCTTCTGAGCGAGTTCACTGTCCTTTTTTGAATCCAAACTCGGCAATGTATCCAGAAGTTGAACATGTGAAAGGCTACCATTCTTAACAGTGATGTCGGAACTCAGCAGATTTTCCTCAAGCCTTTAAGATGTAAAATAAGATTTTAAGTAACTTTTAAAAATCATATTTATATCATCAGTTTATTAATAGAGTTATGGGTAAATATACATCAGAGCTAAACTCTGAGTAACGCAAAAAACTTATTTAATTAAAAACTTTTCAGTATTTCACTCAAAAGCAGAAAGGTGTCAACTTTCGAACTTAATCACTAAAGGTTTTTTAATTTGACTGGTTTTCAATGTAATAATAATAAATAAATATTTACAAACCGCTTTTGTCTGTTAACTGAGTCGAGCGCCGAGTTCACCATATCCAACCATTTCGCTGCAGGAATACGCTCTAATGCTCCATAAAGATCCAAACTTGCTGCATATGAATACATTGAAAAAAATAAACCAATTAAAAGGAAATATTACATTTGGAGATAAATTTGTTAAAAGAAATAACTTAAGTTGTTTCCCATTTACTGAAACAATTACCTTCGTGGGAACATAAATTCTTGGCGCCGCTTCAAGTCAATTGCTTTATTTCTTAAAGGAATAATTTATTTGTACCGTAATACTTGAATTGTACTGTGGAATATTCCATAAATTAAGCTCTGTCAACACATTAATCTAGGCAATTTAAGATTGTAAGCTCTATGGCGAAGGTCATGTTGGGCAGCAAACGATAGAACTCTTGTGAACTGCCCGGTCATTAACATAGGTGTGCATCCCACTAATCTGTTAAAGCATGCTAATTGATACAAATGTGAATCTAAAAATATTCTTATTGCCACGCCTATAAAAATCTATTGGGATCCGATAGTAAACAACTTTTTATTGGGTTTTCCTTTTTGACTGATAAGACATTTGCACATGTTTGCATTTTTAATTGTGAACTCTTGGGGTGAACATTTGGGATTTATTGAGATATTTATAAACAAGTTCATGTAAATAGGTTTCTGAAATGTCGCGCCTTTGAATTGTTTACAAGTGAACGTGAGAATTGGTAAAAACAAATGCAGTCATTCATGATGATATAACAAGTGAGCTTCGACCATCGATCAATTTGAACCCGCAAAAATAGGGAAAGTACAATTATACACTATGATGACAAAACAGTATCCGGACTTTAATTTTTTTAGTGTCAATAAAATCAACATTTGATTTGAAAGTGCGATATGGCTGATAACATTTATCACCATCCTCGATTTTTGAAAGTCTTCCAAAGTTGTTTATTTAATGAAAACTGCATTTTAAAACTGTGACACTTTTTTGAACCGAATATTAACCAAGAAATAATATTGATAGTCTCATACCAGGGGCGGACGCAGAAAAAAATTTTGGGGGGGGTCCGGTCGAAAAATTTTTTCGTTTGGGGGGGGTCCGGTCAAAAAAATTTTTAGTTTATATGGTTGAAAGGCCATGTGCTGTAAGGGAATTTGAAAAAGTCTGCGATTTTGGGGGGGTCCGGACCCCCAAACACCCCCCTGCGTCCGCCCCTGTCTCATACTCTGCTGATCATATGGTCTCTTTTTTAAACTCTCTATTCATAAATCGGTTTCTCTAAGATGGAATTTTATAATCGGATTATAAAAATCGTATTAAATTGTATCAATTGTTACTTCTGAGATCAAAATGCTTTGTTTGAAAATGTTTACTTCATGACCAGTGTATTGAGTCTTTTAGTAATTATACTTACATTTAGCATCGCCTATTGTCAATAATGATGTTCCTATGATGAGAGCCAGCAGCAGACAGACGTTACTGATGCCCCCCATTGCTCTTTTCTTTGTTCTAGAACGCTGATTTCTCAGCCACCGGTTGTGATTCACAAAATACTCGCACGTCAATGGAATTTAAGTCACGTAGTGGGCTTGTGATAAGAAAGTGATCCGAACGGCGATTCGATTGGATTAAATCCGCGCTTTCCGTTCAATTAATTCGTGTCAACGGCTCAGCGGCGAATCGTAGACTGCTGAGCTTGGGGGAAAATCTCGGTAGAATCGAGCCGATGAGAATGCGTCGGATCGTTATCACGCACAATGGAGCTCATCATCATCAGCTTGAGAGCTCTCTCTTTATTCGGATACCAAATCGGGTAAACGTAAACAAATGATATTTTTGTTTTGACTTGGTGAATCAATTACACACACCATCTTATTATGCAAATGATGACCACACCTGAGGGTGTCCCCAATGCTGTGTTCTTACAAAATTTTTTTTAAAACGAATAAGCCATTTTTCATTAAACCTTTTTGTTGTTAAGATAAATTAACCAAGCCGCCAAATAATTTGTTATCGATAAATTTGACCAAATTTAATTTGAATCTCTAGTTCTGGCTTGGAACCAGTTTGATTTTTGCCCTAATAAGCAACGTATTATTTACATGCCATATATGTTATAAAAATTGTTGTATTTGTTTAATAATTTGTTATCTATTTATTAATAAATATATAAAATCTGATGCCAGTTAACTTGTTAAATAGTTAGTTAATAGTAATATTTTAAAGTCGTAACATATTTTTGGATTTTATTTCTGGAAGCTGTTATATTTCGCTGGCCCAACTCTGGTCACACTTTTAACCATATTTTCATCTAAACAAGCGTTTTTCGTAAAAAGTAATCTTAATTTTATCAATAAGAGAGGGACATTTAATCAACCATGCCAGCTTTAGATGCGGAAGCCACTGACGAGCAGTTCGGGAATGACCAGCCCAAGTCGATGTCGGGTCCCATTGTCGGGATTATCTATCCGCCGCCGGAAGTCAGAAGCATCCTTTACAAAATGAAACAAAACAATTTAATCACAAATTTTCCGCTAGCAAATATTAGTCTTATACTCTATAGTGTTTTCCACATACTCAGTTAGCAATGCTTTAACTAATAGATATCGTTGACAAGACCGCCAGTTTTGTAGCTCGCAATGGACCGGAGTTCGAGGCCCGAATTCGGCAAAATGAGCTGGGCAATCCGAAGTTCAATTTTTTGAATGGCGGAGACCCCTACCACGCCTATTACAGACACAAAGTCAATGAGTTCCGTGAGGGCAACGGTAAGTTAGGATTGAATTTGATTAAAATGGTTTATTTTACGTAATTTTTGTCTTCCTCAGATGCCGGCATCACTGCCCTCACGGGTATGAAGCAGCTGGCGGTGACTAGTGCCGCCCAACAACGCCAGCAGGAACTCCTCAAGCAGGTAGTCGAACAGCAATTTGTGCCCAAGGAACCCCCGCCAGAGTTCGAGTTCATTGCAGATCCACCTTCCATTTCGGCTTTGGACTTGTTAGTTTACTGTCCCAAAATCTTAATTATTATACTAAAACCTCTTTTCCAATTCAGGGACATTGTGAAGCTTACAGCTCAGTTTGTGGCCCGTAATGGCCGTCAGTTTCTTACCAACCTGATGAGTCGGGAGCAGCGCAACTTCCAGTTTGACTTCTTGCGACCCCAGCACTCACTCTTCCAGTATTTCACCAAACTGCTGGAGCAGTACACCAAGGTTCTGATACCACCCAAGGATCTACTGGGTAAGTTGCGCGCCGAGAGTGCTCCGGGCAGGAGCAGCATGAACCAGGTGCTGGACCACGTGAAGTATCGAGCCAACTGGCAGCGTCATCAGGAGGCACAACGTCGTCGCGAGGAGGAGAAGATCGAGCGAGAGCGTGTGGCCTATGCCCAGATCGATTGGCATGACTTTGTGGTGGTCGAAACGGTGGACTATCAGCCATTCGAATCGGGCAACTTCCCGCCGCCCACAAACCCCGACGAGGTGGGCGCCCGTGTGCTAATGGAGGAGCGTTTGATGGACGAGGAAGGTGACACTGAGATGCAGATTGAATCGGATGACGAGGGCGACTCACAGGTGACCAGTCACCACGACAGCGGACTGAAGCTTTCGCAGATGGAGAACCGTGTCGGCATTCAGATGAAGAACGTTTCGTCGTATGGACAGCCGACCGGCGCTAAGAGGGATAATACCCAGGTGCAGGATATGGACGAGGCTTCCAGCGACGAGGACACTCCCACAACCAAATTGCAGCCTGCTGTGGCGCCGATGCTGCCACCCACCCACGACAAGGTGGTGGTCAAGAAGTACGATCCCAAGGCTACGCAACCGAAGCCGGCGCCAATGCCAACAGACGAGTATCTTATCTCCCCTATTACGGGTGAAAAGATTCCGGCCTCCAAGGTTTCGGAGCACATGCGCATCGGTCTTTTGGATCCACGCTGGGTGGAGCAGCGCGACAAGCACACCGTGGAGAAAATCAACCAGGACAATGTCTTCGCCGCAGGCACAGCAATCGAAGCGAGTCTCAAGCAGCTGGCCGAGCGACGTACGGATATTTTCGGTGTGGGTGATGAGGAGACGGTTATCGGCAAGAAGCTGGGCGAAGAGGAGACCAAGAAGGACGATCGCGTCACCTGGGATGGCCACACATCCAGTGTGGAGGCCGCTACGCGAGCAGCTCGAGCAAATATCACGTTGGAGGAACAAATCCATCAGATCCACAAGGTCAAGGGATTGCTGCCGGACGAGGAGAAGGAAAAGATCGGACCCAAACCGGTGGGCAGCAAGGCCACGCTGTCCGCTCCGCCGCAGCCATCGACCAAGTCGCAGCACAGTCACTCCAGTCAGAGCCAGCACCACCAAGGCGGCGGTGGAGGAGGTCATCATGGACACCACAATATGCACCACCACCATCCGCCGCATCAGCCGGCGCCGCCGCACCAGCAGCACCACCATCATCCGCCCCAGCAACCTCAGCCGGTGATGCAGCTGATGCAACTTCGTCCTCAAATGATGCGTGAGATAATCGGATCTATTCATTCCGCTTTGTTTTTACGATAGTTTTATTTCACAGAACCACCATTCGGAGCTGGTGGTGGAGGCTACATGAACATGCAGCCCGGTGGAGCTCCTCCGATTGCTCCTGCTCCGCCGGTTGATTTAATGCCTTTGGAAGATGAGCCGCCTTCCAAGAAAATGCGTTCCGAGGATAACCTTATTCCGGAGGCCGAGTTCATTGCCTCTCATAAGGTAAATTTATTTGTACCCTCTGTTACAAACAAAGGAGAGAAAATAGTAACCGTTTTGTGAACTTTCAGAGCCCTGTAACCATTCAGGTTCTGGTGCCCAACTCCGACAAATCCGAGTGGAAGCTTAATGGCCAGATGATAGCCGTGACCATGGCACTTTCTGAACCGATAACCAATCTCAAGACGAAGCTACAGGACGAAACTGGTATGCCACCGGCCAAGCAGAAGATCTTCTATGAGGTAAAAAAATTATATTCTTAAAGAATCATAATTAAACCACTTTCTTTTCAGGGAATGTTCTTCAAAGACAGCAATACTATGGCCTTCTACAATCTTGTAAACGGAACCACAGTGCATTTACAGGTCAAGGAGCGTGGTGGTCGCAAGAAGTAAAAGGATCAAAGAGTAAAGTCACAACAGACACAATTAGGAATGCTCCATATGTAGAAATTTATTTGTATATGGTTTCGCATAAATTTGTAATAAATTGTCAATCACAGAATTTGTTAATTGCACTTTAGTTCTGTTAATTTTAGGCGACGTACAAACAGGATTTGGAAGGTGAGTAGGGGAAATCACGGAGTATAAAACGGAATGTTGCGTTGGGTAATCAGTAAGTCTATTGTTCACTGGTCAGGACGCGCGCCATTTCGCGATATCGAATCCTCATTGGGGCGTAGATTTCTTCGCTGTCCTTGTGTGGCTCGCAGACAAGGTGCAGCTTGTTGGGCGTAAGACTAAGGATGTAATCTCGGTAACTGAGTGGGGTCGATTTTTTATCCAGCTCCTGAGTATAGAGTGCATAGGCGGCTCTGTATGCCGCTCCTATAAGGGCACCCTCATGACCTTCGTCCTGCAAACAAAATTTAAGGTTTTATTGCATGACCCTTATAAAGGGACAGGTGAACCCACCTGGATATGGACTGGGGAGTTGAACACATCGGCGATTGTCTGCAGGATCGACTTGTTAACAGATGCTCCTCCTGTGACAAGGATTTTAGTCTCTGGCCCAAATCGATAGCCCAGGTCTTCCGCCACTGCTCGGTGATGCAGCATCTGACCTTCAACTAAGGCACGAATTTCAATTTGGGGCGAACTGAATCTGTAAGAATTGGAAAAGTGATAAATAAGATGTGAAAACGCCCTTTTTAGCGTAACGCCAAACGCAAAAACCTACCAAACTTTTGGTAAAACAAATAAAAAAAGTAAAGGTAAAAAATAGGTCTATAAAAATAATCATTTAAAAGGGTTTTCTCTGGCTTCACTTGTAAAGTAATTATTTAAAAAGGTTTTTTTGATCCCGCTTGTTAATAACACGTCAACACTAATAACTCATTGTTAACAGCTGTGGAGTTATTGGTTTTAGTACATTTCTTGATGTATGGCTTGTAAAACAATCTACTTAAATAAAAAAACAGCAGTCCGGCTTACTTGACAACTCCCTTAGCTGCCTCCGGGGAATCAGGTTTGATTTCCTTGCTCCAACGGAGAATGCCCTGAGCCTTGGGGATAATCTCCAGGTCGTTAAAGTGGACGGCCATGTTTCCGAAGTTTCCGCGAGGTGTGGAGTCGAGATACTCGTTGAACTTATCCCAGTTGCCGCCGGCCATCGTCTTGTTCATTGCCTCGCGCACCAAGGAAGCATTTTTAAAACTAAATGGGGATATGTAAATATGCTTTCTTTCTGAACTGATCTCTGGAAAAATTCGTACCATAAAAGTCCCATGTACTCGTCTGTATCGGTTGGATGACACAGGATATGACCCTCCTCCCAGTTAAGTGGATTCTTCAAGCTCATCATAAGAGTGTCGCTGGTACCAAGGGAGATGTTCATCCAGTTACAGCACACCAGCATTCCTGCCAGCGCCGATGGATTGTCTCCAGTGCTGGCAATCACTTTGCAGTCGGGCGAGAAGCTAAAGCGGTTTACAAAGTATTTCGAGACGTTGCCTAAGACCGTATTTGGACTGACTGGAACTCCCAGGCGCTCGTCCAGATCGGGTGCACAGACATTCAGGCACTCCTTGCACCAAGTCTTCTTGCGAATGTCGAGCAGATTCATACCGGAGCCATCGCTGAAGTCGATGGGCGCCACCGAGCCCAGGAATAGCGAAGATATGAAGCTGCTTACCAATGAGATTCGTTGGGTCTCGTCGTAGGCGTGACAGCGCAACTGATAGATCTTCCTGATCTGGGGTCCCGTAAAGCGTTCGTAGCACTTGGAGCCAGTCAACTCGAGCATTCTTTGCTGGCCTCCCAAAGCCATCTCCATTTCAAGGCACTGCTTTGTGGTTGTGGCGTCCATCCAAATGGGCGTACGGTTCACCGCGAAGGAGGAGTCATCGATTTGTGCGTGAAGGAACTTGTCGGAGTCGAGGTTCTTCAGCGTTTTGATGCCGTGCTTCGACCAGTAAAGCGACCCGTGCTGCTGTCCGGAGCCACCGATGGCCGCCACTGTACTAAGATCAGCCTGCTGCATTACCAAACGATCCAGGACAATGTCCATCGCCTTCACCCACATCACGGGCTGGACAAAGTATCTGGTGGATAAACATTTCGATTTATATTGTGTTTGTGTAAATTACAATTATAGATTTTGTCAATAAATATACTCAGATTCGCCTTTTATTTGATTTATGCAAAATTAAAGTCTAGTTTTTTAGTATCTAATTAATTTAGAACTTTTAAAACTAAAATAAGGTTGAACACTTATTTAGGTATTGTATTGACCTCATTTTTAAGTCCCAGACTCACTCATTTTTCAAGGATCCGGCATTGGCACCGCCCGTGGTCCGAAACTCTGGCAAGTCTGTGTCGAATTTCACTTCCGCCGCGGCTATGACTTCCAAAGTGGAACTGAGCAGGATAGCTTTAAGCTGAAAGAAGTTAAATGGGGCACCAATTAGAGATACGGGGAGACACACCTCGAAAGTAACGATCAAACAGAGGGCAACTAGGAGTCACCGCTGGCGTCATTCAGGAATTGCGAAAGTTATTGCGGCATTATTAAGATAATGGCGGTGGGCCAATACATCCGAACATGAATTTTAATAATCAAACCATAATAGTTAAATTGTTTGTGTCTGGGACTTTGGCAGATAAGCGAGAATCGAGCCCCGGGTCACTGTTACTGATAAGAATAGTTTCGGTTGGGGGCAAAAACAGGTTCCCGAGTTCCGTTCGACCTTTTGGCGTAACACCATTCCCACATACGGTGGGAATTGGAGTCAGCTTAAAGACGCCTCCGCATCTCGGATACAAAGATATGTACTACGTAGGCAGTTCCAGTTCTCACCTTTTGAGTGCTCAAATCGAAGCCGAGGAAGGTTCGTTTCAACTTCTGCGGACCCATTTTAGCACTGCTTACGGATTTGTTGGATGCCCTAAATCGACTGACGCTCCCTCATGTGGCGGGTGGTCCCGATTCCACTGGTTAAATAGCCGGAACACAGAGGGATTTTGCTTTCGTTTTGTTGACGTTATCGAAATGTTTGAGTGCTAGTGTGGATGTCTTTCGATGGCAAAAAATCCGCCAAGCCAGGTGTGCTTGGCGCGCTGTTTAAATTATCATCTGCTTGCGGGAAAACAGAAAGCTACAAAACAAAACTTTTCAACCGTTTGACTTGATTCAGAAAATTTTTTAGGTCTGCTTTAAAAGATATAAGCTGTTAAATTCTTTAATGTTAGCGAAAGCTGAGTGCGATTTTCACTGTCAAGTCCCAATGCATTTTTTAGTTAAAGCATACTAAGATAGAAAACAAATAAAAACGTAGTTCAACAAATTACTTATGTTTTTTGTAGGCAGCAAAAGTATCTTGATCAACCTCAATTAAAAAACTAGAACGAGTGCGTACGTTTGAAAATGACAGCTCTTCATACGAGGCAAGTTGGCAGCACAGCAGAGCTGTTTCTTGGTATGTTTTAACGGTCTGTTTGATGGTCACACTCTTTTAGCTATTATCATTGGGCAGGAAGGAAATCGGTAGTTATAGATCATAATTGAAAAAATTAAGTTAAATTGAGGTGATATTAGAGTCCGCCTGAGTGAGCATGTCGCTAAACTACGAGGAGATGAGCTGGTCGGGTGAGTTTTCCCGTTTTTCCGGCTGCCATTCGGTGCACACGTCAGTGGTCGCATGAGTCCGGTTTTTCGCAAACTGAAAATGGGGGCATGAATGAAAAAATGCCGGGTCATAATCGACGGCTCCTTGCAGATGTGCGGGATCAGTTCAGGAAGTGGCGCGAGGAGACTGGCCGCCACAGCGAGGAGGTGGTGCAGCTGTGGGTTGCCGTCTTGGAGGACAAAGTGCACAAGACCGGCAACGAGCGCCATCTTATCCTGGAGCAGGTGATCATCGCAGCGTTGGACACCGCCCGCTTCGACATCGCCACCCAGTGCACCAAGCAGCTGGCTGTCGAGTTCCCGGGCAGCCTGCGTGTGATGAAGTTTAAGGCGATGCGCTATGAGGCACTGGAGCAGTACGACGAAGCCGACGAAGTCCTAGACGCCATTATTGCTAAGGACGAGACCAATGCCGCGCCCAGGAAGCGCAAGATTGCCATCCTAAAGGCCCGCGGACGTCGCGTGGAGGCCATCAAGGAGCTGAATGAATATCTAAAGAAGTAAGGAACCGTGACTAGCAACAGTCAATCTTTTCCTTCATTACACTCTTTTAAAACTTGTAACTTTATTTGATGTTTATTCCCAATATTCGCAGGTTTATGTCTGACCAGGAGGCCTGGCACGAGCTGTGCAACATGTATCTGGCTGAGGGCGAGTTCGGCAAGGCGGCTTTTTGCATGGAGGAGGTTTTGCTACACAATCCTCATAGCCATCTAATACACCAGCGTCTGGCAGAAATACGTTACACATTGGTAAAACAACTGCATGTCCCTTAAAGTAGTCCTTCTTACAAAGTGCTTTTCTTTTAGGGAGGACCTGAAAACGTGGAGTCTGCTCGCACTTACTACTCGCAGGCGTTGAAGCTGAACCCTCAAAACTTGCGGGCTCTTTATGGCCTCTACTTGTGCTGCAACTATTTGGCCAACTCGCGAGCAGTGAGCTCCAAGCGCAAGGAGCTGCAAAAGCTGGGTCAGTGGGCCCTCGAACAAGTGTCTGAGAACACCACCAAGAAATCGCCAATCAAAAACAACGACAAACTGATTCTGTCATTGGAGGCTGCCTTAGGAAACCTGGAAATCAAATCGAATTGACCAATTTAAGCACTAATGGATATCACATCATTTGTGCAATAGATGCCAGAAAGTAATGATTCCAAATATTCTCAGAAATGGGTTAACATTTTCTGTTTCTTAAGCAAGTTACATAGATAAACATTTAAAGTAGCGGGAGTAAAAAGAATTTTATTGTCAGTGCATCCGAGCTAGTATTTTTTTATGTTAAATGATCGGTGACGGCTTTGAGCTCGGATAATTCATAACCTTAATCATTGGGGTATGTAAAGATCATCCTGTAATAAATTTAGTGAAATCAATTATCCCCATTTGTTGACTTTCTTTTTAAATAATAGGTACATATCTATAAATGCAATGCCCTCCAGTATTTTAAGTTCTTTATTTTGTCTTGACTGACCTTAATTTCGAAAACAAAAGCTCTTACTAATTTCCATGAACTAACATTTGTAAAATTAATCGGACACCGAACGACATTCATAAAGCTGTTAAAATTAAGAACATTTATTCTGAAGATGAGGCTCATTATATACGTACTGTTTACTTGACTATAGAGTCCATTGACTCGCATTATTGTAGAAATTGCCTTAATGCACTAGATTAATTCTCACTAGGCTCGTGCGTGTCCATCGCCATACGATTGCATATTTATATACGTACATGGCAATTATCATATGCATATTTACTTGCATCGCGCTGTAGGTGCAATCGACGACTGCAGGGCATTCGAGGGCAGCGCTGATAATCCAGCGGACGGTTAAAAATAGTCCAACAATGGGACAGAATGCAATCAGTGGAATGCCCCGCCCTTCCTATCGGTGGACCACTTCAATTTGTCGAGGAGCCGTTGCCGTAGGTTCGCCCGCTGTGCGACTTCCTCGAATGTTTCGGCCTGAAGAAGTCCTTAAAGGTGAGTGCAGGTTGGTGGAGTGGCTTCTCCGAGTTGCTGGTGGAGTCCTGGCCATGTCCTTGCGAGGAGGAGAGTGCCGTGTGACCTCCATTCCCGCTGGTCGGGCAGACTGGCAGTCCATCGAGGTATTTCAGCTGCGGCAGCACCTGCAGGATATATTCGCGGGGTCCTTGGATCCCGAAAACTGTGCGGATGCCAGGATTACCCATGCAGGAGAGCTGCTCCAATGCAGGACAATGCCTCTCTATGCGATGAATCCAGTCTGTTATGTTAGTGATATTGCAGTTGTTGATCCTGCAAAGCAAAGGTATTATTACCTTAAAGTTCTTATAAAAGGGTTCTTAAAACTCACCACAAGATCCTTAAACTTGGCAAGTAAGGGAAAGTATTTATGTCCAGGTTAACATTACGATCCAGTATCAGGGTGTCCAGGTCCTCGAAAAACGAGAGAAACCTGAGATTTCGGAAATCATTGTGACTTAAATCGAAAAACTTGGTCTGTGATGCAAATTTGTCCGCCAGTCGCCTTGGAATGGACTTCAGGTTCTCGTAAGCCAGCGATATGCGACCGTTGTCCTCCAGAATGCTCTCCGTGAAGGACACATCCTCGCTGGGACAGCTGCTGGTGGAAATGTTGCCGCTGAAGGAGTACGGGTTCGGCGAGATCATCTTGCCCTCGCTGGGTCCGGTTAGGAAAACGTCGTTGTATTCGAAGTTCAAGCTCTCCAGCGACTGGATGTTCGCACAGTTCCTGAGCACCTCCGTCAGGCCGGGATTCGATGGACTAAATGTGGGATGAGGATATCTTATTTGATATAATTTTGGTTGCTGGTTTCCCTTTACCTGTCTTCGGAGTTGGAGCGTTCAGAGGTCGATGTTCCAGACATAACTGCGCGCAATCCTCATAACAAGTAAGTGATTCCTAGTATAAATTCCAATTGGGATTGGGAGGCCGTCAGATTGAGTTTATTTTGGTCCAACGTCAGTGACAGACTGAGGGAAAAATGACACTTGGTTCTCGCTCCGCGAAGATTATCTGAGTCTTCCGCTCCCAAGCAAATAAGACCGAATATGTGTGTATTGAAACAATTGTCATACACTGTGCAAATTTTTGTTTTTAATTTTGTAAATCTCTATGTTATTAAAAACATGTCCCTCTAAATAAAACATAATTTAAAACATGAAACAAATTTTATTTTAAGCTTGAAACTTAATAGTGATCTGTTTGATATCAAGAGAAAGTTTTTTTGTTATTTGATAATTATTATTTATTGGCATTTATTTGTTTGAATTCTGAAATGGTACATTTTAATTTATATATGAAATCAATAATACTATCTTACTTAATTTGTGATTTTTTTAAGTGTACAATTACTCACTTAGATTACAAAGTAGAAGTGCACATACAAGTAATTACAGATCGAGAACAACAAAACAAAGTGCGAGGAGTAAAACTCTATTGTTTTCTCTTTGTTGATGCTGATACTCTGCCCTGGAATTATCTATGAGGGCGGTATGTTAATTCTAGGGAATGTTTGGAGTTTTATTTGGTTTTCCACTCAACAGGCTTCTTTTAAAAATTTAAGTACCTTCTGAGAGAGGAATATACAATGTTGCTTCTTATCTCAGGCTCTTCTTCAACCTTTACCAAGAATTTTCAGTGGCTTTTATCAAAGTCAGGAAATCTCTTACTCTTTTTTTAATCTACGTGTTCTAAAATAATTGGTTTAGTATTTGCGATTAAAACGCGGTATTGTTGTTTTCATTTTCACTTTTGTTTACTTAATGGTGCATTTAATAATATAATATATCTCATATTATAAGGGGTAAAAAGCGTAATCACACGATGTTATTATTGTTTACTATTTGTAGTTGGTTTTTGTACTTTTGTTTATACTATATGTGCTAGAATCGTTGACCGATTGTCAAGTTGGTTCCAGGCGGAAACATAAAGAAAACGTGAAAATATGTTGATTGTGTGACATTAATCTAGCTTTACAGAACGGCACTCATTGCATTTATTTTTAGTTTGCTTACAGAAGATTGAGTCAATTTTTTGTTTATGATTACTACGGTAATTATATCTAAGATAGGATACTGTAATACTGTATTAAATCAAATTCAGTTTGATTCGATTAAAAATAACACCACATTTAAAATCATAATATTCGTGAAGAATATTTTCGGTTTTTGCATTCAAAATATATGCACCTTTACTGTTATACATCTTTAAATAAATTTGTAAATTTTTTTTATTTTGATTAAAAATAAAATTGCTTAAACGCATAGAATTTGGTATTTCATAATTGAGCTAAATTTAACATCTAAAATGCGTTAAATTGATATGTTGGCTTTAACTACTGAGGCTCCACTGTGGTTACACCTAAACAGAGATCGTAACTGCCCAAGTTGACGTCTTCTGGCTTTGCTGTAAGCTTTGAACTGTCGACACAGTCACTCATTCATTAAGTTAATTTACTCATAGCCACTCGTAGGCGACTCGAACAAGTGGCCAGAGCTGGGGAACTACTATATCATATGATGTAGTGGCACGACCGCCGAAATGCGGCGGAGCGGCGAGCCCCTTTCGCTCTCAGAGATTCCGTCGCCCCATCGCCGTCGGCGGCGTACCGCTCGCTGGCAGAGCTGCCTGGCGTAGCTGGCTAGTGCTGGTACCGCTGGGGCTGGAACGGAGCGTGGCGAGCACCGCTCGTCAGTCAGCTCCACGCTCTAGACCCCAATAGTTCGGCGCAAAAGCTCAGCAAGATCGATCGAATCGAACTGAATCGAATTGAATCGGCTTTTCGAGAGTGTTGTGCAAAGTGTGTTTTTGCGGCAGTGCACGGCTCTTGACTGTTGACTAATTTTCAATCGGCGCTTGGCCTCGAGTCGCAAATCGAGTCACTTCAAATCGCAGCGGTAATAATAACAAAAATACAAAAAAAAAAAACGACTAGGTTTCCATAAAAATGCAATTTAACATGCGAGCATAGCAAAAGGGAAAATTAAGTTTGTTATTGATTGCTCGGGTTGCCAGTGGCACCACCGCCCAAACAACCATAAAATCGATTCTAGCGCAAGGGAAAAACTCGAAAAAATTCGTCACCCATTCGTGATTATTCAAATTATCAAATGCAGTATAAATGTGACACAAAAATATTGATATTTCAACTTTTATTCCAAAATCAATTTGTCAATTTTAATAAGTGTTATTTGTTTAATACATTAAGATTGTCAATTGTATTGGTAAACTTAATTTAAATACCTGTTTGTAAATAATGTGTCACTTAAATTATACATTTTTTTTTGCAAAACTGGTCACCAATTCGTAATTGTTTCTTTTTTTAAATGTGTCATATTTCAATTTTGTTTATCTATTTGTATATGATAACTTTATAAAAATAAGGGAATATTTTATTTTATATTGCTTGTTTAATATTTAAACATAAAGACATTTATAGGTTTTTTTTGGGGATTTCCCAATATAATAGGAACTTGTTTTTTAGTAGCCTAATTTCTTTCCAATATTAGTTCGCTGAATGAAACATCTATTTGTTCCCTGTGTGGGAGCCCCCACATATTTATTGATTAACTGACAACATACGATGTACATCGGTACGCTCAAACAAACATACAAAAATACATATGTACATCAACCCACCGAAAGAGGTCTTTCGCTGTTATCGCAGGCGCGTGTTTACCTCCAGTGAAGTCAAATGCCGATTTGTGTCGGATGGCGATTCGCACTTGTGGAAACTACTTTACTATTTAGACGGCATTACTATAAAACAGTGGAGTGTGGCTTGCGCAACTGGTGCTTGTGGATTTGCATAACAAATGGCATTGGCCAAATCAGGTTTTGGCTCAAAAGAAGCTCAAATGCCAAGAGCGTTGAATGAAACTTAAATGATACTCTTTTAGTTTTATCACTGAGTAGTAGTCTTTAGCGGTGACCCACTGTGGTCGTACTCAAGTGGAAATGGGCATCTGCGAAACGAGTGAGTTCATTGATTAAAAGTGCTCAGCTGACGTTGCCGTTTCTTTGTGAATCTTATCAGAGCAGCAACAAAAATAGGAAAACCAATTAAAAAACACCAATACATCAGATCGCATGAGACTTTATGTCAGGCAAAAAAGAGAAAAATGATCAAACCCCAAGGCGTTCGTATGTAAGCGGTGTATTATTGCAGATACTTGCGTAGTAGTCACAAAGAATCGCATTTTATATGACCAAAGTCCATTAAAAGCCTTGTCTGACTCGCGAATCGCCATAGACCGCAATCACTTTTCGTGGCGATCGTGCGGAGAGTCGTCAAAGTTTATCGTTCGGTGGCGAAATGTGCTAAAATCATTCCGATCGGTGTAGGAACAAAACCAGTATAGTGCTTTCAAAGTGAGTCCGTAAATATTAGACACTTTCATAGAGAACGGAATATTAGACACTTTCAACGTAAGCAAATACTTCGATCGAGGTTTTTATTTTTACTGTCGCCATGTGCCATGCTGAATGGCAAAATTTTCACGCAAATGAAATAGATCGTCTGGAACTAAATGTTTTGAAAGCAGGAAAATCTGTTTTGTAAGCTGTCGTAATGCCGGAATTCAAGGGCGGACCACAATGCGTGAATGCTAATTTGGAGCTGCGACCTTTCTCGATGTCAGTTCGAAAAACGAGAGCCAAGTAGTAAAATATGCAAAAACCGCATTCATAAACGAAGGCAGCATTCAGATTCTTCTATATACCCCTTGACAACAGGGCGTATTGGTTTATTTATCTTCTTCTGTTAGTGCAATTAAATTCTGATACTTTTGTGTTTGCATTTATGATTTATTGTGCCCGTCCAACTGAATGAACAATCTAAAAATAATTGTTAAGTACCGGGTATCTGAAAAGCCAATACAAAATCTCAATTTGTTTGTTGCTTCTTTCAATCCGTTTATTATACCCTTGCAGAGCAAAGTGTATTATAATTTTGGCCAGAAGTTTGCAACGCAGTGAAGGAGACACCTCAGACCCCATAAAGTATATATATTCTTGATCAGCATCACGATCTGAGTCGAAATACGTCTGTACGTCTGTCCGTCTGTCCGTCTGTCTGTCTGTCCGTCTGTCCGTCTGTCCGTCTGTCCGTCTGTCCGTCTGTCCTCCTGTCCGTTTCTGCCTAAACTAGTCTCTCAGTTTTAAAGCTATATTGCTGAAACTTTCCCAAAAGATGTGTAGTTATTGCACGCAGTATATAAGTCGGAACGAGCCGGATCGGCCGACTATATCGGATAGCTCCCATACAAGAGGTCAAAAAAATAAAGGATAAAAAATTATTACGCCGTTGTTTTTGATCAGATCGACTTGAATTCTTCAAGATGGCGTTTTCTAACGGTTATTAAATTTCGGATTAAATTTTATCAAAATCGAATAACCCTATCATATAGCTGCCATAGGAAAGATCTAAAAATATATATAGAAATAATGGCAAAATAATCATAACGTTGTTGTTTTTTATTCCACGAGCATGATTTTTACAACATCGACTTTATGAACTACCCTTGAACCGAGAAAAAAATTTCATCAAAATCGGACGACTATATCATATAGCTGCCATATGAACAATAGTCGAAAATATGGAAAATTAATAGAAAAGTCGTCATAGCTTCGATGTTGTTAGCCTTTATGTATTTTGTTCGATATGTTTAATGACTGCAAGGGTATATAAGCTTCGGCTTGCCGAAGCTAGCTTCCTTTCTTGTTTTTGTTTTATTTCTGTTCTCGTTTTGCGTCATGCACAATGAGGGAGTTCTTTCTTCGCGATCGCATCTGTTTTTGTCCCAAAAAGACTTTCTACGATTTAGCTATTTAGCCAAGTAACTAGAGCCTAAAGATAAGGATGGTGGTAAATTTAATTAAAATCCAGAAATTATCGTCTTGTTTTTTGACATTGGAGGCTATCGCTTGGATAAAATTATGGGCAAGGTTATTGACGCATTTACGTAATTGTAAATTACAAATATACGGAAATGAATCATATGTCATATTGAATAATTAAAAATAAAATATAGCTTTTAATCATGGTGGTAAAAGTCTCAAATAACAGTTATTATATTTGTTGTCAAGTTAAGTTTCTTAGGAAAATTCAGTACAGGTTTTAAATAGAAAGCAATAAATTACTCCACACCTTTGTTGCTGTTTTCCAAATAGCCACCGATCCCATAAACCTAAAAATTAGATAAGCGATTCTTTGGTAATTTCCTGGTCACTCGCTCGTTTAGTGCTTATCAAAATTGCAATATTTACAATATTGATTACTTAAATACACCATGTGATAAACTTTTTGTGACCAGTACAAAGTGCCGAGCGTGATTGATTTTCGCATTCTGCCCTCGTGTGTGGCACCACTTATTCCCATGACAAAAAAGCGAAGAAAATAAAAACAAATAAAATCAATGCCAGCAACGTGCTAACAAGGGAAAAGTGTAAAGTCAGGTGGCGTCTTCCCCAGCGGAGACTTTTAGCCAACTGGAATTTCAGCCGACTAAAGTCTATGCCAACTCAACTCGGCGGGTTAATGGAATATCATAGACAAAGTACGAGTATTCATATGGGAAAATATATATGTAGCTTCGCTCCGGGTGGCGTCCAATTAAAGCCGAGCGATGGAAGGACAGGGTCAGACACTTAGCCGCCGTGTTCCATTTTAATTTCGCGATTGCCGGGAAGTGTGAGCACTAATTGATCGTGTGCCCGGAATGCTAATTAGATGGTCGTACTTCACCTAGAACGTGCTATTGATTACTCATGGGTGTCAGTGCAATTCCCGCGATCAAATAACAAACACTTCGTTTAATCGCTGTCTACGTACGCAATGCTTTTCATCTAATTTATTCAATGACACTTTTTCTGCCATTTCAGGTTTTTTGCGTTAAACTTACTCCCAAAAAGGCGCAATGACTGGATCAGGTAAATATTCAAATTCAAGCAATTAACTGGGCATCACATAGGATTATATACTTTGTCAGCCAGATCGCTCGCATGTGGAAACCATAATTTTTAAAATAGCTGCTTAACAGCTTTCGTTGCAAATGTCGCGATTACTTTGACTTTATGTTATTATTAACATTTTAAAGCATACTTATAGGAAAGCATTTATTTATGTATAATGTAGACACAATGTGTATAAACTGTGTCAAACTTTTTTGTACTCGATCTTAACATTAACGATTATTTATAAAAATATTAATTTTTTTAAAAGTATATAACATCTTTATGTATCATTTTAATGAGAGCATGAGGTTAAACCTCTGATCCGAAATGATTAAAAGAAATTAAGAACAATACAAGATATTTAACAACACTTTTCTCGATCTAAATGTGTTGAAAATGTATAAAAGTAAGATCAAGCGCTATATTCATTCACTAGCCTTCTTCATATACCAAGTTTAAAAATGTTTAATATTTCTATTAACTTTTTTTATACAAATCTTTTAGTCCACGATCCGAAGTGGTGTTTGGAACGCCGTGAGTCCTCAGGCCATTTGGTGTGGCGCAAGGACTCTCCGGAATCGAAGGTCCGATTCCGCTTCGACGTGGAGGTCCTGGAGTTCGAGAAGCATCCGCACGAGGAGCTGGAGGACAAGGAGGACCACTTCTCGATCACAAATCTCTCGGCAACGGTGGCCATGTGTGCCACCTGCATTGCCGTGGTGGCCGCCTCAGTTTTCCTGCCCTGGTATTTAATGGAAAAAGCGGGATCCCTCTGAGATTATCCTGGCTCAATGGCAAAGAAACAGGCTCCTTGTATATAAATACAGCCTTCATGGTATTAAGTAGACTCCTGTACATAATCAAGCGTAGATTTAACTATTTGTAAATAGTACGTAAATTGTAAGTAGACTCTAAACGCAAACTATTCGGTTTTTATAAAGAAAGAGTTTGAAAAACTCACGGTGCAATAAGGATGCGGTGTGACTGCTTATGCCAAAATATGGAATGAGGATTATATTGTAGGACGTGTAAATTCTCATAAGTTTAGTCCAACGAAAGATCACAACGATAGTTAATGGAATAAACGAAATACTTGCCCTTTAAAGTGTTCTCTTTTGTTAATGGAAATCATATGCAATAAATTATGCAATAAATTTGGAATACAAGATCTCCAGAATTCTGAACAGAAGTCGGGATAATAAATGTTTATCACGCACAATGCTGTGGCTACTTCTTTTGGAGATCCTGCTCGGAATTGAAAGCGACCAATTAGACCTTCGGATGAACACAATGAATTTCGCAACCCTTAAGTCTGCACCAATTTAAGGTAACAATCATCCCCCGCAGATGCTTCATCCCTTACTCAGCATCCTTTTTGCAGGACTCCCAGTGAGGGATGATGGCGCAATTCCCATTTCGGTGCCTTGATTAAAATTCTTCCCTCTTTATGGCCATGCTAAAAGCGCACGGAAATCCAATAAAATGAAATGCAATCAAATCATTGGGTAACGTTCGCGAAAAATGGCCGAATGACACGTTAGAAAGTAAAGTTAACGACCCTCCCTTTTGTTCCAATGGGTAAACACACCAACTATATTGAAAAACTAATTGGAATCTGCTAAAGGTCAATGAGATACCTTTAAGAACTTTAATGTAGGTGCTCGCTCACATTATTAAAAATAAATTACACTTTTTTTTTAAATTTTAACAATCTTCACATAGTTTAATAGTCAAAGATTACATAGTCTTACATTTTGATTATTATTATTTATTATGATTTTTTTCACTTAAATAAAATAAATCAATTAATCTTGAATTTTTCAATAGTTTTCTAATTTGTTTACTTTAAAGTCGAACTGCAATACAGTAAATTATTCTTGAGTATTACTCACAGGCTGATAAGTCCCCACTTAATGTAAAATGATTACATTTTAAAGACGTTTTAAGCATTATGTCACTTAAGTGTTCTCATTAAAAAAAAACAGAAATACTTATCTTCAAAAAAGATAAGGCCGAAGCTTACTGATAACGAAACGTGAGTCTGAATAATTTCCGATTTAATTTCCGTTAAGTTTTTCACAGCGTCAGTTCTGGAGTTTCCACTCCAATTACAAAGTGTCCAGCTATTAATGAAATCCACTCATGCGAGTGGACACTTTGCCTACGTCAGAGTCAAAATTGATTTCCGTAATCGCGGGAATACTTCATGGGGTGAAGTTGGATCGTGATAGGTACTTGGGGATTCGGATGAGAGTGGGGAGCTCAACGGGGGCCCCAGCGATAAGAGCTCACTTTCTGATAAGATTCCCATAAATGTGGCGATCTTTTATTTGAACCTTTGCTGATACTCGCTCCGTGGACTTGTGTTGTGTTTATTTCGGTTTGTTGATTTCGCTGTTTAGTCGGCGTATTTCTTTATTCCTAAGCGATTCGCTCGGCTCCCTATAAACCGGGGACAGTGAGTCAGTTTGTTGTTGGCCCCAGTCGCGAGCGGACGTCTGAGGCCGGAGATCGCCCCAGATACACCAGATACACCCGAGATATATAAGACGAGCGAAAGAAAAACGAGAGCAGGAGATCTGAACAAGTGAAGTGAACTGAATCGGAATCGATCGATTGGCCATCTCGCTTGAATTCGAAACGCCAGACGATCTAGTCTGATCGCAGATCTCCAGCAGAACAGACGTTGTGTCTCTCACAAATATATTTTATAAAACATATATTAGATAGCAAAGTAATATCCGCACTTGCACTGGATGATTAGAGCTGGTCTCTGAGGTGCATAGAACGTAAGAAGTCGGAGCATATATAACCAGTTTCAGATCAAAATAAATGTAAGTCCCCGAAGGTTGTTCGCTCGTTCAAATAACTTCTGGTTGTGTTTGTTTTCATTCGATTTTTCGGTTTACTTTTTGTTTTCGGTTTGTTTTTTATCTCTTCTCAGCGCCTTCAAAATGTCTAAAATGCCAGAGACAACGTTTGCCGACCTGAGTCTGGCTGATAAGGTAAATATAACAATGGGAATATCATATTGTGAATATTTATGGGCCACTTCAAGTTGGTAGGCGTGTGTGTTGGCCAGATTCACACATCAACTCGTTTCAATCGCTGAACTTGGCGATTAATATACAAAACAGCACGTGACACCTCGACAAAACAAAAACAAAGCCCCAAAGACGCTCTCCGAACAATAAATTAATTCGAGGCATTCACCTCGAAGCTTTTCATACCCTTCGTGAAAGTGATCGTGTGACAAATCCAGTAGAACAGCTTTAATCGAACCTGAAACACTGTAATGGGGGTCAAGCGAATTAAGAACGAGCTCTAGTAAATTTTGAAATGACTAATTGGATAAACAAAGCAGCTGATTAAAACCAAAGGAGCACCATATGGCCTAAACGTATTGTTCCAATAAATCTTAAATTTATTGGGTTAGCAGACCTTAAACTTCAAATCAACGGATTGATCCGCTGGCAGTGAATATCGACTTGTTAGGATCGTAAATGAATTATAATGTTGTAGAGAGAAGTGCATGTTTATTCCATATGGCCGGTGGAACGTAAACAACAATAGACACAATGGGCAAGGAAAAAAACAATCGTAGATTTCAATAATTCGACTGTTTACATACACTCTGGGAAGCAACCGACCGAGGTCCGGATTCTGGATCTATATTCGCGATCTCATATAGTACCTCCCGAATCAATTGGCGCGACGAATTATCGCCGATATGCTAAACGAAGCCAATTAGCGAACAGCTTCGATCAAATTCCTTTTGGTTTTTGCTCTGCACTTAAATCTGGATTTCACTGGAAATGGCGCAGCGTTCGCAAATAAGTTTCTCATCAAAAATTGATTAATCTCCAACTAATACCCATGTGTGATTTTGGAAGCCTTTTACACGATGGCGATTTGTTAATTGGAAAGTGCAATAAATTCATGGACTTGTGAATCGGTGCCATTACCTTTGATTATACGGTGAATTATACAAAGCCAGTTATTCAAAGGAGTGTAATCAAATCGATTAGATACCGGCAAGTGTATTTTGAATTTATTAACACTTCAAGATGATGCTAAAATATGAACAAACACACCTGAGAATAAACAAACATTTTACATAATGCCTTCAGGTTTTTCTCCTTTTTAAATAGGTTTATTAATAGAATGTATTTTTTACTACTATTGTCACATGGGTTTTAAGATAAACCGAATGCGCTGGTTATCTAATTAGGTTTGTTAAGTAGTTGTTATCGTTGGCGCCATAAACAATATGATTTATGTGCCAACACATGCAAATGTTAACAGGGGTTGATTAGCATAATTAAACTGCTTTTAGTTTAATATAATACTAACAATATCATAAATGTTTGCTTTTTATCAATAGAATGCTGTGAAGAAATCCAGTATAGAAAGTGCCCGGCGATTTTCGGATGTCTCAACCTGCTCGTTCAGCTCTAGTAAGTAAACTTAAATATAATATGTAAAGCTGTATTTAACAAATGTTTATTTCCTAAAAAATTAAGAATTAAATATATATATTGAAATTATTGAAATTTACTTTTCCATTCAAACACAAATGTAATTCTAGAATTTTATCAAGTTCATTGATACAAGAAAATTCAAACCTTTTTTTAAAACTTTATACATATTAGTAATATTTGGTTCTTTTTAATCTATTTAGTTTAAATTTGTTAAACCAATTTAAAGTTTTGAGCTCTATGTATAACTAAATCTAGTATAATTGTGTGTTTTAAATGTATCTTATCCTTATCTTATCTTCCCAATAGCCTGTTTCACCGGAAGTTCCGACGAGGATGACGTTTCGCCGAAGGACAATCACCAGCGAAACTCTTCTGGAGGAACTGACTTCTGTGTGAAGAGCATTTCGAGGAGTGCCTTCGGAAGGCGGGAGATCGAAATTGCGGAGTCGGAGATGCCGGGCATCATGACACTGCGGAAAAGGGCCAAGGATGAGAAGCCTTTAAAGGGAGCTCACATAGTGGGTTGCACCCACGTGAATGCCCAGTCAGCTGTGCTGATTGAGACCCTCGTCCAACTGGGAGCCTCCGTGCGCTGGGCAGCCTGCAACATCTACTCCACCCAAAATGCGGTGGCAGCTGCTCTGGCGGAGGCGGGGATCCCGATCTTCGCGTGGCGCGGCGAAACGGAGGAGGAGTTCTGGTGGTGCCTGGACAGGGCCATCCAAGCGGAGGGCTGGCAACCCAACTTAATCCTGGATGATGGTGGGGATGCCACACATCTGATGCTTAAGAAGTATCCGGATTACTTCAAAGCCATTCGTGGTATTGTGGAGGAGAGTGTCACTGGGGTTCACCGGTTGTACATGCTCTCCAAGGGAGGAAAACTCACTGTTCCGGCCATCAATGTCAACGATTCGGTCACCAAGAACAAGTTCGATACCTTCTACTCGTGTCGGGATTCCATTCTGGACAGGTGAGCTTAACTATTAATTACCGATACGGGGAAGAAATAATTTATAAGTCTGTAAACAATATTTTAGTACAACTACTAGACTATTAGTCTTATATTTTTTTCGTTTTCTTATTTCTAAACTTAAACACGTCAAATTGTCATAAAATAATAGGATGACTTACCATACTTTGCTTCAAGTTTTAAAGTGTTTTCACCAATTCCCTATTTTTTTTTTATAGAATTTGTACTTAAACTCAGATTAGATATCTGCAAAAAATTTAGCTCTTAAACTATAAAAAATGCAATTAGATTTTATTTTTCTTATTCCTGACAGTCTGAAACGCACCACGGACATAATGTTTGGTGGCAAACAAGTTGTAATTTGTGGCTATGGAGATGTGGGAAAGGGCTGTGCCCAATCACTTAAAGGTCAAGGATGCATCGTTTACATCACGGAGGTGGATCCCATTTGTGCCCTTCAAGCTGCCATGGATGGATTCCGAGTGGTGAGGCTCAACGAAGTCATCCGGAATGTGGATGTGGTGGTCACGGCAACGGGAAACAAGAATGTCATCACTAGAGATCACATGAATCGTATGAAGAACGGATGTATCCTATGTAATATGGGTCATTCCTGCTCCGAAATTGATGTGGTGAGTAGTTGGGGAAAAAAAATAATCATAAAATAGGAAGTACCACATGATATGGTATTAATTATAATTTTTAAAATATTTTTTAGAATGGTTTGCATACCCCGGAACTCACGTGGGAGCGAGTCCGCTCCCAGGTGGACCACATCAGGTGGCCAGATGGCAGGATGATAATTCTGCTGGCTGAAGGAAGACTGGTGAATCTCTCCTGCTCCACAATTTCATCTTTCGTTGTATCCGTGGCCTCTTCTACCCAGGCATTAGCTTTAATTGAGCTCTTCTCGGCGCCAGGAAGATACAAGTCGGATGTATATCTACTGCCTAAGAAAATGGGTAAGATTGGGTGTCTTTGTGTAAAAATGTATTGTAATTTTATTACAAATTTCAGATGAGTACGTGGCCAGCTTGCATCTGGGTACCTTTGATGCCCATCTTACGGAGCTAACGGACGAGCAGTCCAAGTTCATGGGCTTGAACAAGGCAGGGCCTTTCAAAGCCAATTACTACAGGTCGGTTTTTTCATTTTCCTTCGAAAATGTTTCTTTCATACATCATTTTTAATTTTTTTGCAGATATTAATCAGTATTTAATGTTTTATTCTGTTATTCTCGTTCTGTAATTTTGATATTATTTAGAAAAAATGCAATTATGAATATAAACAAGTTTTAAAAGTAAAAAAATTGTGTAACTATTTTGGGGCGTATGATAAACTTTAACAATCTACAAGATTCTGCTGTTTGAAAAAACCGGTCGAAAATGCTTGTGAGCACAAGCTGCCTGCTATGAATATAGGTGGCGCTTTATTTTCAGTAGTTACATGTAGTTCCAAAAACGGCCGCTGATTATTTTTAATTTGCTAGCAGATTTTATCATTTTAATTATTATTTTAATTTAACATTGGCAGTTATTATTTTTTATACGAAGTTGTAATTTTCCCACAATAACAAATAGTTCAGCAATATATTATAATTTTGATCTTTCCTTTGTTAAAATATTTCTTTGAGTCTTGCCACTAGTTACAATTTTATCCATAATGTGTATATTATATTACAATATTTTTTGGCAGGAATATTTTTATACATATTTTGTATTAATGTTTATACAAATTTTTGAGTTATTTTTTTGTCTACAATATCACAAATACTTTGATTTTGTTATCAGTGGCTATGGGTTCCACAATAAAGGAACGGATAAGCCATATAAGAGCTATACTTTCCGATTTGAAGAATGGCATGCAATCGAGGGAACAATCCGGAGATTGGAGCAGCAATGAGGTTCTCAAGATGAGGACCTGCCTGGGGAAAATAATACTCCTGACCAGGGAAATGAAAGCCAAGTTTGTGGACAGTGAAAAGTTCAGCGAACAAGACAGAGAAGCAAACGCGGATATATTGCTGAAATGTAAGTTCTTTTGAGGTAAAAAAATTATATGTTTTAAATTTATACCCAGGTAACCGGCAATTAAAGCGTTTGCGATACAGTTTGGCGAACTCGGATGAACTTGGAGGGGGAATTAGAGCAATGGATGTACTCCTCTTTCTGCTGAAAGTTGATACCGTCATGTTTGAACTGGAAACTTTTATTCGGGATGCTACAAAGAAGCAACTCAGTTCCAGCCAAATGAATACTAGTACCCCCGTTAATCTTAATCCCCTGGATGAATTAAAGGATTTACGGCAAACGTTGAGGGATGCGGAAGTAAGACGGGAATTGGAACTTATAACTCACAAGCTAATGATATCGAAGGAGCAGTGTTTCGTTCGCCATGCACATAAAAAACAGAAGGCAGCGGAACTGAAACTTTTCGAAGACCGAAATCGTTTAAGGGAACTTGAGGAGAGTTTATCAGAATCTCAGTTAACGATAATTGCCATTACCGGTCAGAATGAAGAACTGAATGAATCCATTAAACAACTCCGTAAAGAGAAAGATCTACATGAGATTGAAAGGCTCAGTTTTCAAGCTAAGCAGAGAAAATGTGAAATTTCCCACCAAGGGAAAGGTGACGTTAAGAGATTCCTGCGTTTAAATCAGCTTGAGAAGGAAACTCTTAGAGATCTAAAGGAATGTCTTAATCACAAAAAGGAATCTTTAAAGGAAAACAAATCAGCAATATCCCAGATCAAAAAGGAAATAGACTTGCTTTGTTTCAAGAGAAATAAACTGCGACTTGGAGTAAATAGAATTAGCAAGACTTCTTTAAAGACAAGAGCAAGCCCTTTGATAAAGTTTAGAGAGAACAGGAAGGATACCATACATGTCATAAACAAAGTCCTGCGATCTTTTAACCACTACGATCAACTTAAATTTTCAGATTCCAACTTCAAGTGGAACGTTACCATGAAATCCTTAAAAAGTAACCTTATTATGGTGCGAAAAAGTTTGAATAATGCCTGTATAAAGGACCTGCCAAAACCAAAAAAGAAAAGGTTGAGTAATAGTACAGAAAGTGGTTTAAAAAAAGGAGAAAGCCGCAGTTTCTTAAAGCAGCCGGTGATTTACCCGAGTTTATCTGATAATTTGTGGGAAAAGATATACAAGCCGCTCTGTCAGTCGCCAATTTCCGCATCCGAATCGTGTTTGCCTGATATTTCGTCCATTGATCTGAGCAAATATGCGTCTTCCATACCAAGAACGTCTATCCTTTTCAAACCCACTCCTGTATCGAAGTTCTTTGGGAAGACCTATGGCGATCGGAGAGTTAGTCTGCTCCGTTGGTGCAAAGCGAAAGTAAAACCCTACGGCCTTCCAATGTATGAATTTAGTTATTCGTGGACCAGCGGTCGAGCTCTATGTGCCATTATCCATTCCTATCGCCCCGATTTGATCGACAAGAGCTACATTTTCAATAAGAAGCCCTTGGAGACTTTGACTTATGGAGTGACTGCTGCCAAATCCCTGGGAGTTACCTGTTCCGTGGACTTTGTGGCCGAGTGCCAGCAAAGGCATCCGAACTTCGTGAACGTCCTCAAGTTCATGATTGACCTTCAAGACTGCCTGCAAGCATCGGAATAACTCAATAGTTGCTGCTCTTTTCTAGATTTGTTAAATGTGTATTTTTATAAAAATATATTTTTCTGTAAGAATGGTATAGTCTTGAACACCAAATTTTATGTTAAAAAATCACATTCGTTTTTTTATTCCAAATTGATTCTTATAAAGTCTGACTGTTTTCCCAATTTAGGGGTTTTGTATTTTTTGTTGAGGAAGAATCGGTATTTGACCAAAGAGGTTTACTAGCTTGAATAAACAGGAAGTATATTGTTCAAAGCCAAAGATTTATATAAGTTTTTTTTACATACATTTTAAAAAGACCAATTTAGTCGGCTTGAGTTAACTATTTATACTACTTATTACATTATTGTGAAAGACAAGATAAAACTTGAACGACTTAAATTAGTTTGTGCCGCGCTTAAATTTATTAAAATCATTAAAAGCCATAAACTAAATTTTTCTGCAAAAACCAACATTTTGTTTCCTTTGGTAGCCCTAAAAAATATATAGCCTCCGGTGGGGAATCACGGGTCCTTCTTGTTGTGGATGAGCGAGTTGTCCCAGTAGGTTATCATGCCGAAGATGACCTTCTGGTTGGCCCTCGGTCCGATCAGGGGATTCAGCTGCACCAAAAAGGTGACCAGCCAGGCGAGGTAGCAGCAAACCGCGGTGAGGATCACGCAGCAGCGGATGATCCCTCGCTCCTCGTAGCGGTACGAGATCGCGAATCCGATGATGGCGAATAGAAGCCAGAACACGGTTACGGCCGAAATCGAAACATGCTTGTCCATTTCCGGAGTGTTTTTGCCAGCTGGCCGAATGCCAAGTTGTGACAAGTTTCCACCCCGTGTCCTCGATTCCCTCGGAGCTTGGGTGAAAAAACCCAATTTGGGTGCCTGCAGCCATAAACTTTTATGGCTGCCAGAGCATTTCGATATTTTATGGCCGCCATCGGAGGCTGCAGGCGCAGTGGAGCGCGAAGGTTGTAAATGGATGGAAAACTGTATACGTTTTCCGAGTGCCAAAGTGCCGGAGTGCCAGAGTGCCGGAGTGCTGAAGCGGACCATAAAACTGCTGCACGCATCCTGACTAAGCGCAAAATCCGTTTTACGAGGACTGCCAGCTATCCAGCTCTCAAGTTGTCCTCCATCTCCAACCTCCTCCCTCCTCCTCCCTCCTCCTTTCTCCTCCTGCCTCTTCATCCCCCTCCTTGGTGGATCATCCCCTCTTTTGGAATCCTGATGATGCCATAAGTGCCCAGGCGCGACTCATAAAATGGCGGCTGTGTGCAATGGCAATGTGCAATGTGCGCGGCACGGCGTTGGTGTAATCGACAATGAGTTTTTTTTTGTTCCCTAAAGTAGCAATAAATGTTAATGGCGACATCGAATTTTCCATTTTCTCGACATAAGTACCAAGACGTCCGGTGCCGCGAAGCAGCGGTTATTTCGCAGGAATGGCCATCTTTAATTCCCTTTTGATACCTTCTATATAGAGAGTGCCAAACAGTAGCTGTCTTCGCACCTCAAACTCTGATGCAAACTGAAAACTGTCAAGATGTTTTTTATACAGAATATAAGCATGTTTTCGGTGCCAGATCGATTCGGGGATCGTAAATCACCGGTCAGTGGTATCTTCCCTCTTGAGTCGCAAGCAAATGCAAATCGGTCTGAATGTGTGATTTCCCCTTTAACACGGTCGGCACTTAAGAAGAAACCGAGTTGAGGTGAAACCAAACCGAACCCGAAGCCAAATCCCAAGCAGCCACATTCTGGGGCACCGCGTTATCGGTTCCGGTGCGAGTTTGCTCCGTTTGTCTTGTCTTTTCTTGGATTGTCACTTCTTTGACAACCCGTCAAAATATTTGGCTCGAATTCGTCTAGCAAGGAGTGTGGGTGCAGAAGAGGTGCATGACTGATTTGTCCAAGTTGGCATTTAGGCAGCATCTCTTGTAGTTCTGAAAACTTTACAATAAGGCAACCGTTCATTTATCTCAACATTTTAATTTAATTTTATTTAAGCAATTCTTATTTGTCTTATTTGTGGCCAACAAAAATCTTATAACTGTCTTATTGATCTTTTAAACGCGCAGCTCAGTTTGAGAGGTAAAACAAATCAATCTCATTCCGATTTACATATGACCCAATATTGCATTTAACCAATTTTCAACAGAAAGTTAGTTCTCGGTGGCACATAAATAAATAAACTGTGACTCTGTGACACCGACGGGTATTTCGTTTGGAACTTTTTCAAAGTAAAAGCAAGAAGTTATTGATTCTTAATGCAAGGCAAGAATTAAAGAATTTATTTTGGCCCTATTTAGGTTGACAATTCTTCTTCCTTCAGCTTCTGACAACACCAAAAATTTCAGCATCAATAAAAAAAACAAACGGCAAAAAAAGTATTTAAAAGTGAAATGTTAATTAAAATCAATAAATGTTAATTTAATGTTAATATTATGTAAATTTAATATAATGTAAGTGTAATGTTAACTTAATGTTAATAACATTAATATGGCCACGTCATCGAAAATGATAATTAAAATTTTTTATCGTTTTCTTGCACCTATAATTCCCAAATGGTTCTGGCTGATTCCTAGTGGGATACCCCTTGACTTTGGCCAAATTCTCAGTTCTCCGGGATGACCGGCAGTTTCTCCGAGAAACTCTTTCCGGTCTCTGGAAGTGTGTGTGTGTGCGTGTGTGTTGGTGATGTGCTTCCAGAGTGGGAGAGCGGGCATCCGGCCGACTCCTCCAACTGGTGTCCACTCCCGGATGCAGTGCATCATGGCCTGGCTTGGCATGGGCTTTAGGATTCCGGATGCGCCTTCCTGCTGGGTGTGGATCAGGATGCAGTGCATCATCACTTGACTTGGCATGGAGTTGTGGTTATCCCCCTGCTCGGAGTGGAGGATGCACTGCATCATGACCCGACTTGGCATGGATTTGGAGGTGCCCGATACCTTAATGCATGGAGTGGACTCCAGGATGAAGTGCATCCAAGCCTGAAGAGGTAAGAAGCTATTTTTTTTATTATGTGATGACGTGGCTTTTGTAAATGTAATTCAATTTTTTAATTAAATATTTATTTTATTTTATTTCAGGTTTTTGGTTTTGTACTTGGCTGGTTGCAGAAAACAATTGGTGACACCATCTAACTTTTAACTTGGAGTTGGACTTTAGGATGCAGTGCCCCAAGGTTATTACGCAGTGAGTACATCCATTAGACAATAAATAATTAAGTTATTTATTTTAAGAATTCAGAAATATTTTAACAATGAAGTTAAGAGGAACAGATAAAGATCTAATAGTATTAAAGAACAAGAAAGAAATTTAACAAGTGAATTTGATCAATTATTGAACTTGAAGAACATGAAAATCAAACACAATTAATAATTAAAAACAAGTAAGGACATATAATATTAATATATATAGTAAGGATAGTTGTAAGAATGCGGCGACCGGAGATATATAGTATACTGATACCACCAAAATGGACTGGACAACAGGATGCGGGATCAAATATGAATGGCGTGAACTTCTATTGAAATCCACTCCAGGATGCAGTACATCAACTCTTTGGGGTATGTATTTCTAAAAATTATTAACTTGTATAAAATAATTAAACTAATATTTTTAAATCCTTCTTTTCATTACAGATGATGCCTAAACCTTCCTATTTGGAGTGAACTTCAAGATGCAGTGAATCAAAATCCCGAAGAGGTAAATACCTTTTTTACTAACAAATTAATATTAACTATTACTATTAGTAACAAATTACTTATTTCATTTTTTTGTTTTTTATTTAATTTCAGGGTAAAGTGTAAAGTGTAAATGTTGCGGATAAAGAGGTTGCAGTGGTTATCTAACTTCAAGAAGACGAAAGATTGCAGTGCACCAAGGTTATTTCGCAGTGAGTACATGAATTAGACAGTAAATAATTTAGTTATTTATTTTAAGATGAAAAATAGGACTTAGCGTAGGTAAGCTTATTTAAAAAAGAAGTCAAGAGCAACAGTTAAAGATCTGCTGTATTGTATTAGTATATACATATATATCATATAGTAAGAATAGTTACAAGATTGCTCGTCAGATAAAAAACAACGACGTTATCATTTTTTATATTAATCAATTATTTATATACATATATATATTCTGATCTTTCCTATGGCAGCTATATGATTCCTGCAAGGGTATAAAAAATGATTATGATAGTGGAACAAATGAAAACCTTACGCAACGTTTTTAGGTAAACTGAGAAATATTGCTTAGATTACAAGATTTTAGCGCACCTGTGCTCTTCCTTCGTTCTTTTCGAACCTCGCACGAAAGTGTTGAGGGAGGAACCCAAACAATTTGGACTAGTCGCACGACTCGAGCACGCGTTGTTTGTCCACTCACTTAGCGGTTTGTCTTAGCCCGGTTAAGGAAGTGTCCGCAGTCAGCGAAACACAGAGCTTGCAACACATTTCGCAGGTAAACACGTGGAAAGGCGTCGCGTCGGCTCTTTGGACCGTGTCGATGGCGCTGTGTCCGGTACCCCCATCCCTCCCCTTTTCCCCTCTCCCTATATAGCCTATCCCCTCTCCCCCAAATCCCCATCACCTGAAGAACGGTTGAAAAAAGGGCCTGCTTTCTGTTCGGAACACTAACTGCGAGAGTTATAGTAACTCGCCTTTGTTGACTTTCCTATTAGCATCATGTTCAGTTAGGTTCTCAATAAGGTTACACAATCCTGACATTTAGAGGACAGAAGAAGGATTTTATTACGGAACTTACTTTCCATTTCAGTTTATAAACATTTCCTGATTCACTTGAATGTTTTAAAATTCTTAATATCCATGCAGGAAATATTAAAGTTGGTCAAAGGGTTCAAAAGCAGATTAAAATGTACCCCAAGCAATCCGAAAGAGGTATTTCTGTTAGAATGTTCTTATACCATTTATTTTATTTAGTGCTGGAGCTTTCTCTCCTAACTAAAGCGTTAGTTATGGAATTGACCACATACGTAATAAATCCAATCAAAAATTTTCGTTAAATAGAAAAATTAATACAACAATACTTAAAGTAAAGTTCTTAAAGCTTAGAATTCTTTTTAATAGGTTAAAAAATGTTCTGCCCCTCTGTAAATATTAAATAATACAATTTACTTTGGAAATGGTAACATTTCAAAAGGTTTCCTTATTATAAGCAGTGACTTTGGGTTGAGCAAACTTAAAGAGTTCTTAGTAATTATTCCATTGCAGATTAAGGACTTTCGGTTTCATTGAGGGTCAAACTTATTTCGGCAGGTCGTCCCTTTATCCGGGCAACATTTGCGAGTTAATGCTCCCTATATTGCGCCCCTAAGTGCTGGGAAAGTAAATAAGAGGCCACATGCCACATGAAACATGCCACATGCGGGGGCATCCACCCCGAAAAGTTTGCCACCATAAAACGGAGTCTGCGCACAATAAAATGCATCCGTCCGTCGATGGTGATTGATTTTCGACGCGGCACGGAGCGCTTGATTGCGTGTATCTGCGGCAAGTGACTGGTACTGTTACACTGCGCAGATACAGATACACCGATACAGATACTGATATAGAAACGGATACGGATAGGGATACTTGGGGCGGGGGCGTCAACGGTCGGTGGTTGATTCCTGTCGCCGGCGAATTTATGTATCTGGAACGGAAAGGAGCCGAGAACAACCCCAAACATATTGCAATACTATATGCCAAGACCCGAAATCGAAATCGAAGAATATCGAATGTTTTGTGGGGTGTGTGCGTGCGTTTTCCTTCGAGGGTGCGGGTGCGATTCGAAAGATATATGCCCCGTCATATATCTATATCTAGGCAGTTCCCCACGCCGCCTTATTTATTTGTTTATCTACTATTTATGATACCCGAGAGCCGAAGTCGAAGTCGAAGTTTTTCTTGGACCCCCGTAACGTGTTCGTCACGGTCGCCGTTGTGTGCCGATTTTCCTACAGACTATAACCAAAGCCAATACCAAAGCCATAGCTGTAGCCATAGCCTTATTGGCATCGCACTGGGTGACTCTTGGCGTCGGCGTCGTATATCTCAGGGTTTCAATGTGTGAGTGGGCCATGCGATTGCGATTCCTGGAAACTAACAGCGATTCACAGACAGCGGAGAACTCGCACACCATTCAGTTCACTCGATGACGCTCCGCACCTCGCATTGCTGCGATTCTCGACTCCAAAAAAAGAAAAAACAAAAAATACAAAAACCAAGAAAACAAAAACCATAAAGAAAAAACAACTGCCTCTAACACTTGGCCACCGCCGGCGTGCTTGTTTTCCGAAAGTGTTAAAACAATAAACCAACAACAATAACATCAGCGTTTACAACGGCATCGGGAACTATAACACTGTAATCGAAAGACTATTGGGCCACAAATAAAGATTTAATGTGCACTTTTCATAAACATTCCGCGCCGGCCCAATGACTGAGTGCTTTAAATTATAGCCATCATCAAATCGGAGACCGGTGGCAAACTGTATATCGCCATTATCTGTTATTGCACCTAATCGCCAATAAGAATTTATTAATCGCGCCTTCGAATTTCCATTGCATTCGGAGCCGACGGCAAGTGACTTTTCCGGAAGTTGTATTCAGTGAAGTTCAGAGGCGCTTTAATGATAATTTATTAAAGGTTATCTAAGTTTGTGGCGATCTTCGGTGAGTATAGTTTTTGTTTCTTGAATTTAGGGGATTTGGAAAAGTTATAACTAATTTCTTTCGTTTTAAGAAATAAGTCACATATATATTTTACCTTGAGCTTAAGACTTCATTCAATGTGACTTCTAAGGTGCAAAACAAATCGCAAATCGCAAATTAAAGATTATAATATTTAACTTTCAAAAGAAAGCATTAACATTAAGCCAAAAATAATAATCTTTTTCTAATTGTGTAAATAGTTATCAATTTTATGTTGATTCATTTTGACTTTAACAAATTTGTATATAAATAATAAAAGTGTGTTTAACTCTATAAAAACTATTTTGCACAATGCATTGCAATGGTTTGAATCAGTTATAATTATTGCGATAATGTCAATAAAAGTTTGAAAAAGTTTTAAAGACTTGTACTTTCACTTAATTGTTAAAAAAAGTAAAGATTTCAAAGATTTAAAAGACTTAAACAAAAATATTTTTATTACTGCACTTTATGTTTAAATTATTTTTGAATATGTTTTTTTTTTCTTAAAAAACAGAGTTAAATAAATAGTAAACAGTTATTTTTATACCCTTGCAGAGCAAAAGGGTATTATAATTTCAGTCAGAAGTTTGCAACGCAGTGAAGGAGACACCTCAGACCCCATAAAGTATATATATTCTTGATCAGCATCACGATCAGAATCCAAATCCGTCTGTACGTCTGTCCGTCTGTCCTCCTGTCGGTTTCTATGTAAACTAGTCTCTCAGTTTTAAAGCTATCTCGCTGAAACTTTCCCAAAAGTTGTGTAGTTGTTGCACGCAGTATATAGGTCGGAACGAGCCGGATCGGCCGACTATATCGGATAGCTCCCATACAAGAGAATGAAATAAAAAATTCTTACTCCGTTGTTTTTGATCAGAACGACTTGATTTCTTCCAGATGGCGTTTTCTAACTGCTATTGAATTTCGTATTAAATTTTATCAAAATCGGATAACTCTATCATATAGCTGCCATAGGAGAGATCAAAAAATATATATATAAATAATGGAAAAAAATTATAATGTCGTTGTTTTTAATGCCACGAGCATGATTTTTGGAACATCAAGTTTTTGAAATACTCTTAAATCGAGAAAAAAATTTCATAAAAATCGGAGTACTATATCATATAGCTGCCATAGGAAAGATTGAAAAATCTATATAGAAATAACGGAAATAAAATTATAACCTCGTTGTTTTTCATCAGACAATCATGGTTTTTGGAATATAGAGTTTTCTAATGAGTCTTGAGTTACAATTTAAATTTCATCAAAATCGGACGACTATATCATATAGCTGTCATATGAACAATTTGGAAAATTAATAGAAAAATTGTCATAGCTTCGATGCTGTTTAGCTTTTATGTATTTTGTTCGACATATTTAGTGACTGCAAGGGTATATAAGCTTCGGCTTGCCGAAGCTAGCTTCCTTTCTTGTTGTTCTTCTTTTAAAGTGGCATAGGTTTATGCAGTTCAAATGTTATGTCGTCAAAAAACTCACTTAATCTCTTTAATAAATTTGCAACATAGTTTCAATAAAAATATATAGTTATATCTAAGTTATAAGGATGTTAAAGTATTGTCATAATTAATGATGTTAAGAAGGGAACTAAAAAAAAAACGAATTTCATGATCTTCAATATGTTGAATGGCTTAAAAGATTTGTAGGTAGTTCTTTATGAAACTGTTTAAAAAATGAAATGTAAATAACATATCTTTTCCCAGAATTATAAAATAGTTTGTATGTATTTAATTAGCACTTTAAGGAAATGCAAAACGATGCTCTGCATGCATTCCCACGCATCTGAATCCAGTCAAGACGCCATAAAAAGACGACAATGTTATCATAGCCGTGCTTTATGTCCTTTTTAATTCTTTTCCACTATCTGAGAGTGCGTGATACTATTTGCAGTAATCCTTTGAGGGGGCAGAGAAGGGAAGTAACAGATTTCCGGTCGCCATTCTTCGTTTATGGCATCTGGGAAATTCCCACGACTCCCGTACAAATTCGCTCTACAAGATCACGTACGGCCATAAAAGCCCGCGCTGAAATAACGGGAAATGGAATGGCGGCACTTAAGAACCGCCGTCGCTTAATCCAATTCCGCGAAATGGAGCCACGCTCACCACCCTCGCTTTCCACTTTCCACCCCTCGGCGGTTTTCTTTATCTATCGTCAACCATTGCCATTCCGAGTCCACCACCTTATCTTCAAATGTTTTCGTTACTGTGTGCGTGCGTATCGCGTATCTGTGACTCTAATGGCCGCACACATTGTTGCAGCTCAAGCGGATACAGATACGTTTCTTAATTGCTGCGCAGTGACAGTGGGCGGGGCATATCGAGGAAGTAATGGCGTGCAGATAACGCAGGGTTGCCAGATCTGTGCTAATTTGAAGGGTTTGTGGGCAATATTTTGTTTTTATATGGGTAGTACATTTTCAGGAATCTTAGAGAAAAAAAATTATTTAAGTTCATATATAGTCAAAAACAAATATGTATTATAATTGTCAATGGATTTTTAAGTTAAATGCAGTAAGACAATTTTTTTAACAGTTTTAAAGAAAATCAAGTTCGTCGTTATACAGGACTTAATTTATAATCACAATCGTATAATACTGCAAACATTATTTTGAAACAGTTTTTATATATGTATATTTAACCATAAAATATTAAAAATTGTGTTACTTTTTCTTCTATTATTATTTCCATTTAATTGTTTTCCAGAAGATAAAGTTTAACCATCTTTGCAGCTATATTTTAATATATCCAGCTATATAATTTATTTTCAATTTCCAGAATGATTTTGTTTTTATAGTTTAACACTGTTTTAGGTCCTTTAAACCCAAATAATGGTTCTTGTATTATCTAAGGTGTTTTTGAAGTTCAATCTGTAAGGTGTTGTGATACACTAAAAGCTTTTAGTAAAGTCTCAATCCATATATTTAGGGCAGATAATGAGTTCACCTCATGTTGGACTTGGTCGGACGTTAAACAGACGACAGAAACGTCAGTATAACGCCATCTATTGAGGAGTGTGCGCAATATTTTTATAAGTCAGGTTACGCACTGAAAATATAAGAGCTGAGAAAACGGTTTGTATACTAAAAGGGGCGGAGCCTAAATCCATGATGGCCGCCAACGATTTGAAGCCATGCACATATACACACACACCACTTGAGCTACTGAATTTGGAGGTAACGTCTTTTTGGATTTGGCGTATAAATTTCCATACCCATGCTTTAGTCATTTTTTAGTCAACAGTTTTAATCCTATAAAGGATTAGCTTTCTACCAAGTAAAGTACAGTGCTTACTCGAAATCGTAACAAACAAATCACATAAAACTGGGTGCATAATGTATTTATTGGGTTTTTAACCCAATAAAGCTTGAACATTTATATTAAAAAACCAATCCTAATGTTTCTGCAGCTATTTCGTTCTTACTTTACAAGCCTTGTAAGCTATGAGAAAAGACGATTAAGCAACTTGATACTCCTCTAAATGTGTATATTTAAAAATACCCGTTCTTATTAAAAGGTTGTTACAGGAAGAATTGACATAAAAAATTCGACAAATGTATGTTTGTATCTCTTTCATATTTCAGGCTGAAAAAGATTTTGACAGGAACGAAGTTTTGTATATACAAAATTTATATTTAATACAATTCACAATTATCAGGTGCATGGACATGCAATAATTATGTCTGACCTATAGCACCATTTCAAAATGTAATTTTGGAAAAATACGCAGAATTGACCTTATGTTAACCTGAGCTTACCAAATAAAAAACGGAACCACAACGTTATTCAAATTGGGAATTTTGGTAGGTGATAATGAATGTCTTATCGAAAGACGTTTGGTCAAATGGGAGAGTTCGAGACTTTTTGTTATCAGTATTTAAGTGTGTATGTGGTTATTAAAACTCTTTTAAATATAAGTCGCCTCAATATATACATTACATATAAAGAATCATTACTAAACTCTTTAATTCATACAAGTAGTATGGGAAGATTACAAAACACCTGATTTAAAAAGGCATAGTTTTCGAATACGCGAGTTCAAGGCCCTTTGAAATCTTTACTTGAACATTTTACATCCACTCGCCAGAGTGAAACTCGTTTAAAGTTATAATTAGCTAGCATAAATGAAGCGATAAACGAGTGTTCGAAATGCTCTCATAAACACCCGAATGTCCCTTTCCCATCGGCACCCTTTATTTCCGTTCGAGACTCGCCCGTTCTTTATGATCTAGCATAAACATTAAGCGATGACCTTGGCCCAAATGCGGCTTCGTCGATCGGGCGTAACATTGCGTAATGAAAGGATACACTGCGTGTCCTTGAAGCGAATGCAGTGCCATTACGATCCGGTTTCTAAAGCCATTTGGAGGCCATGAAAAGAGTTGAGTCCTGTGTGCGCAAAGTGCTGAGCGGTGTGGTATCCTCAAGGTCGAAAGGCTTGTGTGGTTGTGGCCCTGTAATACTGTTATCCTTGCCAGGATGCAAATCAGTGCGGCTTGCGAGCTCAGCGGCGTGCAACATGTGTTGCCCGGCGGTCGCGGATCGGTTTTCGTTTCGAGTTGAGGATGGGATATCCGTTGGATAGCAATCGAAAAACGCTTTCCAAAATCGCCGGCGGACCTTCACGTGCGGCAGTAACGGTTTGTGCTCCATCGTCCATCGCGAAATCTAAGCGTCCTCGTAAATCCAAATCGCCACAGACGGTTTCCTCGCTACGTGGACTCGTAAAAGCCAGCTCAAAAGTGACCCTCTCCTGCAGAGACAATAGCCCCGAGCTTCTTACAATGTCGGCAGCTCCTTTTGTCTGCGAAATGCCAAAGAAATGAGTAGAAATAAACGAAAATGCCAGAAGGAAGCAAATTTATTGCCGGCAACGGACTTTGCGAAAATGTCAATGTCGTTTTTATGGCATCAAATGTTTGAGGAGCTTATGCGAATGGCTGTCACAAAGTGGATTCAAAC